CAATAGGTTTCCTTTTCCTTTACCTCACCCACTTTCAGGAAATTTGAATCATGCTACAAGCTTCCTCTTCCAGGTGGGTTGGAGACCTGAACTCCTGTTGGGACTGGAGGGCGTACACTGCAGCATTCAATGTGGGTCCCCAATTGTCCCCTATAATACTGAAGCTGGGCATTCCTGTTTGGAAATTAAACGGGGCCACTTAAAAATGAGGTTGCTGTTTCTAGATACACAGGGTGCAACCCAGGGAAGTAGAGGTTTGTTAGAGTTTATAAAGCCAAGTAACTTGTCAAGTACACAACTCCCATCATCCATGCCATTGGCCATGCTGTTTGGGACTGATGGGAGCTGTAGTCCAACCCACTCTCTGGAGGACAACAGGTGCCCTTCTCCTGTCCTAAGGTCTGCACCCGATACTTTGGAATCCCAACACCGGACAATGCAATCCTATGTGTTTCTACTCAGAATGATTGAACTCAGTTCAGTCGACATCTGCTTGTGCCTAGGACTGTAGCCTAATTAATTTGCATCCAGAACAAGTCTATCAGATATAAGAAGAATGGTCTATTGCAAGTAGATAATTTTTCCCTGCTCCAAAGCTGCAGCGGAACTGTTCCGTCAAACCATTGTTTATTGACCTAATTTCCCTTTCTCCTGAATGTTGAGAGGCTCCTCTGGTAAATAATGAATTGTTCATGTCTTATTCACTTATTTTCTTTATGTCCATTTTGTGTGCTTCAGAATGATGATTTCTCACTAACCTCGGGAGTGCTTCCTGGTGGGTTAGTTTTCAACCAGCGGTAGCTCACGAGGGAGGCAGAGGCAGCGACGTCCTCCCAGTGGGGTGCTGGAGTGAGCTCCAGAATGGTGGTGTCAGCCCCCTAGATATGCTAATGTTTGTGGGGCTGTGAAACCAGAACTCCCCCAGCCCCATTGCTGTCCCTCCACCACTCAGCTCCAAAGATTGCAGTGCCATCACTGCAGAGAGGGCACAACTCCCGAAGCAGACCCTATTTTATGCCACCACTGAATGTGAGAAGGGGAGTACCGTCAAACAAGTAATCTCACATGAAATCTTGAGCTGGTACTGTTATTTCAGAAGACTGTTGCATGCCGGCTAATGCACGTTTGAATCCAAGTCTTCAAATAAATGTTAAACATTTAAGTGTGAACTCAAGTGAGATTATTATTATTACTAATAAAATAATTATACCCCGCCCATCTGGCTGGGCTGCCCCAGCCACTCTGGGCAACTTCCAACACAAATAAAAACATAATAAAACATCAAACATCAAACCTTAAACCTCTGAATTGCCTTCAGAGATCTTCTAAAAGTTGTGTAGTTCTTTATATCCATGACATCTGATGGGAGGGCGTTCTGTGGGGAGGGCGCCACTGCCGAGAAGGCCCTCCGATTGATTTCAATAGATCTTAAATCACCACAAATTTGGAAGCAGTTTGGTTTGCTGGGCGCTCTCTAGAGAACTTGCCCTTTTATGGCTTTGAACCAGGGCTGATGAGGAATTAGCCAATAAATTATTTTAGCAATTGAACATATGAGGTACCCTTAAAAGAAGTCAGACGATTGGTTCATTTAGCCCAGTGGTGTTTGGTCTGCCTGCCAGCGACTCTTGTTCTCTTCCCGGCCCTTGTTAAGCGAGATCCTTGGCTGTGGCTCCCCATAGTAATGCCATTCCTGAGAGCTCCTGGGAGACAGTGTCTAGGTTTTGTACAAGCTGAAGTAAATCCGCCAGCATTTATTTCTTTGTCTTTAGCAGGCCTTAAAATGAGGGAGGGCAGTCTCTGCACAAGCTGTCTGTGGCATACAAAATTATTGCTATTGTGGGGGGAAGCAAAAAATAGCAAAATGCCCGACCACAGAGTGCAATGACTTGTTGTTATGATGATGATGAGAGGAGGAAGTGAGTGTGTACAGGCAGACACAATACTTTGTACAGTGGTACCTCGGGTTAAGAACTTAATCATTCTGGAGGTCTGTTCTTAACCTGAAACTGTTCTTAACATGAGGTACCACTTTAGCTAATGGGGCCTCCTGCTGCCGCCGTCGCGTGATTTCTGTTCTCATCCTGAAGCAAAGTTCTTAACCCGAGGTACTATTTCTGGGTAAACGGAGTCTGTAACCTGAAGCGTCTGTAACCTGAAGCATCTGTAACCCGAGGTACCACTGTATGTGGTTCACAGAGGTGCATGAAACAGTGACAGGCAGGAACACCAGGCTTTATTGCATACAAAAGCTGAAATGAGTGACTGGGGCCTTAGAGCTCAGCTTAGTTTTGGCCTACACTTGCAAGCAGAGTACAATGGTAGAACAGTCAGCAGCCGGAAGTGCAGCCAGGAGAATTCATTTTGCACACTCCTCTTTGTGAAAATGACCTGCCGAATTGCCATCCTCCTCCTCGTCGGCTAAAGGGTTTGGTGAAAATCTCTTGTCCTGATGTTTAGAGCTTGAGGCATAGGGCTGTGAAGTGGGGCATGTCCCCCTCAAGGAAACTTCAATTTTCATTAAAAAGAAGCAGCAGCTTCCACTTCATGAAGTCTCATTGGGGAGAAATATGATACACACAGAGAGAGAGTTAAATAATTTCCCTTGCATTTCCCCCATATATTTCTATTTTCTGGCCAATGCGTTGCATCCCATACCCCCAACCTGCTCCAGGGGGTTCAGGGGGGGGGCATGCCAGGGGTATGATTTATGTACGGCTAAACATGTGTAAAATATCCTTTCAGATCTTTGTGCATTCAGGAGAGAGCAGGAACGCTGTGACCATCTACAGTCACATTCGGTTTGTGTCCTCATACGTTTAGCTGAACACCAGAGTAGCGCTATTGTGACTCTCCTTGCATTATCCCATTATCAGAAAGCTATGTGTTTTCCAGGCCAAGGAGAGTCATGGCTGTTACCTCACTTCCTGTCACCCTGATGACAGAACAGCTAATGTCTGAACTTTGCTTTAGAACAGCCAGGTGCAGGTTCCTCCCACAGCGAAGTCAGAGACACCCCCCCCCCACCAAAAAGCAGGCACGCATTCTCGTTTAACAACTAATTGATTTATTTAACAATACAAATTTCTTTCTACCACTTGGTGTAAGCAGAGAAAAGTTCAGAAACAAAATTATTCTTATTTTTTTAAAGTTTAAATGTTTACACAAAAAAACCCCAACCTCTTACTTCAGTAAATATAAAATTTACAGACAAAAAAAAAAAACCTACATGAAAAAGAACAGGGTTGTGACAAACCGATGACAGAAAGAGAATTCAGACTCAATAATCAAATGTTTGGTAAAGAGGACAACGGGCAATAGTGAGGAAGCATCTCCCTTTGAAGGTTTCTGAAATCTGAGGTGCAAAATGAAACAAAGTACATTAAAAACAAGAACAAGATTTTTAATTATACTCTATATTTTGCGACATAAATATTTGAAAGCTTTGTAGGTCACATATTTAATATGTGAAATATACAATTTGCAGCTCATTGTAAATCCATGGGAGTGTTGTACATGCAAAGTATGGGTGCATTTTTTTCGGGCATACGGGAACCAGCAAAATCTTTTGAGTCTCTCCCCACACTCTTACGATGCCTGGTAGTTGTAGGGCCTTAGTTCTCTTAGGTTATAGTGCAAACCTACAAAGCGTGCATGCAGTATAAACTCCACTCATTTTAGTGGGACCTTCCGTGATCCACTGAAATGGATGAAGGTTGCCTAGCAGAAGCACCCTACAGATCACACCCTATATAATGTGCTCCCCTTACAAAATGAGATGTAGGCCTAGATCTCGCTGAGGTTTTTAGTGCTGCAGACTGAAGTCTGCGGCTTATATGACCAGAACTGCTGGGATAGCTCATTCGGTAGAGCACGAGACTCTGAATCTCAGGCTCGTGGGTTCGAGCCCCATGTTGGGCAAAAGATTCCTGCACAATAGGTAGAGGGTTGGACTAGATCAGGGTTCCCCAGACTTAAGTCCCCAGCTGTTTTTGGACAACAACTCCCATCATCCCTAGCTAGCAGGACCAGTGGTGAGGGATGATGGGAACTGTAGTCCAAAAACAGCTGGAGATCCAAATTTGAGAAACCCTCGACTAGATGACCCTTGGGGTCCATTCCAACTCTACAATATGGAGAAGCAATGGAGACTGAATACTTCCATGTACACAGAAATCTAGCATGCCAGGGATATAGCTAGGCTAAAATCCTGCCCTCCAACATTTAGTTTTCTATGTAGAGGGAGCTTTTGTGTATCGTTCAAATCATGAGTCTCTTCTCTATCTGCAGTTCCGAGGTGGCACATCCCAGAAACAGCCTGGCCACCTCAGTGAGGACTAGAATATAGTGAGAAACGTAGTACAGAACAGTCTGTTCGCCTCTGCCAAACCAGACAGAACCCAAATTTTACAATGACTCTTGCATCAGGTTCTGAAATCGAACCTGAGCTGTTAACAAACCCCTCTCAAACGGCAAGTGAAAACGGCCTTCGGTTGAGAGGTAAACTTGTTTCAGAATATGTAAATATAGAGAATTAAGGAACATGGGTCTGGTGATGTCAGACACGGAGATCAAAAGTTTTACAGGCATGAACCTGCAACATGTTTAAGCCTCTGCATTCTGACAATACTTATATAATTGCAAATACTGAAATGCAATTTCCAATAAATGCAAAGCACAGAACTTTTAAATGGAGGAGGCGCTCCGAAACTTCCAAAAATGCACAGCAGATCTGGTGGGCGAGGATTACAGATAGCAAATTAGTCATAAGAAAGCAGTTAAGGTCTTTCTGTCTCTAAGCTATGGGCTGCATCCAGTTGGCACTCCTCTGCTGACAGAGGGCCCTTTGATCTAGTGGAGCCTTCCGGGATTGAGTTGGTCTTCAGGGATTTCCACTCTCACTTGATGTTCCAAAGGGTACTCCAAGCCTCCAGGGTGGATTTTGGGAGGCTGGACTATAGGGGAGGCTGGCCATTGCCCAAGAGCTCTTTGATATCTGCTCAGCTGACAGAAGGCTCTGCTGGATCAATGAGTCTTTCTACCCGCAGAGGGATATCAACTGGAAGCAACCCTTCGTCACCACCACAGAGAACATAAAAAGAGAAAGTAATCGCCACCGAACAAGTTGCAAGAATTTCATGCCTGTGTCTAAGACTCGATTCATACATTGTTCTGATGAGTTTACGGCTTGCATTGGGTGAAATGTAGATATTTTTATTGCATGCATCATTTCCAGCTGGACAGCTCAGTTGGTTAGTGCATGGTACTGATAATGTCAAGGTTGCAGGTTCGAACCCCATATGGGACAGCTGCATATTCCTGCATTGCAGTGGGTTGGACTAGATGATCCTCAGGGTCCCTTCCAGCTCGACAGTTCTACGATTCTATGAGTGCCAGTCACCCTAACAAAGATGGTGGAACGTGACACAGGAAATACTTGTAATCCAAGCTGATCTAAACATCCACAGCATATACTACTTAACATGGAAGGAACAGAGCAGATTGGGGGTAGAAAATTAAGCTGCAAAGTCATGTATGAATCAGGCCTTAGTTGCAAAGGGTACCTTCTACCGGGAGATTCTCCTGAGCAATCTCCTGAGTGGAAATTGTGCAAAAACAAGACTTTGGAGAGATTCCATTAATTTCACTGGGGCTTGTGCAGGAGACCGTCCTTTCGGGTTGTACTCAGAACGACTAGTTAATTAGAACCTATGTTTCCCTTATAAAAGTGCATTTGCCTCCACTATTGTCATTATTAATATTAATGTTCTAGTTTCTGATTTAACAGCTCACTGTTCATTCCACTTTGAGAAAAGCGGGTATACACAGCATGCAGCCAAGCTGCTTTGGAAGACAGTTTAACATGATTAGATAAACTGCAATTTTACACCTCTGTCTAAACCACAGAACTGCCTGCAATCTGATACAAGTTATAATCTCAGCAAAATCCACAGCGCCTTTTATTGGGGGGGGGCAGGGAATTAAGCCCACCAATTTGAAAACCTTTCCATTTTGACTTGCAAAAGCTAGCTCGTTTATGGTAAATTAGAGGGAGGGGAGGAAGAGAACAAACTGTAAAAAAATATCCATGAGGAAACCACATTATTAGGTGGGTTGCTCGAGGATTTGCTATGAAGTAGCAAGGCACACAACTGCCCTGCCCCAACCAACATTTGTACCCTGCTATTGGCCCTATCAATAAAGGAAGACTGCAGATGATTATTTACCAATATAACCGATTCATAATATGGAATGCATGTAGCCGCTTGATAAACTTGTGTATATTTGTTTGGCCAAGGGGAGAGAAGAATCGTATTGCTCTCTAACTTCTGATCCGTGGAAGAACTGTGGCTAAGAGTCCCCTAGACATTTGCCCAGGCGATACCAGATGCTTACGTGAGCACACGGTAGCGGTCTGCATCCATCCAACGCAGCAAACCCATTTGCACGGGCATCGCCATATATTAAGCATCAATTGCTCCTCAGCAGGTCTGTCCGTCCTTTAAATACAATGGAGGGCCAAACCAAAACAGTAGGCGTGTGATTTGCACTTGCATGCATGTTAGTAAAATGGTGAAAAGCAGGCACAATAGGAGGGGGAGGATTTCAATCAGGACCATGGAGAGAGGTGGTTTAACCTTTTCCTCCCTTGCTGTGGTCCCAGCAATGGCGCCTTCAAAGCTCCAAGTCTGTGGGGAACTTCTATCCCAGGGCTGATAGCAGTTTACAGGTGTGTGTGTGTGTCTGTGTGAGCGCATACATGGATTTTCATCAGGACTGTGGCAGGAGAGGAAAGGGTTATCCCACCTTTTAACATGCCCTAATTCTGACCCCACCCCACTTTGCCCCTCTTGCTGCTTACCATTCATTTCTTTCAAATACTTGCATCTCTGATTTTGGATGCATTTACCTTTCATGGCTACTGACAAGTAAAAAAAAAGAACAATACAAAATAAATAAATGTAAGATCCTGGGGGGTGGGGAGTGACTTATGATGGCTCCAGGTGGTTGTGGGATGATGATGATGGGATCTATCCATTCTCCCAGGCCTAAGATATTGCTGGTGCTTAAGACTTAGCATGCAGAGAACTAGAATAGCAGAAGGTTCAGCATGAAGTTTGTCCCTCAGGAGCACCAGTCAGAGGCAAACTACAAGTCTAGACAAGAGCAACAGATCTTATGCTCAGGTTTTTCCTTTTCCCCTCATGCTGGCTTTCTGCCTGTGGGTGGGGGCACTGTGGGCGTCCGTCTCTAAACAGCCCTACATTCTAGCCTGCTTCAGTATGCTTTAGATTTTTAGCTTCAAATATGAAAACAAAGAAACTATTCCTTGGGGGGAACATGTTTATTTGTGTTTGAGATGATACAGTGGATGCTCTCTTCTGAGCTACAAGGTGGTGGTGATGGGAGGGAAAGGGGGGTGAAAGGAAAAGAAAAAAGAAAAAAAAAGAGGGGAGGGGAAACCCTTTCATTACAAACCGACGAAGGTAGAAGTTTAAAACAGTTTTCACAACAGCATGTACCACATATCGGAAATAGATCTGGGCTTAATACAAATGACGTAATTTCCTAGTAATCTACAGCTACCTTTAATAACTTCATACAGATAATGAATTAGGCTAAAATGCACTATAATATTTGGTTGACTTCAGGAACGGTATCCTTAGTTACATCACAAAATACATTTTGATATCCCAAAGAAGCAAGACTTGCAAGTAGGCGTTTTAAACATAACTAATCTACAGCTACAAAGTTCTACTCTGGATAGCGTTTACCTTTTCCTTTCTGTTTCTCGTGGTTGGGGAGGGGAGGGGTTAAGGGTCAAGGGAAAGCGATATCCCCGTCTTTGAAAGGATAAAAGCAGAGAGTAGAATCAGTATAACATATACACAGAAGTCCGTATTGTAAAGGCTATAAAGATCGGTTGCACACTGCAGGGGCTGCCTCCGTGCACCTTGGCGCCGCACACCAAGCCGTCGGGGCGTGGCTTATGTTGCGTATCTCTTGGTCCACTGCCTGGCTATCCTGTCATGCTCGGCTCTGTTGGTCAGGTACTGAGTAGCTATGCTTCCTACCAGAGGATCAGCTGCAAGAGTTGGGTGCATGGGGAAAGGGGGGGGGGACGACAAGGGAAGAAATGGGAGGAGAGGGAGGGAGACGGCGTGTCAAGATCAGAGACACATCAGCATCACAATAGTTCGTTTCGCCACACTTGTTTCCAACCTAAGCTGCGGGGCAGAACCTCCTCAAGGAAGCATTGTTCAAAAGACAAGGTGCTTGACCTAAACGTCAGCCGGAAAGAGAATGCGGACACTTGTGGACACGAAGCAATTTTTTTTTTTTTTTTTTTGGTGGTTTGGTTCTCCAACAATGTCTTTTCTCTCTCAAAACTCTCCCCTTCCCCTGAACATTTCAAACTGTGATTTTGTGAATGGTGCCCCCAGCACTCTCTCAACATTCAAAATGTGCCCTCTGGTCCAAAATGGTTGGCAACACATGGCAATAATCTATAGCAGTCTTTCTTATTCCACCTTTTTAAAGTAAGTTAGAGCTGGACAAGCCTAGATCTTTGTACATGGGAAGGTATCTCAAGGGCTTAGCAGATTTTGTGATTTAATCTTGAGCAAACTGGGAGCGCTGAGAGTGCATTCTGCCATTAAACTGAAAGCAAAGTCTGAATCCGTGGCCAATTCTACTTCAAAGTCCAGGTATTCAGAGGTTTAAACACAACCTGAACAAAGAGGATCCGTTTCCAGGCCACCCTGTGTAAAAGGAAAACAACCCACCTTTTCAACCTGAATTTATCTCATCCCGGTCTGATCCCACATTTATGTAATTGTTTACACAGTCAATGTACTTTGAACAATCTCTCCCCCCCCCTTTTTTTTTACAGCTGAGGGTAGGAATTGTTTTGACTCTGCTTACTACCCAATTAGTAATTCCTGTCCTTTCAAAAAAATAAACAAAACAAACCAAACCATTGCCTTACCAGGATTGCAGTCTGTCAAGAGAGAACAAATAGACAGCAAGACCTTTGAAATAGTTAAAGCAGGGCTCCAGTTGTCTTTCAGAATATCCAGACAGATGACTCCTTGACTGTTGATGTTGCAGTGATAGATCCTAGTGCGAAACGTAACCTAGAGGTAGAAGTGGGGGGGGGGAGATTGCGGGGGGGGGGAGAGAGAATCATTACACCCTCTTCATGCACAGCTTGTTGCTAGCTTTTTGAAACCAGCCTTGAATTATTCACCCTCTGTGGGAGAATTTTTTTCTATAGCGACCTTTCATTTCATTTTATTTTTTGTTGCTACTGCTCATTCTGTAAGGCTCATCTGAAAAGTGGTTCCCCGCCACTGCCACTTTTCAAGCAGCTGTCTTGACTCATGTTTGCCATGTAGATCTCAATGTTAAAAGCTTTATTGCGGTTCACCCTTCCCTCCCCGGCAGGCATGCACACAGCATTTTGAAATCCCACTTTGAAACCACAACCACAACAACATAGGGGAATTTATTTTGTATTGTCCTTCTGTGCCTGGGAGATAGACAAAACTAGCGCTCAGATGATTAGCTCCGTTCCATTTCAGTGCATGTTAAGGCCAAAACATCAGAGAGAGATATAAAGTTATATAAATTTGCTGTTTGATTGCTGCAGAGGAGTCTGGGGTTTGGGGAGAAATGGGTTGAGGAGCCTGTGTGCAACTAAGCCAGTCCATTTAATTTGTTAGGGGAAATTTAAGTACCGTATTTTTTGCTCTATAAGACTCACTTTTTCCCTTCTAAAAAGTAAGGGGAAATGTGTGTGCGTCTTATGGAGTGAATGCAGGCTGCGCAGCTATCCCAGAAGCCAGAACGTTCAACTTCCAAGGTTACCACTGTAATAATAATAATATTTTATTATTTGTATCCCACCCATCTAGCTGGGTTTCCCCAGCCACTCTGGGCAGCTTACAGCATATATAAAGAAATTGTAAAACGTCAGACTTAAAAAAATTCCTGATACAGGGCTGCCTTCGGATGTCTTCTAAAAGTCAGATTTTCAGTTGTTTATTTCCTTGAAATCTGATGGGAGGGCACCACTACTGAGAAGGCTCTCTTGCAGTGAGGGAACCACCAGAAGGTCCTCAGAGCTGGACATCAGTGTCCAGTGTCAAGCTCTCCAGAAGGCTAGGACCATCAGGGCTGAGAGAAAGGGCCAACTAAGCTTAGGTGTGCCTGCCAGGGGGCAAGAACATTGGAAAATTCAAGGCGGACAAAAGGTAGAATCATAGGACTGTAGTGTTGGAAGGGTTCCCAAGAGTCATCTAGTCCAACCCCCTGAAATTCAGGAATATTTTGCCCAACATGGGGCTCAAACCAACTACCCTGAGATTACCCTGAGAGTCTCATGCTCTACTGCAGGGATCAGCAAACTTTTTCAGCAGGGGTCCGGTCCACTGTCCCTCAGACCTTGTGGGGGGCCGGACTGTATTTTGAAGGGGGAAAATGAACAGATTCCTATGCCCCACAAATAACCCAGAGATGCATTTTGAATAAAAGGACACATTCTACTCATGTAAAAACACCAGGCAGGCCCCACAAATAACCCAGAGACGCATTTTAAATAAAAGCACACATTCTACTCATGTAAAAACACCAGACAGGCCCCACAAATAACCCAGAGATGCATTTTAAATAAAAGCACACATTCTCCTCATGTGAAAACACCAGGCAGGCCCCACAAATAACCCGGAGATGTATTTTAAATATAAGGACACATTCTACTCATGTAAAAACACACTGATTCCCGGACTGCTCACGGGCTGGATTTAGAAGGCAATTGGGCCGAATCTGGCCCCCGGGCCTTAGTTTGCCTACGCATGCTCTACCGACTGAGCTTCGTGCAGCACATGGTTAAACTTTGGGATTCGCAACCACAGTATGCAGTGATGGGCACCAACTTGGATGGAGAGCAGAGGAGCGAGGAAGGAATACACGGCCCCCAACCATAGTCTATGAATCAGGCCAACATAGGGGCTTGTCGTGGGCTCTGAAGGACAACTAGATATTTCCAAGTTTCCCTAGCGTGATCTAGAAATGAAATGAACACAATACTTTGGAACAGGAGATCTCTCTCTCTCACACACACAAACACACAGGTTTGCATGTGCATGGGGACTATTCTATTGAACTTGGATAGTCTAAAACTATCACATGATCTGTCCAGCATTAACATTCCCATGGGAGATTTTCACGGATGGAACAGGGAGCTGCTCGCCATCAAAGGACTTGAAAAACATTTACGTTTCCCCATTAGACGGCATCATTATGTGTGAGGCACACCACGCTCTAATTTGTGTCATCATTCTGCTTTAATTGACTTTAACATTCTGTACAAACCCCGCGCAGAGTTGAAATGCATTAGTTACAGAAGGAATACTTTATGGCGCAAAGGGTAATCCAAACTCTTAATGGCACCGCATGCTAGAGGAAACAAACAAACCAAAACAGCAGTCCTTTCAATGCTTTTTCCTTTTTCTTTTTGCAGAGGGCGGTGCTTTGTAAAAAATAAATAAAAATGCATAACTCTGAGCAACTTTGTTCTGTTCCAAATTCAAGACCGGGCTCTTTGGCTTTTGCAGAACTGTGAGGACAGATTTCATTTCCTCCCTTGGCTAGGCCACGTGGGGACAGATGGACAGAGAAAAGATCGACTGTACACGATCCGGATAAATGCACAATTAATTCCACACACAGGCTACCCTCTGCAGGATCAGACCAAAGACATCTCTAATTTACCATCCTGTTTCCTCATTTTTTTGGAAGTTCACAAGCAAGAAATGATGGCAGAATCACATCAAAAGGGGCCTTTGGGTTTGGGATCCCGCCCCCCCCTCCAAAAAAACCCCAGTAGCACTCCATGCTGCATGGCAAACTATCTGGGAACTTTCAAAAGCAAGCTTGTGTGGGGAGGGTTTTTTGCTTGGTTTTTAAATCCAACAGCCCACTGGGGATACCCAGTCTCTTGGGTATGTCAAAAATAGCTCTTTGGATCTCAGCCAGAATATACAACTTGTTAGACGAGGCAAGAAATGGCAGGGGGAGCAGAGGTGAGGAGTTGGGATCTAGGTCCCTTGATTTTTGCAGCATGTCTTCAGCAGATTAACCAGCTTCACAAACCTAACATTTTGTCTTATTTGTACAACAGCAGATTTCTGAATCTTCTTCATCAAACATCTGCTACGCAGCTGCAATTTTTTAAACAAACATTTATGCTGGCATAAATATCTATACGATATGAGCGAGCACATGAAATTACACTTGGGACAATTTTGTGTGCCGTGTTTTCCATAGTCCCAGCCCCCCCCCTAAAGAAACAGGGTTAGACAAACAAATCACTAGCATAAACATTGTTTTGCAAATGGTAATTGATTCCAACACTGAAGACTCAAATACACACAACTTTAGTCTTGTAGCTCTGTCCTTATGCACAGGGTTGGAGGAGGGGACAAGCATCTTCTGGGGGGGGGCATAATCCATATTGGGTCCCCTGCCCCCCCTCCTTGCACCTAAGCTGGGTTTCCAACTTGGAACAGGCAATAGCCATTTCTCAAAAAGTATGCTATACTTAAGTGTAGAGCTATTCAAGCATTATTATATGTAAAGGTAAAGGTAAAAGGACGCCTGACCATTAGGTCCAGTCATGACAGACTCTGGGGTTGCGGTGCTCATCTCCCTTTATTGACCAAGGGAGCCAGCGTACATGTGGCCAGCATGACTAAGCCGCTTCTGGAGAACCAGAGCAGCGCACGGAAACGTCATTTACCTTCCCACTGGAGCGGTACCTATTTATCTACTTGCACTTTGACATGCTTTCAAACTGCTAGGTTGGCAGGAGCAGGGACCGAGCAACGGGAGCTCACCCCATCGCGGGGATTCGAACCGCCAACCTTCTGATTGGCAAGTCCTAGCCTCTGTGGTTTAACCCACAGCGCCACCCGCGTCCCATTAATTATATGTAGTTTGGCCCTAATTTTCATTTGGCAGAAGAGCATTAAGACCAGTATTCCTTTTCAAAAAAATTTATTTCAGATAATTAATATCAAGATGTAGTTCTTGAAATAGAAGGTCCCATTCGTTAGACCTTGCTCTTCCAAGTGATTTAACCCGCCTTATTGCAGAAGCGAAACAATTATGACAGATTTTGACAACAGTTACCAGAAATATGGGTGGAAGTCAAGCAGTTCTCCATAATCAAAAGTACATTATTTGAGATTAATAAACAACTTTACAATTCAGCGTACATGTCATAAACCCTTAAATACTACTGGAATCAGTGGGACATAACGGACTATACAAGATTTCAGGAAATATCATATTGTCCTCAACCTGTCAGTTTGCGAATTGCTTCATTTGGGTTTTCCTAATTCATGGGTACTTTCGAGTCTATTCACACTGGTACTTTTCTGTTCAGGTCACATGAATGCCAGCTAAGTGCCAACGAATTGTGGTCAAGACTGAAGCATGTTAGAGTTACTTTCAGTTTTAAGTTAAACTGCCTAAAGGTAAGAACTGGCTTTCAACACCCTCCTTATACATTTATGGGCACTTATCAAAATCTCTGTAATTGGGTCAAGTGGTCTTACAATGTTGCTTATGCAGAAAACAATAATGACTGACACAAGTCACTGAATACCCTCCAACGGGTCACTGCAGAAAACCAGGATGTGCGTCACAGGCGCAAGATTGCACCCCGCATGTTTTGGGGCTGTGGCAAAACATGTGTTTTTGGGCACTGTCCTCTCAAGAGCACGGCCCCCCAAAACGGGATGTCCCGACTGAATCAGTTCAGTTGAGAGGTATGGTCACTCTACTAACTTCAGCTGCTGAAGCTGCCCTTTAGCTTGCTAAACCAAGAGTTTGACTCCATTCTCACATGAGGCCGAGGCTCTTGGTTTAATAAACCATACTTGCACGTGAAGCCTGATCGCTCCTCCCCTGGAGAGAGTGGGGAAACAAACCAGAAAGCATATAACTTAATGCTACAGCCGAACCCAGCATTGTGGTTTGTTTTGCCTTAACAAACCACTATTGCTTGCCTGCCCTAAGCCATGGCCTGGTGTTGACTTACTGATCATATCTTGGAGTGGAGCAAACTATGATCCCAGGGTTCAGACCTAACACTAAGCTGTCCCCTTCCTGCTTTACTTACCTGCCTGCGTCAGGAAAAGAATGAAGCAGACGCAATTGGACTATGTGCACAGCATGGCTTATTATGCTAATAAACTTACCTTGCCATTGCGTATGATGGCCACAGAGACCGGACAGGAGCACAAAGTTAGTTTAGTTCAAGCTGACTGTTACACTTCATTTCATCTCAGAATTTCCCTGCTTTGTGTACTTAACTCACATCGCTCTAATAAAGCAAGTGTTTCCTTGCAACGGTTAATTTTCTGTTTCAGTTTGAGGCAGCCGAAACACGGAGGTTTAGACCGGTGTTTCTCAAACTTGGGTCTCTGGCTGTTTCTGGACGACAGCTCCCATCATCCCTAGCTGGCAAGACCAGTGGTCAGGGATGATGGGAATTGTAGTCCAAAACAGCCGGAGACCCTAAAAAACCAGAAGCTTTTTTGTTAGGAATGGTTGGAAATGAAATAAATAGAAAGGACCATAAATTATTTTTATATGCAGTATCAGCAGCAAGAATACTACTGGCCCAAAAATGGAAGCAGGAGGAATTACCATTGATAGAAGAATGGAGAATGAAATTAATGGACTACACAGAATTAGATAAACTAACAGGAAGGATCTGAAACCGACGAGATCACAAGTTTACCAAGGACTGGAGCAAATTTGTGGACTATATGAAAAGCATTTGTGATACGCAAATAACGTTTGTGGGTTTACAGGAAGCTTTGTGAAGAAATAATATTAGAAACACTGTAAAAAAAGGGAATAAGGGAATAGGTTTATTTAAAATAAAAGGCAATGTTAAATTTAGAATTGCGGATAGAAGATTAGAAAACGGAAGATTCGCGGATGAGCTGAAGGAAGTCAAAATTATGTATTTGTGATAAGATTGAAAATGTATGTTTAAATCTTGTATTGGAAATTGAATAAAAATAAATTTTAAAAAACAAAACAAAACAAAAAAACAGCCGGAGACCCAAGTTTCCCAGAGACTCTAGAACACTAGGCAGTACACTCACCTGATCAAAGGCTGGTAGGAAAGGGGGAACTAAGAGGATATTATTGGCCATTTAGGAATGTTTTCCTGCATGTGTGAGAGCGAATGGAATCACAACCATAAATATTCCCTAAACTATCTAAAGGGGATGGAGGGAGATTAATAGCTACTGGCACACTAACAAAATTCATTTTCCCCCACCTCAGGAAATTTCCAACCCTGAGTTGTAAGTTCTGCAACATATCAAGTGCAAGTTAAATGTGGATTCTTGGGCTGCATATTGTACAGCTTGGCACGGTCACCGGTTTATTTGAGATCTTGGGCTACACTTGAAACTTCAGAGCTGCGGAGTCTTCTCTTTCCTCGATAGTCAAATGTGCAAGCGTCTCATGAGCACTGGTACAAATGTGAAGAATGGAGATACATTCAAGGATGGAGAAGCCGCATATAAAAATACAGAGAGCCACAAATGCTTACCTTTGGTGGTTTAAATGGATAATCGGATGAAAACGTGATATCCAGAAAGAAGACACCACCTTCATACACAGAACCCGGGGGACCGAGGATAGTAGATCTCCACTCGTAAATGTTATCGCCTTTAGGCCCAGCACTGTTGAAATAAAAGAGAGAGGGAGATAAACAGAAAGTGATCTGGACAGTTCCTGGGCATTGTCAGTCATTACTCATTTCATCCTTAAATCCTCGTCAATGACATCTGTTGTCATTGGTGTGGAGCTTTTGTATGAGTGTGCCATGAACGAAGGAACGACGCGTCAACTGTGCTTCTGTCAATGTTTTCAAACACAAAACCCATCTTTGTCTTTTATGATATTTAGCTCTGTAGCCTTTGTGTCTGCTGCTCTTTCCGGTGCGTGGGGCATTCATGAAAGAAAGCTGGGAGGAAGAGGGAATGCCTTAAAACACAAAGGACTACAATCCAACACAGGGAGGGGTTAGGCCTGCTTAAACCCATTCATCCTCCCCTCACCATTTATATCCAACCTTTTCTTCAAGGAGCTCGCGGCAGCGTGCATGGGCTTATCCCAACTTATCTGCACAATCCTACGAAGCCTGTTCGGCTAAGAGAGAGAGTCACTTGCCTACGGTATATCCAGCAAAGCTTCCAAGCTGAGAAGGGATTGTAACCCAGGGCTCTCTGCTCTGGTCCAGTAAGACTACAATCCTATAACCATCTGCCTGAGAGCAAACTCCACGAAACACAGCAGTACTTGCTTTTAAGTCAACTTGCCTAAACCTGTGCCAAAAGGTGCAAACCAGACACAACTGAACGGCAAAACACCTCCCTTCGAATGGCTCTCGGCTGTAAATTAGGGTTCCAAGGCAGCGATGGGGAGCCAGTGGCCCTCCAATTGATACTGGACTCCAACTCAACATCATCCCTGGGAGTTCTGAGTCCAACCAGATCTAACAGACCAAGGGTTCCCCAGTCCTGCTCCGAGGTAACCAATGCAGACATTAATAATAATAATAATAATAATAATAATAATAATAATAATTTTTATTTATACCCCGCCCTCCCCAGCCAAGGCCGGGCTCAGAGCGGCTTACAAGCAATAATAAAAACAAGTTAAATGATTACAACTTAAAAACAAAATTAAAAATACAACATTAAAATATTGAAACATTAAAATATTAAAATGTAGCCTCATCGCAGGAGGAGAAGGAAAAGAAAAAAGAAAGAGAGGGAGGGAGTCAAATTGGCTCCAAGCCAAAGGCCAGGCGGAACAACTCTGTCTTGCAGGCCCTGCGGAAAGAAATCAGATCCTGCAGAGCCCTGGTCTCATGAGGCAGAGCGTTCCACCAGGCTGGAGCCAGAGTTGAAAAGGCCCTGGCTCTGGTTGAAGCCAATCTAACTTCCTTAGGGCCCGGGACCACTAGGGTGTTGCTATTTATGGATCTTGAGGCTCTCCGTGGGGCATACCGGGAGAGGCGGTCCCGTAGGTACGAGGGTCCTAGGCCATGAAGGGCTTTAAAGGTCAAAAGCAGCACCTTAAATCTGACCCTGTACTCCACCGGGAGCCAGTGCAGCTTGAAAAGCACTGGGTGAATATGCTCTCATGGCAGAGACCCCGTGAGGAGCCTCGCTGCAACAGTCTGCACCCGCTGGAGTTTCTGGGACAGCTTCAAGGGCAGCCCCACGTAGAGCGAATTACAGTAGTCAAGCCTGGAGATGACCGTCGCATGGATCACTGTGGCCAGGTCGGGGCAGGAAAGGTAAGGGACCAACTGCTTGAAGCGGCGAAGGTGGAAAAATGTCGCCTTGGCTGTTGCTGTAACTTGCGCCTCCATGGAAAGGGAGGCATCAAGGATTACACCCAAACTCTTAACGGAAGGCAATGGCACTAATTGGGCCCCCGCAAGAGAAGGGAGTTGGTCCCTCATCCCCATGCCATCCCGACCCAGCCATAGGACCTCTATCTTCGAAGGATTTAGTTTCAATCGGCTCCTACGAAACCATCCAGCCACAGCTTAAAAGAATTAAAAGAATGGGTTTTTTTTTTGCTTGATCCCACACTGTTCTTGCAGTTTTGCCATACAGTCAGTTCCAAGTAGTTTCCCTCGGGTCCTAAAATACTACAAATGCTTCTTGAATTTGTTCACTCGCTTCCTGAAAAGCCTCCCTTGACCTCCAGAATGAAGATCTGGAAGAGTGGTGGTCAGGAACTGCCATTCCTCAGACTATCACATTATCTGACAGTGAAAGCACCGGGGGGGGGGGGATATTATACAATCTAATATAGTTTTGAAGGCCATTTTAGTTCCCAAGTGCCTGTATTATATAGTTGATCAGTTTTATAGATATGGACAGCTATTAAAGGATCCGCCCAATACTTATTTTAAGGCTTAAGTGCTCAGCGCATTACAATAATGTAGCAGCAACGATACCACTGTTAAGCTAAACTCCCCCACCCCCCTGAAAAGCCTATTTTGACAGAGGAACCACTATTTTTATAAAGGAGGCTGCAAAGTTACTGAAAAAGCAACAAATACACTTTGAGGTTAACGTTGTAAGAACATCTACATTCGTACAGTTATACTATGAGAGCCAAATGTCCGTTCTGCTTCCATTCTTTTTCACACTGATTCAAAAACAGTTTCCGAAAGACTTCAGCAAGTAACCATTTTTTTTTTAGAAAAAGGCCTCTAAAGTAATGTTTATCACAAATTTTATATGGAAGCATCAAGGTGGTCTTACGAAGCTCCCTGTTCAAGATTTTTTACACCAGTCCCTCCTTCCCAAATAAACTCTTCTGCTGGTATGAAATCTGACTGGCCCTCCAGGACAGAGGTTTTCTGGCCCTGATGCATTAGTGACGGATTTCATAGAATCATAGAATTGGAAGGCACCCTGAGGATCATCTAGTCCAGCCCCTTGCAATGCAGGAATAGGCAGCTGTCCCTTGTGGGGATTGAACCTGCAACCTTGGCATATTCAGGCCCATGCTCTAACCAACTGAGCTTCCCCAATGCCCCCCACTCTGTTGCTGATCAGAGGGGTTATAGCACAATGAAAGCAGGACAAAAAACAGACATTTGTGGTAAGCAAAGTTATGGGATTTCTGCACCAAGTTACAAGATATGTTTTGAAGGGAAATGAAGCAGTCCAACTGTCTCAAAAAAATAGTACTGAAGGCAGGATCATGAGCATAAATCACCATGAAGGTGTCATGAAAAAGATGTCTGGAGGAAGAGGCCCACATGTTTTATTTCCAGGAGTCATTTAGAGAAACCTATCTGGGAAAAGAACTAAGTTGATAGTGAGATTGGAACAAAAGGAGTTGGAACGGCATAACAATGTTTATTGGAGGCGGGGCAAGAGACAACTGGACGCCTTTTCATGGATTTGCCATCCCAACCTCTAGATCAGTGCCATGCCCCATCTAAGCATCTCTAAAATCCTGATTCCGCCCCCCATCACATATAATTCTTATTATTCAAAAAGTGAACTCCTATTCACATGGAGGAAGCCTAAAAAGCCATTAACTTGGTCTAAACAAGCTTCCAAAGAACATGGCATCCATGAAAGAGGAAAATAAAAGAATGAAAGGACATTTGCAAAAAAATTAAAAAAATATATCACTGTTAATAACTGATTCTCAAATCGGCCCCTGTGGGGCGTGTGCCCCACGTTGGGAACCACGGCTCGAAATCTAGGCTTGAAATCTGGAAAGAGATTGGGGTACAAAACTCATGCGAAATGACTTCTGGGACACTGTACCCTGTTATCCCACGTACATTCAGCAGTGGGTGATCCTTTTGTGACCTGAACGATATTAAGACCACAACATCTGGTAGTATTTCAGAGCAATCAACAGTTGTTGTTTAAACTGTGCTCCGTGACAACAGAGGTGATTCAAATATACTCAAGGAGAATTAAGACGAAGAAGGGACAACAGGCCACAATGCCTAAGTAATTCACATGCATTTCCAAAGTCGCTCGGTTAAATTATTCTGCCTGCGTTTCTTAAGTTTGCTAACAGAACAAAACAGCAGAAGCAATAATGCCAAAAAAAAAAAAAAAAAAAGGCTGGTGAAATGTAGAAATATTTAAAACCCATGCACAGGCCATCCGGTGTGCTAATTAACTCTTTGACATCCATTAAGCATATATCGTTTAATTAGCATTAAGCTTGGAAGTCAAATTTCAGTGGAACAATTCAATTTTGGCACAGGTTTCCTTAATGGCTATTTTATAGCTTAATGCAGAGGTTCATGCTCCTATATCATCTGTCAGCTACCTTTCCGTCAAACACCTCTAATAGCTGGATGCAATTCAATCAGTTTAACGAAACAGCTGAATTGACTTTGCAACATATTTCAGCCAAATTAATCAGTCACAATTAAGGTTACAGCCTCTAGCCGTGTGCCAGACTACCTGGTAATCACTCAAAGAGTCAGAACAAGGGCATCTATCAATTAAATAGTCAAACATCTAAGAGCAATAATTCCTAAGTTACTATTTACAGTCATCTACTGCATTACCATTAGTGCCACTTAAAATTACAAGGGTTGTTCCTAGAGGGGGAAAGTCTACTGGGGGAAAAAATAAATCCATGTATTCTAACCTGGCAGGTGCAGAAGGCATTTTTCAGAAGCCTGACACGTCTGTCTAATACAAGACCTGTCTTCAGATGGATCAGGGTGATAGTGCACTGCACTGCACTGTGAAAAAGGATGTGGGTGGCGCTGTGGTCTAAACCACTGAGTTTCTTGGGCTTGCCGATCAGAAGGTCGGCGGTTTGAATCCCTGCAATGGGGTGAGCTCCCGTTGTTCTGCCCCAGCTCCTGCCAACCTAGCAATTCGAAAGCATTCCAGTGCAAGTAGATAAATAGGTACCACTGCGGTGGGAAGGTAAACGGCATTTCCGTGAGCTCTGGCTTCCGTCACGGTGTTCCGTTGCACCAGAAGCGGTTTAGTCCTGCTGGCCACATGACCCGGAAAGCTGTCTGTGGACAAACGCCGGCTCCCTCAGCCTGAAAGCGAGATGAGTGCCACAACCCCATAGTCACCTTTGACTGGACTTAACCTTCCAGGGGTCCTTTACCTTTTGCTTCACCTGCACTGTGATTTCTGTGGTAGTGGAAACCAGGGAAAAATTGAGGTATTTAAATATCCAAACTGAAATAGCTCCTGATCCCCAAAAGTAGGGTTTCCCCTCGCCCTTCCCAACTATAGTCTGAGGCACCCTTGGGTTCTTAAAGCTTATCATGGGTCCTTCAAGGGGAACAAGGGAAAACCTCCTTAGAAAGAGCAGCTGCCCACTATTCTTAACCTCCCACAGTAATACACAGCTGTAGGACTTGTGCCCTGGGGGTGAACTCTCAAAATGCATGTGTCAGGGACTGGCTGGATGAGGAGGAGTGGTGGAAGCTGCCTGAACAAGAGCCCCCCCCCCAGGGAAAGCACAGAGGAAGAAGATTCAGACCCTGCCTCCTGGTGGTGGGAAACCGGCCAGAGGAGGGGGGAAAGCTGGGAAGGGCTGGAGGCTGGCAGCTTGGAGGAGAAGGAAGAGAAGGAAGAAACGGGCAGGTGCCCCTGCCCACAGGAATCAGACTTGGCAGCTCCAAAACAGAGCCACCCTGACAGCTTCTCTGCTGAAAGCCTGCAAACACCCCTTCCCTTCCCAGACAACAACAACAACAACAACAACAAAATTTTATTTATACCCCGCCGTTACTGGTTCAAAAAACCGGCTCAGGGCAGCTAACAACAAGTGTAAAACACTTAATTGGTGCAACAAAAAAACAGCATAAAATACAGTATAAAACGTGAATAACAATAAATTCAGAATTCAAAAATCAATTTGGGGGGAAATCCATCCAATAAACATTAGATGATCACCAGGGCTACCTGGCTAAATTAGTCCTATTTGGGCCAGCGAGGAGACCAGGGGAGAATTAGCTGTGGGATCCCAGAGCGGGTAATCTTCATAAAAAGGGGAGAGGGAGGGAAGGAAGGGGAATAAAAGATCAGGCTATGTTCAAATTGAAAGCCAGGCGGAATAGCTTAAATCCTGCAGGGCCCTGGTCTCATGGGACAGAGCATTCCACCAGGTCAGAGCCATCACTGAGAAGGCCCTGGCCCTGGTGGAGGATAATCTGACTTCCTTAGGGCCTGGGACCTCTAAACTATGATTATTCATGGACCTTAAGGTCCTCTGCGGGGCACACCAGGAGAGGTGGTCCTGTAAATATGAGGGCCCTAAGCCACACGTCACAGAGCAGAGAGCCAGACGGAAACAGAGAGGGTCCCTTGGGGCTCGCTGTAGACAGAGGGAGGAGCCTGACACACAGGGTTGGAGAGTGGGGGGGAGAGGCGGACATCCAAGCAACTGCTTCATCTAGACAGGAGCAACCCTTAGGCGTCTCCATGTGTTCTCTGTTCTGCTTCCTTAACTGTAAATTGACCGGCGTGTCGCTGTCTTTCTCTGTTCTGTGAACGACCTTGTTGGCTCCCTGACAGCATTGCAGGCCGCGTCAGCGCCTTGTGTGAACTGGGTGTGTACCCCCAGAACCCTCTGCAAAGCACAGACAAGCAAATGTGGACATGGCTCCCTTGAGACAAAACGTCTGAAAACCGCAACCCTTTAAAGAACAATGAAACGGCACCAGATTCCATCACACAGTGAGCTGGTCAGGCTGGGCTCTTTGCCCATCTAAGACCTGCGTTGCCTACTGTGCTGGTCTTGGGGGCTAACCAAGAGGCGAGGTCTGAGTCCAGTCCGAGGTCGATGGTGCAGTATAGAGGCTGTCCGTCAAAGCTGTAGCTGGGTCTAAGGCATGAAGTTGGGTGGGGTCAGGAACTCTGGCAGAAGAGCAGGACAGGGTGCAGGCAGGAACAAGGCTAGCAACAACGTTGCTCCCGCAACCTGGGACTGGGGCTGGTTGGCTTTTATCTGCCCCGAGGCATAGGGTGGCCCCGGTCCACAGGTTACTTGCCTCTCCTGGCCTGGAGGCAAGCACTCCTCCTGCGGGAACTTAGTTCCCTCCGCCTCTCTGCCCTGAGCCTCTGCAGCTCAGGAGAGGCTGAAGGGTTACCGGACCCAGAGGCAACCTCAGCTTCCTCTGACGGGGCTGAGAGTGGAGCACCTGCAGGCAATGGGTCCTCCATCCCCTCAGGGGCCAGAGCAGACTCAGGTGGTGCCTGCACCTGAGGATCCAGCACAGGTGAGGACCCTTCAGGCTCAGGCCCCAGCCCCGGCTCAGCTGGTTCTGGAGGTGGGGACTCCTGTGCAGGTTGGGATTCCTCAGGTTCAGCTTCTGAGTCCGAATCCCAGGCCATCACACCTACCTTGACTACAGTGGCTTTTCAGGGTCACATGCAAAGGTCTTTTCCATCACCTGCTGCCACATCCAGACCAACCACAGGAGATGCCAGGGACTGAACCCGGGAGCTTCTGCGAGCAAAGCCCATGTGGTCCCTCGGCCTGCTCCATGTGGATCCTATTTGATTTTTATTGGTGTAACTTATACCCTGCTTTTGCTCTCCATTTCGGGAGGCCTTTACAGGTTCATAGAAATGCTTCCTAATTCAAGGCAGCTCAATGATGCCTTTTCGCAAACAGGGCTTATCTCCCACAGAACCATTCTCTTGCAAATACCTGCTGGGATGGGAAACCGGAGACATTGTGTGCCAATCCAATGCAAAGAATAAGATGAATCATACTGAGAGGTGCCGCAGAAAATCACTGCCATTCTAAGAAAACCAAATACACTCTGAGGCTTAAATCTTTACTTTGCAGATTTTTAAAAATAATTTTTGGCCTCTTTCATGATCTCTTTCTCTCTGCTGAGAAAGAGTGCAGCTAAGCCTAAAATCCATGCCTAAAAATACGGACAATCTTTGCTTTTAGGGAGACAACCGTAAAACCATAACAATCAATGCAGCCTCCGTACCTCTCCTGTCCCTTGCTGTCAGTGGTGTCGCCTGGGCAGGGCCACAGGGTCGGTTGCCCCGAGCACAAAATCCCTAGGGGCGCAGAATTTCAAAAGAAAAAGAAAAAAAGTATCAATAACAAATAAAAAATAGCTCTGGGAATGGAATGGAGTGTCCTGGAAAGAGGCATGGAACTGGCAGGCTGCGAGTCTAAACAGAAGCATTAAGCGCTGCAACATTTAGTCGCAGGCCCTTCTTGTAAATTTGCAAGGGGTGGGGTGGCAAAGCTAAGCCCTATTCTATGGCCAGGATATTCAAAAAGCAAATGTGTACATCCTACGGAATGGTGGAAGTGTCAGGTTTTTCCCGGTCGATCACAAGAATCTTCCTACACTCTCTTATTCCCCGAGTCAAACTTCACAGCGTGGATTCGGGAACTGCTGTCTCAGAAATACTCTGAAGTGCAGAAGCTCTCTCTGGAAAAGAGTGTGTGGGTTTGTTCCCAGTTTCTGGGCTGTATTGAGCTGGTGTGATTCAGGTGCTCTGAAATATTACTAAGACAGCTGCAGCTTGAGTGGCTTATTGGCACATGCTGGAAAGAACAGTTTCTTGTTACAAGAGGGCTTTTTCCAAAGGAAACTTGTAGGTTTTATATATAAATATATATATCCCAAGCATTTAGAAAGACTGTAATGTGTGCTTGTAAAGTTCTTAAGATTTTTCCACTTTGTAAAATGTTCTTATTCAAACACCACTCCTGATCCCAGAATTCCTTAAGCGCTTAAGTGTTACCTTACTAGGTTTAGCTTAACAATCAATCTGGTTCCATTTCGGACAGCCGTTGGCTAGATTCACTTGGGAAGCTCGCCAGCAGGGCACGATTTGCTGTGTTTCTATTTATTTTTACAAAATCCTAGAATTGCAGTGTTCGAAGAGACCCCAAGGGTCATCTAGTCCAACCCCCTGCAATGCAGGACTCTTTGGTCCAAAGTGTACAAAAACCTACAACACTGAGATCAAGAGCCTCGTGCTTTACCGACTGAGCTATTCCAGGTCGGCGGGATTATAACTCACTTTATTAAGAAATTGTACAAAAGGCAGGGTAAAAATTGAAACATTAGAAACGAACGCAAAGCAGACAGTACATTGAAAGTACAATTGAAAACATTCACAAAGCAACGAAGTCAGAAATGAGGTTCACAGACCGAGGCTGAATCTAGACAAAATTTAAAACGCTGTGAAAATGCTTTTTTTTTTAAAAAAAAAAGTCTTAAAATATATATTGAATTTGCCATTAGCTCACCATCGCCATCTAGTGTCACATTTGTATAATGCACTTAGAACGCACTTAAAACTTTATATTTGCAGCTGTATAGCTGAGTCCCCAGACCTAAAATGCTGACAGAAAGGGCAAAGTATTTGGAAGGCAAGCAGCAATCGGGACAGGCAAACTTCTTTTGCCACATTCTTTTGCACTCTTTTTGTAGGCATACTGTGATCTGGCTGCCAACATAGAAAAGGCTCTGCCCACTGTGCATATCCACCGCAGCGCAGATGTCATGCGGGAGGGAGACGTGCAACAGGCTTCAGAAAATCAATGCAGAAATCAGGCAAATTCATATTAGTTGTTACATTTATCTCCCCGTTCCTAGTTCATCCCAAAACACAGCTGAGAGACGGAGCCTGGCCCAAGGTCACCCAGTGGGGATCTGAACCTCTCCCAACTCTTAACCCGACACTCTTAACCACTACAGTACACCAACTCAAGGGATCCAATTAATATGACTGCGACAGCACACGTGTTTTTGTCCGCAGCATCTAGCTATCAGATCTGGTTACACTTCCTCTGAACGCAGAGAGTCTATATAACGATCAAGGCTAGCAGTCAGGCAGATCTAGCTGTAAACCTGCTTAATCCTTTTTTAAATGCCACCCATTATGGTGGCTGTCAGAACCACCTGTTGCAATCTGATTGAACTGCAAACGGTGTCTCCCCCACCCCCAATCATCCTTTGAAGCATCTATCCCAGTTCTTTTTATTTTGCATTGTTTTGCTGAATATAAAAAGGTAAAGGACCCCTGGCAGTTAAGTCCAGTCAAGGCCACAATGGGGTGTGGCGCTCATCTCGCTTTTCAGGCCGAGGGAGCCGGCGTTTGTCCACAGACAGCTTTCTGGGTCACGTGGCCAGCATGACTAAACCGCTTCTGGCGCAACGGGACACTGTGACGGAAACCAGAGTGCATGGAAATGCCGTTTACCTTCCTGTCGCAGCAGTACCTATTTATCTACTCGTGCTGGCATGCTTTTGAACTGCTAGGTTGGCAGGAGCTGAGACAGAGCGATGAGAGCTCACTCCCATGGAGCGGATTCGAACCAGCCGACCTTCTGATCGGCAAGCCCAAGAGGCTCGGTAGTTTAGACCACAGCTCCACCTGCACTGAATATGCCAAGGAAGAGTTCTGTGGCATTTAAAAGCTTGCTGAAACAAACTAGAGTGGACGCTCGGGTTGCGAACGTGATCCGTGCGGGATGCATGTTCGCAACCCGCAGCAGTTCATCTGCGCATGCACAGGTAGCAATTCGGCGCTTCTGCACATAGCGCGATTTAGCGCTTCGGCGCATGTGTGACCGCCGAAACCCAGAAAGTAACCCATTCCGGTACTTCCGGGTTTCGGTGGTCCATAACCTGAAAAAAACGCAACCTGAAGTGTCTATAACCCGAGGTATGACTGTACTATCATAAAACAAGGTAGCATATTGCAGCCACCTCAAGGAACCAGCCAGAACCAGTCCTGCATGGGCCCAGTGGAGAGTTGTGCAGGCAAGGCAGTGTTGAAAAAGACATGAAGCACGGGGTAAAGAGGCTGGTGGCCGCAGCATGGGTCGCAAACGGAGTTTCCCATGTTCACTTTGGTAGCAATCTCACTGTCTCACTTACTTACTTCCTCTCCCCTGCGTCGGCATGAGCGCTCGGTTGCCTGCGTGATGACAGACCAGCGCAAATTCAGTATTATGCGCACGCACACATGCATATACATGACAGGGGCATCTAATGCCAGGTGCTTATCTTGGGGGTTGACTAGTAGACTGGGGCAGAGATCAGCAATATAAAGCATGCCACGCCAGACAGGTTACCTTGCAATAGCTCCATTAAATGCTTGTCAGCTGCGTTTCATCTTTAATAATTAGACTTAAAACCCAAGAACATTTCATTATCACATAATAACTGGATTAGGGTAACAAAAGGGAGAAGAAAGAAAGAATAATTCAGCCTGTGACCTGACAAGAGGTTGGAGGCTTTGACGGCAATTACCATTCTAAGAACCTGCCTGGGCCCACAGAAGGGGAATAATCCGGGCAGATGTCAACTGTGCAGCTACAAAGAGGCTGCTGACCAGCTCCTGCCTCAGACGCAGAGACTGAAAGTGCCCCAAAGTCATCCACAGATCGTCGCTGGCTGCGTGCAGGCCTCATTCACTGAAGGCCGGTGGAAAGGTCAGGATTTGATCTCCTTCTTAGCTGTAGTTAAGAAATTGAGAGAAGGCCAATGGAACATATATATCTGAGTTTCTAACACTGGTACGGGGATAGCCTGCATCCCTTCCTGCAGCCTACCTTGATTTCAGCAAGGCATTTGACAAGGTGCCCCATGATATTCTTGTAAAGAAGCTGGTAAAATGCGGTCTTGACTATGCTACCACTCAGTGGATTTGTAACTGGCTGACTGACCGAACCCAAAGGGTGCTCATCAATGGTTCCTCTTCATCCTGGAGAAGAGTGACTAGTGGGGTGCCACAGGGTTCTGTCTTGGGCCCGGTCTTATTCAACATCTTTATCAAGGACTTGGATGATGGACTCAAGGGCATCCTGATCAAATTTGCAGATGACACCAAACTGGGAGGGGTGGCTAACACCCCAGAGGACAGGATCACACTTCAAAACGACCTTGACAGATTAGAGAACTGGGCCAAAACAAACAAGATGAATTTTAACAGGGAGAAATGTGAAGTATTGCACTTGGGCAAAAAAAATGAGAGGCACAAATACAAGATGGGGGACACCTGGCTTGAGAGCAGTACTTGTGAAAAGGATCTAGGAGTCTTGGTTGACCACAAACTTGACATGAGCCAACAGTGTGACGCGGCAGCTAAAAAAGCCAATGCAATTCTGGGCTGCATCAATAGGAGTATAGCATCTAGATCAAGGGAAGTAATAGTGCCACTGTATTCTGCTCTGGTCAGACCTCACCTGGAGTACTGTGTCCAGTTCTGGGCACCACAGTTCAAGAAGGACACTGACAAACTGGAACGTGTCCAGAGGAGGGCAACCAAAATGGTCAAAGGCCTGGAAACGATGCCTTATGAGGAACGGCTAAGGGAGCTGGGCATGTTTAGCCTGGAGAAGAGGAGGTTAAGGGGTGATATGATAGCCATGTTCAAATATATAAAAGGATGTCACACAGAGGAGGGAGAAAGGTTGTTTTCTGCTGCTCCAGAGAAGCGGACACGGAGCAATGGATCCAAACTTCAAGAAAGAAGATTCCACCTAAACATTAGGAAGAACTTCCTGACAGTAAGAGCTGTTCGACAGTGGAATTTGCTGCCAAGGAGTGTGGTGGAGTCTCCTTCTTTGGAGGTCTTTAAGCAGAGGCTTGACAACCATATGTCAGGAGTGCTCTGATGGTGTTTCCTGCTTGGCAGGGGGTTGGACTCGATGGCCCTTGTGGTCTCTTCCAACTCTATGATTCTATGATTCTAAATAAGTTGTTGCCCTCCAACTCCCATCAGTTTCAGCCAGGAAGGCAAGCGGTCAGAGATGATGGGAGCTGCAGTGCAGGAATATCTGCACGTTAGCAACCCCTGTGGGGATTCCAAGCTTCTCTGGCAGTACTGGGCAGTGCCATGTGGCAGCGCCACTCACCTGACCTCTGGTTTGTGTGGTTGCTGAGGCCACCACCACCCTACAAAGCCATCTGCCACTGCGGCTTCAAGAGCAGGGACCCGTCCTCTCATTCTTTGCAAAGTGCCGGGCACACAGATGGCACCCTATAAATAAAGCTTGTGCCGGGAAGCTGATGCCAATCTTGCCTTCCCAGAGCATGTGCTGGCAATGAGAAAGACACACATGCTATCATCAAAAACTACAAGCAGCTCTCCTTTATGCATTACACTTGCCATGCAGTCTGACTTGTTCCACACAGGGGACAAAAGATGTTTGCAGCAGCCGACATAGATGGTCTTTGCAGTGTCTCACTTCCTAAAATTAATCAGCCATCCTTAAGTGGACTGGCAAACATGTGTTTCATGCTGGTCACTTGCTGCTGCTGCTGTTGTTATTACCACCACTCAATAAATTTATTAGTCGCTTTTCTTTTGCCACGACAACTCAAAACGACTGACAATTATTTCAAACAAATGGCTCAGTCTGGTAGAACATGAGACTCAATCTTAAGAGTTGCAGGTTCGAGTCCCACGTTGGGCTCCATTGCACCCTCCATTGCAGGGTGTCGGACTAGACACAGCGGTTCTCAACCTGTGGGTCCCCAGATGTTGTTGGACTACAACTCCCATCATCCCTGAGCTCTGGCCTTGCTAGCTAGGGGTGATGGGAGTTGTAGTCAAACAACATCTGGGGACCCACAAGTTGAGAAAGGCTGGACTAGAGGATCCTTGTGGTCCCTTTCCAACTCTACAGTTTTATGATTCCATGAAATAAACAGAAACATACTTGAAAACCTGCATTTTTAAAATAAACTCTAAAGGCTAACCCTATTTTTTAAAACGACATTAAAACATCCCCGCCCACTTACAGAGGCCATGGATAACTATTTTTTTTTTTTAATAATTTTTTTTATTAAGATTTTAAACAAAGAAAAAGAAAAACAACACAAACAAAAAAAAAATACAGAATTTAACAGTAAAAAGACAAAACATAACAATTAAAAACAAACTCTCTTTTCCGTTCCCAATTTTATATTACTTATTTTCTAGACTTCCTCATACCTCCCTCTTTTGTATTCCAATCTACATTATTTGTCCAGCAGTTTCTTTTCCACTTTTTTAAACCCAATCTTTAATTTAATAAAATATTAAAATATATAACTTCAACTTTTTTAAACATAATCCTTATTCTTAATGTCATATACCTTTAAATTTTTCCCTTTTATTATCAAATTTCCATTTCTTTAAACATCCTTAATCTTGATCTTTAATCTTAATCTATCCTTAACTTTAACCTGTATAGCTGGAAACCATTTATTTTCAATCCAACATCACTCTAACATTCCTTAATTTTGCAATGTTTCTGAAGATAGTCTTTGAATTTCTTCCAATCTTCCTCCATCAACTCTTCTCCCTGGTCACGGATTCTGCCAGTCATTTCCGCCAATTCCATATAGTCCATAAGTTTCATCTGCCATTCCTCCAGCGTGGGAAGTTCTTGTGTCTTCCAATACTTTGCGATGAGTATTCTTGCTGCTGTTGTTGCATACATAAAGAAAGTTCTATCCTTTTTAACACCATTTGGCCCACTATGCCCAGGAGAAAGGCCTCTGGTTTCTTAGGGAAGGTATACTTAAATACCTTTTTAATTCATTATATATCATTTCCTAGAAAGCCTTAATCTTTGGGCACGTCCACCAAAGGTGAAAAAATGTACCTTCAGTTTCTTTACATTTCCAACATTTATTATCGGGCAAGTGATAGATTTTCGCAAGCTTGACTGGGGTTATGTACCATGGTTCCAGGTACATGGATAACTAAAAGCCAAAGGTCGGGCGAAACAGGAATGATTTTGCCTGGTACCTAAAGATATATGACAATGGAGCCAGGAGAGCTTTCCTGGAGAGAGCATTCCAAGCTGCATTCCTGATTGTTCAGATGACCTTAATAAAGCCCCTTCCTAAGGCACCTTAGGGAAGCTACCTATAGATACTGCGTTGGAGGCTGTATGCCTCTGAATATCAGTTGTTGGGATTCACAAACAGGGAAAGTGCAGTTGAGCTCTCAGGGTCCCTCTTGCGCAATTCCCACATGCATAAGGCTGGCCATCGTGAGAAGAGGATGATGGACGAGACAGGTTGTTGGCCTGGTCCATCTTCCTATGGATTCTTAACAGGTAGGAAAGGTTAAAAAGTCTAGCACAAACTTCAAGCTGCTTTAAGTCATTTCTATTTTGCTGACAGTAGAAACTTGCACCCTCCCCCAAAACATGGTCATATCTACCAAGGGACCCTGTCTGTTGAGGACAAAGGGAATATAATGGCATGCGCTGCTTGAAAACAGATCAATATGACTGCTGATCGTCAAGTTTTGTTTATTTGCTTTTGCACGTCAAATACAGTATGGAATTATCAATACAGTGGTGCCCCGCAAGACGAATGCCTCGCAAGACGAAAAACTCGCTAGACGAAAGGGTTTTGCGTTTTTTGAGTCGTTCCGCAAGATGAATTTCCCTATGGGCTTGCTTCGCAAGACGAAACGTCTTGTGAGTTCTTGCGAGTTTGTTTCCTTTTTCTTAAAGCCGCTAAGCCGTTAATAGCCGCTAAGCCGCTAATAGCTGTGCTTCGCAAGACGAAAAAACCGCAAGACGAAGAGACTCGCGGAACAGATTAATTTCGTCTTGCGAGGCACCACTGTATACAGTGATACCTCATGTTAAGAACTTAATTCGTTCTGGAGGTCCGTTCTTAACCTGAAACTGTTCTTAACCTGAAGTACCACTTTAGCTAATGGGGCCTCCTTCTGCTGCCGCTGTGCGATTTCTGTTCTCATCCTGAAGCAAAGTTCCTAACCTGAGGTACTATTTCTGGGTTAGCGCAGTCTGTAACCTGAAGTGACTGTAACCTGAAGCGTCTGTAACCTGAGGTACCACTGTACCGATAGCAAAAGGGAAGGATGGGAGTCAATATACATGCATATAAATGTTGTCTTTTGTTTTTTTAAGAGGGAATAAAAAAATCCACAGAGATTAAAAACCTAGTTTTGACCCAGAAATCATCTTCCCTTTAATAACTGGGACCTAGTTTTTGCAAATAAACTCAGCCATGTTTTCTGTGTTGTTAGGGTTCGGATCTGCCATTGAAACGAGACAGAAAATTCATGCAAGTTCCTCAAGTGTTGGCAAAGCACACTTGGGGGAGATAAGACTGCTAATGACCGGAAGATTGTTTCGGGGGGGGGGGGGGGGATATACAATTCACACACACAGGGTGTGCTTGACCTAGGAGCTCTGACTCGAAGAATCTATGGTAGCAGCTACAAGGAATGATGAATCGTGTTTCAACAAGGGCTCCAAGTTGATGTTATCTCCGGGCCTTCGCCCAACCGCAGATTACACGGAGTGTTACGTTGTTAAGCAAGAATTCTTGGAAGAAACAGTGCTGGTGTCAGTCCTTTAAGCTAGCAAAGCTGTTGCAAAAGTGAGGGGGGAAAGACGTGGTATTTTGGGATGTGCTATCAGCGGCAGTAACCTTCTTAAAACAAAGTTGCCTCTATAGCAGGAGGAACACAAGGCCAAACCGGGGGGGGGGGGGGGATTTACAAAGAAAAAAGAATGATTATCTCAGATGTGCCTCTGAAAATCAGAGGATAAAGCTGTCCCGCAACATTTCCCCTTGACTCAGCTTAGTCTACCCACACTTTCTGTTTGTTAGCTATTGGCGTGGATACAGCTGAGCAAGACAGGCCCAGCATCACTACCTGGCAAATTTGGGGAGCTGCTGGGACCCCAACAGGGCCTGACTCCAGCCCCAGATCCTCCAAGTGTCCCTATTTTCCAGGGACAGCCCTGGATTTACAGGTTTCTGATTTGATTGCGAAATGTCCCACTTTTCCTTAGGACGTCCCTATTTTCATTGGAGAAATGTTGGAGGGTATGGAGTTATGTGACACCCCCAAGCCCAGGAGTTAAGTAACTCTAAAGCCTTTAGAAGACATCTGAAGGCAGCACTGTACAATGGTACCTCTACTTAGGTGCCCTTCTTGTTACGTATCCTCCGGGATATGCACACGACAAACCTGGAAGTATATTTCTGGGTTTCGCCGCATGCGAAGTAGTGCTCTATCGTGTGACACGCATGTGCAGAACAGGCACCTCCAGTTGCGGAAACCTTGGGATCTGACTGGAGCTCCAGAACGAATTCTGTCCGCAACTGGAGGTACCACTGTATAAGGAAGTTTTTTATTTATGTTTAATGTTCTATTAAACGGGACGCGGGTGGCGCTGTGGGTTAAACCACAAAGCCTAGGACTTGCCGATCAGAAGGTCGGCGGTTCGAATCCCCGTGACAGGGTGAGCTCCCATTGTTCAGTCCCTGCTCCTGCCAACCTAGCAGTTCGAAAGCATGTCAAAGTGCAAGTAGATAAATAGGGACCGCTCCGGTGGGAAGGTAAACGGCGTTTCTGTGTGCTGCTCTGCTTCGCCAGAAGCGGCTTAGTCATGCTGGCCACATGACCCGGAAGTGGTCTGCGGACAAACGCCGGCTCCCTTGGCCTATAGAGCGAGATGAGCACGCAACCCCAGAGTCGGTCACGACTGGACCTAATGGTCAGGGTTCCCTTTACCTTTACCTTAATGTTCTATTATGTTTTTATATATGTTGGAAGCCAAGCAGAGTGGCTGGGGCAACCCAGTCAGATAGGTGGGGTATAAATATGATGATGGAATAGAAAGTCTGTATTTCCATCGGAGAAATGTTGGAGGGTATGCAGTCCCGAGTCTTCCAAACCATGTAGGTTGGTCCTCAAACCACCGTCTAAATTTCCCAGAAGCACTATGCTGGGAGCTCTAAGGGATTCTGAAAAACCAAACACCAGCTCTTTGCCACCCTTAGTGCAGTGCTGCCACCACTATGCCTGAGGAAGCCCCCAACAGAGCAATTCCCTCAGGGCTCAAATTTGGATAAGTCTAATGCAAAGGACCCCTGGACGGTTAAGTCCAGTCAAAGGCGACTCTGGGGTTGTGGCGCTCATCTTGCTTTCAGGCCGAGGGAGCCGGCGTTTGTCTGCAGACAGTTTTTCTGGGTCATTTGGCTAGCATGACTAAACCACTTCTGGCGCAACAGGACACTGTGACGAGTGCCAGAGCGCACAGAAACGCCGTTTACCTTCCTGACGTAGCGCTGGTATGCTTTCAAACTGGTTGGCAGCAAAATTTGGAGCAAAATAGACCCAGCAAGGTAGGCCCACTCTCGCCAAGGAAGCAGAGAGTTGTGCAAGACCAGAACTCCTGAAACAACTGCTGAAACTGCAGTCATCTGAACGTCTCATAAATGTACATAAATTCATCCCATTTATATCCATTTGTTGTTTTAATGTGTTGTAAACTGCTTAGAGATTTTTTTTCTTTAAAATATAAAGCGGTAATGAAAATAATGAAATAATGAAATAATGAAAATAATAATTATTATTTATTTCACTGAGGAAACATATGGTGCCTAGACAGTCTGTTGTGGTGACTGCAACCTAGGTTTAAGGTGCCATTGGCTGATTAGCTTATCTATTTGAGTTTCTAACGCTACTCAAACCTTCCAACAGCTTAATGCCACCAGCAGGTCTCTTGTTATGAGCCCAACAGTGATTTTAGTGCTAGGTAAATGACAGGATTTTGTAAGCATCCCAAGCCTGTTTGGATGCCAGATCTAATAATTACTTTTCAGAAATGTGACCACTAAAGTATATGTTTAAGCAAGCAAGATTTCAAAATACCAGTGTTACAAACTCCCGGCTCAGGGCTGCTTCTTTAAATATAACATTTAGCAGTTCTTTATACAGCTGGCGCTGTCTATTTAAGTCAAAGGCGCAACACAAACAGCAGCTGAACAGGAACAATTATTTAGCATTTCTAAATCATTCATAAAAGACGCTGGCATATTGGAGTGCTGTTCAAAATACCACAGTGCTTGCACATGGCATTTAGCTAAAACGTCTAGAAATTGTTGCTGGGAGGGTGAGAGTGGGGAATCCCATTCCTTCTCCTTATTTATGTTATCCGCACAGGTGTTATTGTTTCTAACAATGTAGAATAAGTTTCAGCAAAACACATTGGAGGAACCCTGAAGACCTTCCTTGGTTCTTAAAAAGAAATGCGCACACACAAAGCAATCAACCCTACAGTTTTTCTTCATTCACAAAAAGAAACCATAATATATTTGACAGCTCAGCTCTGCACAGCTAATGCTAGCTACACAGCAACCGACAGGAATGTATTATATAAAATGCACTCACTGTTATCCATTAAACCAAATTTTTACACTAGTAATTTAACCCATTTGGTAATATTGTAGTTCTTCAGGTAGTATTTTAATTTATTTTCATTTTCTTGTTTCCCCAGTCATAAGGTCAGTTTGCATTTTTTATAAAAGCCTTCACACAAGAAATCATTTTGCTGCACTTTTATCCTAATATACACATTTTTGTATTCAATTTCCCTTAAAAAAAATACACTTTAGCAAGCTACTCTTCCTAATATAATACAGGTTTATATTATTTTCACAAATGCATCCATTTTTATGTGCATTTCCTCCAAATGGATGCATTTGTTTGTTGGAGAACCACGTTGCAAAATTTCACGGGGTGTGAATTTCTAAGCATTGCCATGTTTCCATTCCCATACTGTTTCGGGATGTGCAATAAAATGTGAACTGAATCAAATCTCTCCCTCATTGCTAGAAATAGCCCATAATTTCAAGAAGCGCCAGTACTGTCAGTATAAGGCAAAGCATGGACAAGATGATGCGCTGTGGCATTTTCACTAGTGCAGCAAAATGTCCTGGGATACCAGGGCATTTGAAAACATTTTTCACTGAAGCTATGATTCAACCGCAGCACAAATCAGCTATAGGTGGGAAGGTAGAAGGGTGTGGAGGCTCTCAACAAACCCCATTCAACACCAACAGCATTCTTCCCTACTACAGTAATCTCCAGCAATCGTGGACAGCAGGAGCAACAAAACAGAGGTCTTTAAACTGAAAGACACACAAATGACATTGGTCAAGGCCCCAAACAGCCGCAAGCTGAGACCCAGTTAACATGCCATGCACTAACCACTCAGCACATTAATGCAACTGCACTTTACCACACCCTTTAACTCACAGACATCCGTTCGCTCGTGTATCACAAAGGAAACAACAGAGGGAAGAGCCCTAAAGAGAGGGGCGAAACTGAAAACCTTAGGGCCACCCAAAAGTGCAAAATGCTGACTTTGTTGTTGTTTAGTTGTTTAGTCATGTCCGACTCTTTGTGACCCCATGGACCAGAGCACGCCAGGCACTCCTGTCTTCCACTGCCTCCCGCAGTTTGGTCAAACTCATGCTGGTAGCTTCGAGAACGCTGTCCAACCATCTCGTCCTCTGTCGTCCCCTTCTCCTTGTGCCCTCCATCTTTCCCAACATCAGGGTCTTTTCCAGGGAGTCTTCTCTTCTCATGAGTAATTTAACCCATTTAAAAATGCTGACTAGGAACAGGATATTAAGTTGCTCGTGCTGGCGTCAAGTGCCACGACTCCAACAGCTGTCCTCTTGCAAGTGCACCTGCCTCGTGTTTACAGGTATGTTTCCTTCCTGCAAGGTGTGTAAAGGACAGGCGATATCATGCCAGCATCTTTAAACACCTGGGCGCATAACCCCTGGCAATCCTGGCTGCACCTGGGTGCCCTGATGCATTCATAAGCAGAGTTTAAAAGTTCTGGCAAGTTGCCTACACTTCAGCACGTTTGTTGGGAGAGGCGCACCCCATCACTTGTAGGGCTACGTGGCAATTGTTGTGGATCAAGTGTGGAGCTCATGGAAGTGTTCTGCATTTGCTACGCTTATTTCTGGACACTCATCAATAAGGATCTGTGGAATGAGACAGCCATAGGGGCAATAAAGTTTAGCTACCCTGGTGTTTACAATTAATGGGGTTTTGCATCTGAATCTGTGATTGACAGGTTTTTTCAAGCAAATGCTCTCCTCTTCTCTTCCTGGAGTTAGTAAGAGGAACAAATCTCCCTCTTGCCAGTTGCACCAGCACCTAGAGCTAACCCCAAAATTTCAAAATCATGGCATAATGCTACAAAATGCATGGTGGTTAAGGAAAGAGGGAGAAAACAAAGCAATATAAAACAGATGTAGATGCGTCAGTTAGGAGATGTTTTTCACCCTGCATAAATCCGTGGTTATGTTGAATTTAGTAGCCCTTTGTCGATGCCTCTCAAATGTGGATGCTGGAAAGAGTGGTTTTAAAGGTCGGCTGTTGGATACAGTCAGGATTAACAGCATACATGTCAACAGAACGGGCGAGAGGTTTCTCACACAGACATTGGGAAACACTGATCCAGCAGATGATGCCAAACCACCTGCTATGAAAATAGTTTTGAAGCTGCACTTGAGTGTGTGCGCACACACACACACCAATCCCCTCCAATACACAACCATGCCCAATTCTGACACAGATCCTGCGCTGAATTCTTCTAGTTTCGCTTAAATTGCTTGAGCGGTTGTAAAGTTTTCTGTAACCACACAGCCTGGAAGCATGCCTTTTTTTGCAGGGGAGGGTTTAAAAGGGGGGGAAAGGAAATTAAAAGCTGACATATCCAGCACTGACAACGACACAGATGCCTTTGCTAGAAAGCCAGATGCTGTAATTCATAGTACAATCACAGCCCCAGAGATTTCTAGATACCCAATGCATTTTGTTGCCTCTCTCAATATAAAGAGAATCTTGCGTCAGCATAATGTAAAGCAATCTTACATGATCTTTCAAGAGCTCCCTTAATAAAGCCACCCTCCAACTCCATGTTCAGCTCTGCATTAAGATCAAGCATGAGTAGAACCTATCCAAATAATATGAAGAAAGTAAATAATTAGAATAATAATTGTGTTCGATGGCTCCCCCGGGGCATAATATAAACAAAGGGCTCACTAACTAATATTAATACAACTTAAAGGGAGCACAAATAGGCACTTTAGCAAAGTGTGGCAAAGATATAGTTTAGCGTTCATTCCCCACGTGGAAAACAATTTGTCACCACATTCCCACAATGGATTGATGTTGCTACTTTTGCGAGCCTCCAGCCAATGCAGCACATGGGGCAGAATCCAACCAGATGCTCAGCACTTTTGAGACAAACTAAACAATGCTTAACTTTGCTCTTAACAACAGATAGTCGTCAACTAAGTATTTACTCAGAGTAGACGTACTGAAATTAATAGACCGAACTTGGCTATTTTAATGAATTTCAATGGGTCTACTCTATCAGTAAAACTTGGCTGAATACCACCCACTATCTGCCGCTTGTTGTTGTTGTTTAGTCGTTTAGTCGTGTCCTACTCTTCGTGACCCCATGGACCAGAGCACGCCAGGCACTTCTGTCTTCCACTGCCTCCCGCAGTTTGGTCAGACTCATGTTTGTAGCTTCAAAGACACTATCCAACCATCTCGTCCTCTGTCGTCCCCTTCTCCTTGTGCCCTCCATCTTTCCCAACATCAGGGCCTTTTCTGCCGCTTAGTAATATGCTAATAATTTTTTTAATAAACCTGCATAAATTGCTAACTTAATCCCTCTTTCAAGTCTATCTGCATGGCCAAGTACTTAAAGTCACCTGACCAGCATTCGAACACAGACCTGGCCTTTTAGATTTCTCCTTCTCTTAGAAGTCCTTTTGCCTTCTTACATTTCGCTTTGCTTTGTTTGCAAGCCACATGCTTTATTCCACGAATGCGGGGGCATTTATGTCCTGCGAGCTGCTGCCTCTCGAGCATGTTAGAAACTTGTGACCAACCCTTGCTTCTCAAAACAACTTGGGGGAACAGCTGCCTTCATGCCTTGCTTCTAAGCTTCCCATGGATAGAAGCAGAAAGGTAAGATGCAGTTAATGGTTTGCTGTGCATGCGTTGAACACACATGCGCTACTCCCTGCTAGCACAGAGCTACGTCAGAACCAAGAATGGTGGTTTGTTTTGCTTCAAACCATGATCACAAAACTGGCCGACGGAAGGAAGATGTTGCAGCTGTTTACAATCTGCTTCATGGGGAGGTTTCTCCATCTGGAATTGACACTTTGCACGTGGACCATCTGAAACCCCTTAAAACTATTAAAATATACATCTGTTCAAATAGGTGCGGGTAACACCTGATTCTACATGGAAGTACCAGTACTGATATTCTGGCAAATTGGAGCTGTTCTTAAGTAACATTTATTACAGCATTGGGCTGCATTTCAAAACCATTAAAAACAAACAAAAGCACCTGGAGATGCGTGATTAACATATCTGCTTCATTAAGACTTTACATTATTGTCCCGCTAAAAGATGAGGCCAGAAGTACAGATGCTCAGAACTAAACAGGAGAATATTAGCATTATTTAGATAGGTTATTTACCATGATATTTTTCTTTTTTAAAAACAAACAAACAAACTCACTTGCATAAGTTAGGGATTCAGCTTATCACAGCTATTTTGCTTGCTGCTAAGAAAACCCAAGTAGTCTATCAACGCCGTCAGCTAAAATTCCATTCCAAACTAATGGCTTACAGCCATCACAGCAAATTGAAGGAGTTCCAGTTTCTACAGCCAATGCGTGTGGTTTTCTGCTTTCCAGAGACACCAAAGACTGTCTGTTAGCTCAGAGCCTATCTTTCTTAAGGCTGCTTCACTCACACTTTCCTACATGGAAACCGGCATCCTATGGGGCTACATACAATCCTATCATGCACATGTTCTTGTTGTTGTTTAGTCGTTTAGTCATGTCCCGAGTCTTCGTGACCCCATGGACCAGAGCAGGCCAGGCACTCCTGTCTTCCACTGCCTCCCGCAGTTTGGTCAAACTCATGCTGGTAGCTTTGAGAACACTATCCAACCATCTCGTTCTCTGTCATCCCCTTCTTCTTGTGCCTTCCATCTTTCCCAGCATCGGGGTCTTTTCTAGGGAGTCTTCTCTTCTCATGAGGTGGCTAAAGTACTGGAGTCTCAGCTTCAGGATCTGTCCTTCCAGTGAGCACTCAGGGCTGATTTCCTTAAGAATGGAGAGGTTTGATCTTCTTGCAGTCCATGGGGCTCTCAAGAGTCTCCTCCAGCACCCTAATTCAAAAGCATCAATTCTTCGGCGATCAGCCTTCTTTATTGTCCAGCTCTCACTTCCATACATCACTACTGGGAAAACCACAGCTTTAACTATATGGACCTTTGTTGGCAAGGTGATGTCTCTGCTTTTTAAGGTGCTGTCTAGGTTTGTCATTGCTTTTCTCCCAAGAACCAGGCGTCTTTTAATTTCGTGGCTGCTGTCACCATCTGCAGTGATCATGGAGCCCAAGAAAGTAAAATCTCTCACTGCCTCCATTTCAACTTTTCCTATTTTTTTAAGGGAAATTCCCTTATTCCGAATAGGATTCCTCGCAAGAAAAGGGAAAAGTTGACAGCTATGATCATGCACTTGCTATGAACTGGCATGTCTGACAATTGCATTGGAGCACAAATGTGCAACCAGTGTGCACAGAATTATAGAAAGATTGCAGAGTCTTTCGCAGACATAAGTACTTTCTACATAGGGAACAAACTCCCCCTTTCCAAACTGCAACATCTGAGGTTGAAAGGGGCAGCACAGGGAAGGGCTTTGTACTTTGTACTTCTCCTTTGTACCTCTGAATGCCTGAGGTGCAAATGAGAAGGGAGAGTTTGCAAAGCCCTTTATTGTCCTCATCTTTCTCTGCAATGCTGGAGGTGCAAAGGAGAAGGGGAAAGAACTGTAAAGGGCTTTCGATTCCTCCTTGCACAGCTGCTTTCTACCTCCTAAGTCTGAGGTGGAGTCAGCGAGAGCCTTAGGAGACATAGTGACTTCAAAGTAGGAAGTTAGCTGGCCACAAATTAGGGATATTCTAACAGAGCAATTTCTCAGCGTTCACCTCGATGTTGATGGTTTCTGTAGCAAATTCACCCCGACACTGTCTTGGCCAAGGGATACGACGTTTGAGTAGACAACTGGACTGTCTCCTATCATCTTTTGCCTTCGAAACAGGGTTTGTTATTGTTAAAACAGTGTCATCAGATAAACGAGAATCGTAACAGACACTTGTTCATTTTAAAAAAAGAAGATTGCCAGTGCAACTTTTGGATGCTTCAAAATTTTCCCCAGCTGCCAAATGATAAGGAAAAGAGGGGATGCTTCGTGTTTGTTTTTCAAAATATATTAATCCCCCAGAGAAATCATGAGCCCAGGATCAGACACAGCGCTAAGCCAAACCACAGTAGCAGAAGCAGAAGCCAGAGAGAAGTGCTGTCTGTGCCCATTATTCTTGCTTCGGCAACCCAGAGGTTTGTTCAAAGCCATGGTCTGGCTTAATGTTAAGAGCAAACCGGGTCAAAGTCAATGGTACATGTATCCTGTGCTGCCTACGCTGAATCCTCAAAGATTTTAGACTGAAGTCTTTCCCAGCCCTGAACCCATTTTAGACTGAGACTTTAGAAATGCTAAATATTAACCTGTCACCATGCTACCCCCCCCCCCACTCCACGTCCCTTTCTTGGGGGCTGACACTGTGTTTTACTAAGCTAAGCTGTATGATGTATTGCAGGCACTGCAAAACTTGCTCTATTTATTTTTGTTAAAGGACAGAAATGTCAGCCAACCATTTAAGCATAATTACCCTGCTGCAATTAACTGAACTTTCAATTTAAGAAACCACAAACCTTGTTTTTGTTTTGTTTTTTTGAGGAGGTACAGAAGAGAGGTTAGGAGGGAAGCTTTGGATAATTAACAGTGTCACACACATCTTGAATCCAAACAGAACTCATGCGTCAAAGGTGGCGTTCATATAACTATTTCGAAAGCTTTTTTAGAGAGAGAGGCAGAAAGTCAAAATTACAAGGCAACTGGATATGCTATTAAAATAATACTACATATATATGTTAAAGTTTCCAGACTTTAATTCTTGTCTGATGTTGATCTACAGCAAAACAAGATTTCTTTCAGGGCAGATGAACACAAATGTATCAGTGTGTTTCCACATGTTTGCAAACACATGTTTGCAGACTACAGCTGCAATGCTATACATGCTTACCTGGGGGTAAGCCTCACTATGAGCATTTCTTCCGAATGGACACGTATAGGATTGTGTGGTACCTGCTGTTCTAGATTTCCTTACCAATAGCACACGTAACAGAATGTGTTCCTTCCCATCACTATTATGAAGAATTGCTCAGGCAACCAGGGCCCTGTCTCCAGTGATGCTATTCATGTTCCCACTTTGACTTCAATCAATCAAAATGAGTGTATGAAAAAGCGCTCCCTTTTTATGAGATGAGAACACCTCCACACTGCCGCCAGCCTCTCTGTCCTTCACATTTTATGTGGTTGACACCAAAGCAGTCACACAGAGCTTCAGATCCCATTGCTCCTCACATGCATTAAGTAGGCCTTTAAAAGGTAAAGGGACCCCTGACCATTAGGTCCAGTCGCGGACGACTCTGGGCTTGTGGCGCTCATCTCGCTTTATTAGCCGAGGGAGCCGGCGTACAGCTTCTGGGTCATGTGGCCAGCATGACTAAGCTGGTTCTGGCGAACCAGAGCAGCGCACGGAAACGCCATTTACCTTCCCGCCGGAGCGGTAATTATTTATCTACTTGCACTTCCTGCTTTCGAACTGCTAGGTTGGCAGGAGCAGGGACTGAGCAACAGAAGCTCACCCCGTCGTGGGGATTCAAACCACCAACCTTCTGATTGGCAAGTCCTAGGCTCTGTGGTTTAACCCACAGCACCACCCGCGTCCCTCAAGTACACCTTTACAGGCACACTAAATTCTCCTCCCAGACAATAATTCTCCCAGAGTTCTCAGGCTAAACTTACAAAGTCAGGCAAAATACAGGATCTATATTGGGTTGGGTCCAGACTTGCCCTTCTGCGAACTTATGTCCACAGAAAGGACTCTGTTCCAGCAAAGGCTTCATCTGGAGGGAGGGAGGAGTTGAGAGAGGGCAGATTTCCACTCCTTCCCTCTTCCTCTTGCAGTTAGCATACATGCCAAGCACCCTCTTTTCAGTGAGATGGCCCGGCTTTCTCTGAGGACACCCCAGGTTTTGTCTTCATCCTGGAGCGCCCCGGTTTCATGCCGTGGTGGGAGGAAGTGAGGGGTGGTGCTCTGGTGCAAATCAGCTGGGCCAGAGCACTAGACTGAAAAAGCAGTCTCTTCTGGTTGATTCACGCCAGAGTGCCAAACCAAAATCCACACGTTTTTTGTTTTTGCGAACAAGCAACTTTTGGTTTCGTGCGCTCGCGCATGCGCCAAAGTTCCAGATCTATCTCTATCTCTATCAAACAACACACAATTACCTACGCAGTTTCTATCGATACACAGGGTGGGAAATTAATTTGCTATGAGAACAAACAAGGTGTTGTTAATCCAAGAAGATTAAAAATAATTCCAAAAACTAATGGTCCTGGCTGCCAATTGTAATAACATAACATTGATAAAATTATTATTATTTTTTAAAAAAACTTTTGTAAAAGCTGTGTAGTTTATAGTTAACATGTATACAGTGGTACCTCGGTTTTCAAACGTCTCCGTTGACAAACGTTTTGGTTTCCGAACACCGTAAACCCGGAAGCAAATGCTTCCATTTTCGAAAATGCCTCGGAAGTCGAACGGCTTCCGCTGAGTGTATGTTATTTTCCTCAACTTTCTCTATTAAATTTGCAGACTGCCCTTTGCGCCTCAGTTTTCAAATGTTTTCAAAACTCTAACGGTCTTCCGGAATAGATTACGTTCGAAAACCAAAGTACCACTGTATCCGTCTACATAGAGACACTTATCTGTATACATTATACAGACAGCTGGTGTACTATAGTGGCTAAGGACTGAGCAGCAAATCAGATAATCCATGGTTCAAATCTCACCTCTGCCACGAACTCACTATGTGGCTTTAGGCAAGCCACTCTCTCTCAGTGTCAGTTCCCCATCTGCAATATGGGAAGCAATAATAATGACTCGTCTTACAGGGCTGTTGTTAGGATTCCAGCTACTCTAAATGACCCACACGAAGCACTATGAGTGCTATACAAATAATACAGTCATATTCTTGATATAAATGTTCCAACTTCTGGCTTATTGCAAAAACACAACATTCAGATTTCAGCATACACTGCGGATTCAGAGCTGTGGAGACCATAACCAGCGGTTTCATTGAGCTGGTAGTTATCAGAGCTTTGCGTCCTTTGCACAGTAATACACATTTCTTCAGAAACTGGGGGCAAAAGCAAGGTTTCATCCTGTGGAACATATACAAATTTGTGCATCGTTTGCTTGTTTTGTTTCTGCTCACTGCAGCAAGGGGCAAGGAGGTATTTGGGGCACCTCATCGCTCTACACCAGGAACACTGTTTGGGCAGTCCCTTTCCTGTCTCCTCCCACCACTTCCTGGGGCTCCTTAAGAAAGACCCGTGTGACCTGAGGGAAAACAGAAGAATGGACACCCAGGCTAGAGCTCATGGAGTGAGGGTTCTTTGCCCCAGTTGTTCTATATTTATACCATTTGTTTGTTTTACCACACTAAAATTATATACAGTCATACCTCAGGATGAATACACTTCAGGTTAAGCATTTTTGGGTTGCGCTCTGTGGTGACCTGGAAGTAACAGAACGCATTACTTCTAGGTTTCGCCGCTCGCGGATGCGCTCAAAATGATGTTACACGCATGCGCGGAAGCGGCGAAACGCGACCCGCACACTCACGTGTTACGTTCGCTTCAGGATGTGGAATGGATCCCGTTCGCATCCAGAGGTACCACTGTACCCCCCATGAGAGAAAGATGGTGTATAAGTGCAATCAATCAATCAATCACTGGAACACTTATCCCCCTCCCATTCCTGGTTTCTGACATTTCACAAAAAGTCACCCCTACGGTAACACATACCGGGGATGGGGATCAGAACTGTGAGTTTAGACCTTTCTAGAATTGTTTCTCATTTGACTCCACGATAATGAAACTTGCCGAGGGGCAGGGAAAATGCAAATGCTGGGCTCCACGCAGAACAGAAGCCCGCTTGACAGCTGCCAACAAAGCTAAAACAAATAAATAAAACTTCCTACCTTCCAGAAAGATGGGAATCAGTTCCTGTATAAATCTCGGGCAAGGATGAATTATTAGTTTCCTGGCCTGGCCTTGAAATATTAGCACAGCCTTGCGTTGCAGTCAATGGACACTTGCCAGTTTCCTGCCAGCAATGGGTTGGTTTTCTTTTTCTTTTTCTTTCCCAACAATGGGGAAGTCTGTTCAGAAAGATGGAGAAGGAAATCTGGTGGGGGGGGGGGCAGGCTGAGTTACCCACCCCAGCCCTGCAACTAATGTAAAGTTGGATGGCTGGTACTTTGGCATGGAATCCAGCTTATTCTACCGCAGTGGAAAATTTAGGTACAGGACTGTGAGCTAAATCTCCTGCCAAGCTACCTTCTGATCCTATAATCCTATGCAGGTCTTGAAGGATGTTGACAAGCTGGAACGTGTGCAAAGGAGGGCAACCACGATGATCAAGGGTCTGGAAACCAAGCCTTATGAGGAACGGTTGAAGGAACTGGGTATATTTAGCCTGGAAAAGAGGAGACTGGGAGGAGATACGATAGCCATCTTCAAATATCTCAAGGGCTGTCACATGGAAGAGCGAACAAGCTTGTTTTCTCCTGCTCTGGAGGGTAAGACTCAAACCAATAGCTTCATGGTTTTTTCCTGAAAAAAGCAATGGCTCCAGGTCATGATGAGTGAGGAGAAAGCTTAACCGTGAGCCTGAACCTAATCTTGTGTTCAGCATGGAGCAGAAGTATCAGAAAGATCAGGGAGGAATTCAATGGTCGCAAGCTCCTCCCTGGGAAGCATTCTATGTCTTGCAAGCCTGGTCTATTGTACTGCTGTCTGAAATTAGAGTTGCCTGGAGAAACTGGTTTTACAACAGTACTCCCTAGAAACTGAATAATAAATTACCAGATACCTTGTCAACCTCTCCGACTGGCAAAACATGGGCTATATACAGAAAGATGCTTTCTCGAATGCCCCATTAGAGGCAATTGGACTTATTTCTAAATGAGCACAGGACTGGGCTGTGGAACTGACCTACTTAAAATCCCAAGCCTTATTTGGGGGGGACGGGACCCCATGATATACACATTTCTTCAAAAAATTAAACAGTCCTTACATTCCTTTTTCTTGTTCTTCAAGAACGCTGGAAAGACCCAAACTCCAGATGTCGACACTTGGAACAGGAATAAGTTTAGCTTTCTGTTGGGTTTGAGCTAAAACTGCTGGCGAATCCAGATTTATGTATGAATTTATTAATCTTTTAATAGACGCTGTGGGTATTGTTTGAAATAACAAACGGAGCTGAGCCGTAGGAAGGAACGCCAGCAATGCTTTTAAATCACTTTAAATGCCTAACGGAATATATGGGCACTAAATAACCTACTATTGAACTTGTCTGCACGGGGGCTTTTCAAAAAGAACTTGTCATTTTCCTTCAAGCAGGGAAGCCCAGGCAGAAATAGCTGTTTGCACTGTGACAACCAGAAGGCCGAATCAAATACAGTTGAGATGAACTGCCACTCTTTAATACATTCCTATGGAGGATCAATCTACACATTATATAATGAGAGAGAGGAAGAGGTGAGAGACTTCTGGACTGTACTACTTCAAACTGCAAAGGGAAGAAGCAGTTGTCATATGTTTGGCTGGTCTTCGCTGCAAAAGGAAAAAGAACCAGAAAAAAAAATCCAACATCATTGCTTATAACAAGCTAGCACATCAGAAAGAAATGTTTGGCGCCTTTCCCTGCAGGGCTAGCTTACTACGTGCAGGGGGTTATGTTTAAAAAACGGGAGAACGTTGAAAAAATACAAGCACATCACCTGCAGTCTGGGGTGGCCCTGTCCAAATCTCTATGATCAGAAATATGGCTCATATGATAATCTGTGGGAGGGAGGCAGCAGAAGTGTCAGAACCATATAAGAACACCCCTGCCCTTCTAGGAAGTGGAAACCTCCACGTTTCGATTTCCCCTGGGTTCTTACAAGAATTGGTTGTTCTCACATACACCGACCATGCAAGTAGACTGAGTGTATGAGCTCTCAGGTTTTCCCACAACCAAATCGGGTTTCGATTGTCAGAACTGTAGCGGTTAGAGTGTCGTCCTTGGACCAGGGTTCAAATCCCCACTCGGCCATGAAACTAACTGGGTGACCTTGGGCCAGTCACTGCCTCTCAGGCTACCCGACCTCGCAGGGTTGTTGTGAGGATTAAATGAGGAGGAATTGCCGTATTTTTTGCACCATAACACTCACTTTTTTCCTCCTAAAAAGTAAGGGGAAATGTCTGTGCGTGTTATGGAGGGAATGCCTAAGGGTGGCATGCCTACGGATTTTCCTCCTCTAAAAACTACGTGCGTGTTATGGTCGGGTGCGTGTTATAGAGCGAAAAATACGGTAAATGAGCTCCTCTGAGGAAAAGGTGGGGTATATATGCAATAAATAAAAGGAGATAAAAAGAAAAGAAAGAAAGAAATTAGGCCTCAGGACTATCCTGCAACTTTCTGAGTAATGTGCTGGAATTGCTCCAGAAGAATGCTTGTAGACAATAACCATAGTCAATACTCTATACAGTGGTACCTCGGGTTAAGAACTTAATTAGTTCTGGAGGTCCGTTCTTAACCTGAAACTGTTCTTAACCTGAAGCACCACTTTAGCTAATGGGGCCTCCTGCTGCTGCTGTGCCGCTGGAGCATGATTTCTGTTCTCATCCTGAAGCAAAGTTCTTAACCCGAGGTAATATTTCTGGATTAGCGGAGTCTGTAACCTGAAGCGTATGTAAACTGAAGCATATATAACCCGAGGTACCACTGTATATCTATGAGGCTTATTCCTAAGGCTACAGTGGTTTTTAGAGAAGATATGGGGAAAGCCATGAGGGACTATCTATCTGGTCATATGGCTGTGTTTTGTGTGTGTTTTTTTGCAAACTTGCAATCCCGCAAAAGCTTTAGGCTCTGCCTTGTTAAGTCATTACGTTATATGGCTTCAGGAAAATGCTGCATTGAGAAGCAAGCTGTGTAAATATTCCAATCTGTATTTACATTTGGTAATGGTGCCCTCGCCTTCTGCAGAGCAACAGACTCTTGCCAGATTTCTAACAGGCATGTGAGGACAGTTTGCTTCTTAAAGAGTGCCTTCTTGCCATATGTCAGAGCAGAGGTAAATTCAGCCTGTGGTTTTCCAGTGACATCATTCATTTATTTGCGGTAAATGTTCCAGCACCCTGCTAATTGGGTTATAATATCCTGTCCCACTAACATCATTTTTTTGTTGTTGTTGCTTACATTGGTTCCAAATGGAAACTGTGGTGCTAATGTGACAAAACCTTTAGGCAAGCAGTGACTATGAAACCAACCAAAGGAAAAATCATTTACAACCCACAAATATTGAACAGGGTGGTGGAAGAAACGGCAAAGGAGCTGGTGAAAATGATACGGTAAATATGCTAAGGAAGCCCCCCACAAATAGTGTTAACAAAAGGTCCCTAGCACTGTGATTCACTGTGATTATCTACTCGCTGTAAGCCCCTCTGATTTCCTCCCAGGTTAACTGAGGACAGAACCGCAACCTAAAATTTCTTTGTCAGCAACTTACGTTCAAGACAATTCTCAAGAGAATTCAAACTACTTATCTTGCACATTCCCAAATACTGCAGGCAGATAGACTAGCAGGAAAGCATAGGATAGCAGAATAAGATTATCAAAGTAGTTTGCTTGTTTAATATAAATGTTGTCATGAGGGTTTCTAGTGAGCCAAAAGGTAGGGTTTAATCATAAACCTAAGTCATAGTCAAAGTAGGCCCACTGAAATAAATGAATTAATTTCCTTTAGTCTACTCTCAAGTAATACTAACTTTGGATATTGCCCAAAAGAAATACTAAAAATTATATAGATAACTTTTTATTATAATTTTTTAAATTAAATTTTACAATTTTATAGCCATCCATTCAACAACTCCCCTCCCTCCACTTCCAGAGTGCTTTTAATTTGATTTATATATCCATCTGATTCAGTTCTCCCATCTTACATGCCTTTTAAAATGTTATACTGTTGAATTTACCTTAATACCACCCACCAATTATGCGGAGAATTTTAGGAAATATAGTGTTCTGTTCCTGAGGGCTGACTCTGTCTTTCGTTTGTTTTGAGGATTATTTAAATGCCACTATCCCAGATGTTGTAGTCCTAAATTATACAGCGTGTGGTGCGAAGGTCAAAGAAAGGGGCAGAAACGTAATATAGTGGTACCTCGGGTTAAGAACTTAATTCGTTCTGGAGGTTCATTCTTAACCTGAAACTGTCCTTAACCTGAAGCACCACTTTAGCTAATGGGGCCTTCCGCTACCGCCGCTGCACAATTTCTGTTCTCATCCTGAAGCAAAGTTCTTAACCCGAGGTACTATTTCTGGGTTAGCAGAGTCTGTAACCTGAAGCGTCTGTAACCTGAAGCGTCTGTAACCTGAGGTACCACTGTACAAACTGAGTTTCCACACAACCAGACATACATGTGGATACAGCAGGGTTGCAGTTGTGTACACACCCTTGTCCACCAAATAAGAGGATTGTTGAGTATATGAGCACAAGCTAAATCTGTATTTCTGGTGATTGGCATACCATAGTTTAAAGCAGACATAACATTTGCTACAGTCACAGGGCAAGTAGCAATCCAAAGCAAACCATATCCATCTCTCATGCATGACTCTGGCTCCAGATCATCAACTGAGCAGCCAGATTACAAAGAAATGCACTGTGCTGATACAATGCTACAGCTGCACAGAAATTGTTGTTGTTTTGCTCTCTCCTTAAAAAGCCAGGAATCCCTAGGGCTAGATGAGGACCAGTGTAATGTGTGCAGGTGTCCTAAGCATTTTGTCAATTTAAATCAAGAATGCAGGAGAGACTTGCCAGAAGAGAGACGGGGATTAGAATCTTTCTGCAGTACCATGTCTGAAGGTGGCTGATCGCCAAAGAATTGATGCTTTTGAATTATGGTGCTGGAGGAGACTCTTGAGAGTCCCACGGACTGGAAGAAGATCAAACCTATCCATTCTGAAGGAAATCAGCCCCGAGTGCTCACTGGAAGGACAGATCCTGAAGCTGAGGCTCCAATACCTTGGCCACCTCATGAGAAGAGAAGACTCCCTGGAAAAGACCCCTGATGTTGGGAAAGATTGAGGGCACAAGGAGAAGGGGACGACAGAGGACGAGATGGCTGGACAGTGTTCTCGAAGCTACCAGCATGAGTTTGACCAAACTGCGGGAGGCAGTGGAAGACAGGAGTGCCTAGCCTGCTCTGGTCCATGGGGCCACGAAGAGTCGGACACGACTAAATGACTAAACAACAATAACAACAGGAAGGATGAAGTCTCGATATAGGCAGGACTATACCCAAGTGGAGGAAGTCAAGTGAGAGACATCTCCAATGCTGCAATCGTTAGGCTTGCCACATGTCAGGAAATTCCTGACATGTCCTGGTTTTCGAGTGTAAAAATGGAATGGCCGGGGGGGGGGGGCAGGTTGCCGAATCGGCAAAGTGTCATGGAAAACCCAGATGTATGGCAATGGAAAAAGCAGCCAGCTCAAAAGCTTAACAATTTTGGTGGGTTTCTAAAAAAACACTGAACAACTTTGCGGGTGTCATAAATTTAACTTTTTGAAATATGGCAACCCTAGCAATTGGTAGCTATGATGAAGTATGATGTACATGCAAAAGAATGCACAATTTTTAATCTCCTAGAGAATAAAGCAAAATGGATGGCTGCTTTGGTTTACATTTTATGAACCACAATTTCCAACTATATATGGTGGCCCCAGCCAATTCCATCATTATATTGAAGTTAATAGGACTTGTAGCTCATGGCTTATGCACACAGTCAAAAGGAAATTCAGCTGCTGGGTATCTGCCCATCAATCTGTCCACAAGCTGGGAGATTTTCTTGCAGCAGACATAAAGAAGTGAGGCTTCTGTGCAGCTCCATATCTCTCACCCCATGCCTGCACCCAAATCTGTTTAGGAGGGAGGATGGAAATGTCAAAGCTCTGAGGTTTCTTGCTACCAGTTAAAGGCCAGGAACTCAGCCAGGTGTCAAGGTGGTGCTTTGTGGCTCTAGCAAGGATGGAGTCAGGTTCTGCAGGCACGGCATACAGTTCCCTGGAAAAACAGGAGATGTTGCCAGATGGCATCCAAGATCACCTTCGATCTTGACTGTGATCTTCTTTATTTTGAAACTAGCAGCATTTGCATCATCCCAGGACCTATTTTTTCAACACCTTTAGACTGATCTCTGGCTGGCATCAGTAATTTCCTACACCTGCAAGTCTCAGATTTCAATTTGGCAACTGTTCACCATTTGAACAGTAAAAAATAAATAAAAGCAAGTACTACACACTTGTGCAGTGGCAAAGTATAAAGGACTCATGTGTTAAGGACTGCAAGGAGATGAGAGGCCGATTCCAATTACAAACCTAGAAGAAAACACCAACTAAACACACTAACTGTTAAAACGAAACATGTGGCATTACATTCTGAACAATTGCAATCCCTTATTATTCACATGCAGATATTAAATACACGCGAGGAAAAGCATAAAGTCCCATTCAAGTGAGTGAATGGTTCCTTCTTGGCTTTCATCCTGGAACCATAGGGAAAACCCAAACAGTTACAAAATTGCTTTAAAACAAAATTTTAAAAAACGCAGACAGCAACTCTCAAAGGCCAAAGCAGTCAGCGTTCTAAAGCAGAATGGTTGGTGTTGATCATGTCTGCTCCCAAGCGAAGTGTGCATTTTGAGAAATTTCCTGACTCACATAGGGCTGGGCAATCCAGACTTCTCTCCTTATGGCCTCTGCTATCAAATCACAGCAAGATTCAGTCAAACAGGGTGGGCTACAACTTACACACAAGGGCATTGTTAGTGAAAATTTGCAAATATCTGACCAGCTTTGCAAGTAAAAAAAAAAGTGTAACAATACAAGCAGCTTAAAAACAAAACATAACAAATATCTGAGTAGCACATCTAAGCAGTGTGTGTTAACTGTAAATATAATTTACATTTTTCTAGCTGTAGACGGAATACATCCTTGGTATGGAAAAAGGTGTGTGATATTAATCTCCCAAGGCTTCTGATTTATTTATGCCACATGTAAGTAAACAAACATTTACATAAGCCTTTAAAACAAACAGGTACAAGGAAGAAGAATTTCTTATTTGTTTCTCTGAGCCTCCAATTGTAGCATATCAATATAAGGAAAGCCCTTTTCATTGCCGAATACAAAGTAATGCCATGCGCAGAATACCACTTAAAAGTGACGGTGCATTTGCCTTTCTAAAGCTTTGCAAAAAGAAAAAAAGAAAAAATGCCCCAGAAACCTGCAAACATCAGAACTGCCACAGGATAATATTTTGGATAGATAAAACAACATTTTCGAAAATGCAATCCTGCGTGTAAATGTGAGGTTATATATTCATTTGCGCAGAGTAACACTCACTCAAACGACTCGTTCAGTTGTGAAAGAATCCCAGTCGCGCCAGGAAACATCTGCTCCTGTGTAATAAAACTGACCAGAGCCAAGCAGTTTGAAGTGCTTGTTGTTGCCCAGATAGCAATCGGTTCGCAGCCAAACAACATACAATGAACTTGCCTGGAATTATGACACTGACAATTACAGGCCACATAAGGCAATGAAAGGATCCCCCCCCCCCTTTGATTAAGGCCTGCAAGTACAAGATGAACAACATCTCGCTACCACTGCGTAGATAAAAGCTACTGAATGAGATCTGTCGCGGTTCCCCTGCTGCCTTTGTCTTCAGAAGAGATAAGTCTACCCAAAGTCTTTAATGGCTATTAGGCAAAAAGATAAAAACAAAACCTTTGTGCCCAGAGGTGGCAAGACTCTGGAGGACTAGATGCCAGGGGCAGACGACAGCATAGCTGCCAGGTTCTGCCCAAATTGGAGGTGCCCGTCGCACGTGTGTGATGTCACGCACACGGCACACACTTGTGATGCCACGTGGCAGGAGGGGGCCACAAGGCCCGCAGCATATGGGGCCCTGCCACAGCTACGGGAAGGCCTGACGAGGCCCAGCCCCTCCAGATTGGGGAGAACCGTCCCAATATAGTTTGTGGGGCTGAGGTGTCCTCAGTCCCGCAGAGTTGGCACCTATGGATGACAGGATTGCGGAGTTGAGGGAAGGAAAATGGTACCTTTGTGCAGCGCTGTGAGCTTCCAAAGCCATCTGGGGAAAGGGCCAAAGCTCAACAGTAGAGCTCTGGCTTTTCATGCAGAAGGCTGCATCCCCAGGCAGGGCTGGTGGTGAATTCTGGTCTGAAACCCTAGAGAGCCACTGCTAGTCAATGTCAACAATGCTGAGCTAATTGTACCTTTATAAGGCAGAGACACGGGTGGCGCTGTGGGTTAAACCACAGAGCCTAGGACTTGCTGATCAGAAGGTCGGCGGTTCGAATCCCAGTAACGGGGTGAGCTCCTGTTGCTTGGTCCCTGCTCCTGCCAACCTAGCAGTTCGAAAGCACGTCAAAGAGCAAGTAGATAAATAGGTACCACTCTGGTGGGAAGGTAAACGGCGTTTCCGTGCACTGCTCTGGTTCGCCAGAAGCGGCCTAGTCATGCTGGCCACATGACCCGGAAGTTGTACGCCGGCTCCCTCGGCCAATAAAGCGAGATGAGCGCCGCAACCCCAGAGTCGGCCACAACTGGACCTAATGGTCAGGGGTCCCTTTACCTTTAAGGCAGAGATACCTATGCTCTTATGGTGCTGCAAGGAAAATCGCTGGTGAGATAGGAATTGGTCTAATCCAACAAGACAATTCTGAGCGTCTTTCTGTACATATCTTTTGATTTTTTTAATTAAAAAAATCATACATGTTTTTTCTAGGAGGGGTGTATTATTTGGATCAGTATTAGAGGGGAATATTCAGCCTCTCTATGAGCCTAGCTGCTGGATATGGGACAATTTGGATGAAATAGCAAAATGCAAAGAAGTATTCTCTGTTCCCAAGCAAGGGCTGGACTCGCAAGTTTTTATGCAATGCTTGGTCAGTCCAGAGGCTTCCTACTGCTTGCCCGTGTTAGAAACCTCTTGGCTCAGCTGTCTCAGGGGCAGGGTGAGTGGGCGTTGTTCCTGGTTGCGCCCCCCTCAGAATTCTGTGCCCCGGGACCACCGTCCCTCTGCCCACCACGCTACGCCACTGGCCAAGTAGCAGGCGAACCCATCAACGCTACTGCTGCTATGGTAGCAATGAAGAGAGAGAGAGAAGGGGTCAGGGGAGAGCAGGAAGTGGGGCAGAGGGAAGGAGAGGTGGGTGCTGGTGGTCATGTCACAAAAATGAGAATGGGGAAGCAGCAGATGGTCTGGAGGCCTCTGATCAGCCCATGGCAGTGCCCCCCTCAGACAGGCTCTCTGGTGTCCATGCACGCAGCCCAAACTGTGTATTCTTCTTGTGTACAGCTATATGCACGAAGCCTTTCCTGCTGCAGACTTTGCTCTGTGCATCCAGATGCTGGAGCAAGACTACCTCTGCTCCCAGCTCACTCTGTGGCCATAATTTCTGAGGAAGGGTAATTCTTTACATCTCTGTTACACTACAGCTTGAAGAGGGTTCTGGGGGTCTGGCCACACGCAAGAGGCTACGGTAGCTCTGAGGTTTCGTGAGACTCTTAATCACAGGGTTGTGGGTTCGAGACCTACACTGCGCAAAATGATTCCTGCATTGCAGGGGGTTGGACTAGATGAACGCTTGTGGTCCTTTCCAACTCTGCAATTCTGATTTCAAAGCTCAGAGAAAGTGTAGTTCAACAAAGAGGTGTCTCTGCCCCAACACCTCTTACCTACTCAGAATGGTTATCCTTACATAAACAAGCCTGTGAGTCTAAGTTTCTGGGAAGAGGACAATTGGAATTTAAGAATAATGCTGGATGGAAGCAGGTGAAAAAGAAGCAGAACAGCTAACTCGCCCTTAGAAGAGCAATAGAGATGTTTTATTGCCTCTGAGGAAAAGTGTGCCAACCGATTTAAATTACAAGGCAATAAAAAAGTGAGAGAAATGAATTTTGCTCTTCGTTGTGCTCCTCCCTGAAGATCTCTTATTACCCTTACTCAGCAATGTCATAAAGAAGGGAAATGAAAACAACATGCAGGAAATAAACCGTTCTAACCATCTAACCCACTTCATAAATGGGATTTAACTAACAGCCATGTTAATCATCACTTTTAAAAACAGGTTTTTTTCCTGCAAACGTGATGCCAAAGCCTTTGGAAAATATAATGAAACTTTTCAACACACTTAAACTAAAAGCACTAACTGCAGCTTGCCAGATAAACAACTAAACTGCAAGGATGTGTATGAGCACATGTCCAAAAGACCACCAAACTCCACTTTAAAGAAGTGGTTATTGTTCTCCATAATGCTTACATGAATGAGAGACTGAAAAGCAGACAGATAAGCAAGCAAACTACCTTTCAGATTGCAAACGCTTTCCAGTCTGGTCACCTGCAGGTGATTTTTAAACACCATAGGTGACCACATGAATGGCTCTTTACAAATCCATTTTTTTTAAAAAAAACCCTAAAATAATAAACAAAGGAAGCAAATTTCCAAGAATTCACAAATATTGACATTCCCTAGTATAAAGGCAGCTTCTGATTGCATTTGCAACCAACTCCTTCCTCTCCGCTGAATGCCTGGAAGAGAATTTAAGAAACAGATATAGATGTAGATAAACAGATACACTTGCTGCTTCTTATCTGCTCTAAACCTTAGCACATGTGAAAGAAAACCCCAGCGTCGGAGGGGAGAGAAGGTCTCCTCTCAAATGCCCTGTGGTTTCAAAAATCCTCTTGTTGATTCTTACCATCTCTCAAACTCATTTCGAGTGAGAGGTTGGAGGGAGGGGACGTGTGGGGCTGGGCACCCTCCTTGCCAAAGGCCTAGAGTATCCTGTCCCTTGACGAGCAGATCTGTGCACACACCAGATCTGAAGTCCCTCAGAATTATTATTATTATTATTATTATTATTATTATTATTATTATTCTACATTACCAAACGCCATGGAGCTTCCCACATGAGAAGTGTCTGTTCTGTTTGTCTTTGGAGCCCAGAGTGAACTGACTATGGAGCTCTGCCTCTGGCAAGAGATGACCATGACCAAGACTGCCGTTCTGTCATCCACTCTGTCACATCGATTGAGGTTGCTGCGCCAATGCACAGGGTGCAAGAGCAGAGTGACAACAGTTAAGGTGACACAACAGGTGCTGGGGGAGGCGAATACCTGCACATCCCTGGCTTCAACTACAGCATTCCTTGGACAAGAAACTCGGAGCATGTGTATTTCCCGTTTTGGACTACAGAGGTACCTCAGTTTACATACGCTTCAGGTTACATACGCTTCAGGTTACAGACTACGCTAACCCAGAAATAGTGCTTCAGGTTAAGAACTTTGCTTCAGGATGAGAACAGAAATCATGCTCCGGCGGCGTGGCGTGGCGGCAGCGGGTGGCCCCATTAGCTAAAGTGGTGCTTCAGGTTAAGAATAGTTTCAGGTTAAGTACGGACCTCCAGATCAAATTAAGTTCTTAACCTGAGGTACCACTGTACCTGGATACCAACGACAGATTTTATAAAAATGTAGCGCAGGGGTGGAGAGGCTCCAGGCCAGAGACTGAAGGCAGCCCTCCCAGCTTTTTGTTTGGCCCTCTGAAGCCCCCTCAAGCGATGACTCCCACCTCCCAGGTCACACCCTCACCATCCCAGTTATGTGTGCTCTTCTAGTCTTAAAACTGTGCTAAACTCTTCTTTGTCAAGGTGGAGGTGACTGTATGTTTGTGTACAGAAGCCTCCAGCTTTGAATGGCTGGAAGCACAGGTGCCATCTCGTGCCTAAGATAGTGGGTGCCCACAATGAAGGGCTTCAACTTTGCCCGTGGACTTTGTGGGTGGCCCAGCCCCCACAAATAAATAATTGTGGGTGTCAAAGCACCCACAGCCCCCTGGAGCTGGTTCCAGTGGCTGGAAGGTAGCCTACTCAAAGGCAAGAGGTATACGCTCTGTTGCTCCACCCACTTTGGCCTTTGGCCCCACCCACTGGCCTCCAGGCTGTAAAAGTGTTCCTCACCCCGATGTGTAGAAAATACATGGTACAACCCCATATGGAGCGTACCACTTTAGAGTGTGGGGGAAAACTGCATATATGAAGGCTTTCCCCTTCCAATTCGCACATCCCTGGAAGGATGCCCACAGGCTGGAAAATGTTTCTCTGCCCCTGATGTGGAGGAAATACATGGTACAATCCCATAAGGAGTGTACCACTTCAGTGTGTGTGGGAAAACTGCATATATGAAGGTTCCCCACGCCACCCCCCAAATTCATACATCTCTTTCTGTGGTCGAAATCTACCATGTCAACAAGTATGATATCCTTCTTCCACACAAAAATGTAAAAGCAGGGAGTTGGTCATCCCCCCTAAAAAAAAATTGCCCTCCCAATAATGACCCCTTTTTACTGCACCCACCAAATTTTGATGCCAAAGGGGAGAGCTTTCAGCTCAGCCTTAACTAAAAGCAATTTTCAGTGTAATCTCGTACATTTATTCAGAAGCAAGTCCCACTTCAATCAGTGGGATTTACTGCCATGGAAAAAAGAGAGTTCAGGGTTGCAGCCTTAGACAACAATTGATGTTCAGATTCAGTGTGGTTTAACAGATGTGTTTCCAGGCTCAATGACATTTTAAAATATCTCAGGCTGAGTAGATATAGCAATATCATCAGGTTAATTTACTGTTCTTTCAAGCAAAGAAGCAAGTCTCATTGTCCGTTTCAGTACCAGCTAAATAAACTCTCCAGCAGGGTGGAGTGATTTAATTCCGTCATGATTGAAGACACCAAGTTAAAAGGAAAAAAGGACTAACTTAAGTTACTGCCCTAAATCAGTTTCCCCATTTTGTCATTCACGTGTTTCCTAAACAAGCAACATGCTAGTTGGTTGTAATAAATATTAAACCACATTGGTTTGCATCTAAACAGAGCCTTTATGCTGCCTAGGAGCATCGTCCAAAATATCTGACCACACAGCCAACATCTTTTTGCACTACAGAATCGTATCAAGGGAGCCAGTTGCAAATTTTCTGTTTAATAATGTCTGCGTGCTTACATGGATTTAGTATCCAGTTCACAAGTTTAGTTTGCCAGTTCACAACTGTAACGGCAAAGGGTCACAGTCAATCGCAGAGTTAAGTACCACTAAGATACTGACATAAACGTGGCAAGCCTGTAATGAAACCCACAACAGCTACGAACCTGAATATATTTTTACTTGACCTATTGGTGAGTTTTGTGCTCCCTTAGGTTTTTGATGTATGTTAAACGAACTGTTAATTGTTGAAGGGGTGGGTATAGTGTGAGGTTGCAGTGCTCTTCCTACTTTTTATTCTGTACTGTTATTCTACTACTGTATTTAGACATTTTTATGAGCACAGAAGTATTTGTGTAAAATGTGGTCTATATAAATTAACTATGGCTACTATGACTATGAATCCTGCAATATGTATCCTTTTTTTTCCCATCCACTGAAGATCCTCACATAGTCAGTCACTGAAACGTTCCATGTTAACTTTCCTGAGCAGCGAAAGGGTACGAATTATGCCCCCGTAAAACCACTGTGCCCGCTCCTCGCTTAGCCTATAACAAATCTACCTAATAAATGTTTAAACCCATCTTCTCAGTGAACTGTATACAATGTACAGAGAATACTCCTCCCTTCCCATTCCGTAAGACATTAATTCCCTCATCTTTAAACATATGTAAACTAGTCACATTTCCACATTTCATCTAATGTTCTGTATCGCTCCTGGTCAGCCACCCTCCCTTTTATCTATTTTATAGACGGATACAGTATATGAGTTATGTTGTTAACTCAGTTTTATCTTGTCCTAGAACCAGGAGTCGGCCAAAGCATTTTGTTGCCTGCACTGTTAAACTATACAACTTTTAGATGAAATCCAAAGGCAGCCCATGTTCAGTGATGTTTTTAATGTTTGATTTTTCATTATGCTTTTATAATTGTTGGAAGCCTCCCAGAGGGGCTGGAGCAACGGAGTCAGTTGGCAGAGTTATAAATTGTTGTTGTTGTTGTTGTTGTTGTTGTTGTTGTTGTTGTTAACAGCTCTGGCCTCCCAAGGAAGAGTACAGCCACAGGGCTCACTCAAGAGGATGCCCTCAGAATTTGGCCCCTGAGGCGATTCCCTCATTCTGCCTCATGGTTGGTCTGGCCTCTCTCTCACCGGGGGGCCGCTTTAGGGAGATAATACTTGTCTAAAAAGAGGGCAATAAATAAGTAACTGTTTTCAGAGATCAAAACAACCAGTAAGTTGCAACCTTACACCTGGAAATAAGCCCCATGGAACTCATTGGGACTTACTTCTGAGCAGACATGCACAGACTGCACTGTCAAAGTGTCGCCGTTTTCTCTTACACTTGTCAATCTTTTCACTTCTTTGATGCCTTGCTCTGTTTCCCCCTCCCCTTGTCTCTCTCTCACCCCCCACCCCCACCCCAGCCCAGTGATTTTTCTTTTCTTTTCAGTTATACCTTCACAGCTATACATAACATTAAATCAGACCGCGGCTTTAAGTGTGAAGCTTTAAGCATTTCAAGCATGTAATAAATATTTAAAACATACGCTAAAACAGGTGCGCTGTGCAATCATGCTTTGTTCCCCTCAGTCTCTCACAAATCCATAGCCTTCCCATTCCTCCCGCAAAAAAAAAAAGCAATTTCTCTCGCTGCCTCTTTCGCATCTCTGCGGGGCGTGGGGGCAGCAGGAACCACAGAAAGCCCCTTTTTACTTTGCAGTTGGTTTTGAACATAACTTTCAAAAAGGAAGCACCAAAAGTACTGAGTCCATTTAAGCAGAAAGTACTATCAGAAAGCATCTTGGAAGAGCATTCCAAAAATGCTTAGATTTTGGGACAAAGGAAGCTCATTGCAGCAAGAGCAGGTGGCATTTGCCCGAAATGAATTTTGCCCTTCCACTTACTAGTTGTTCCTAGCACCCATGATTCAAAAATAGAGGTGAGGGAAAGGCACAATACAGTGATTAATTATAGTAGTAGTAGTAGAAGAAGAAGTAGAAGAAGAAGTTGTTGTCGTTGTTGTTGTTATGTTACAGGTTTTGGCCAAATGCATTTTAACAGTCCCCAATAAAAGCCCTTTCAGTCTTGTTAAGTTGTGGGTGAACATATCAGACGACACAGCGATTCTTCAAACAGCTCTTGTTTATTCACAGGCCAGAACAGAACTGAACTGAAGGGTTCAGCCAGCCTGCTTATATAGAGCTCCAGAACAACGTAATTGTAACAACTTTCTGTAACTATCCAATCACTGAACGTCACTTTCAATCCCTTATTTGCATATGTGGACCTGAACTATCTACAGTATCACCCTGCTGGCCCAGGGTGAGAACTTCAATAGAGTCTGTAACCTGAAGCGTATGTAACCTATAGCGTATGTAACCCGAGGTACCACTGTATATCATGCCTCCAGATCTTTTCTTTTGCGGCACAGAAGTGGCAAGTGCAGCTACCCTTCCTCTTTAAGAAAAAATGGAATCAAGGCAGCCAAGGGAGCGGGGAGAGAGAAGGAAGAGCTGTGTTTACACCGCTTGTAATCCAAGATGGACTGGTGGCCTTCGGTTGCCTTCGGTCTCTAAGGAGAGATACCAGCTGCCTCATTTCTTCCAAACCCTGCTAATAATGGCTGGGCCAAGCAATTCCAACAGAGAGGAGGAGACAGAGCTGCCCTTCTATCAGAAGAAAAAAGAGTTTAAAAGACCCACTTTGAAACAAGGACAATAATAGCTGTGTAATCTAGTCTTCTCTGTTTTGTTTTGGTTTTCCGCCTCCCTTTTTGGAAAGGCACCTTTTCTTTTCTTCACTTTAAGCAGAGGAATGCTCATTTCACCTCAAGGAGGAAAACTCAAAACCCCACTGAAAAAGGAGCAGTTGGGGCCATATAGCTATCAGGTTCACAGGAAGCTGCCCTATATCAGGGGTCAGGTAAGTTGCCATCGCCAGCTGCCCAATCTCCTCACTGCTTGACAAGACAGCACAAGACGACAAGCCGTTGAATGCAGGAAACCTTTAAGTAGTCACTTGGCAAATGGTCACTTGTAAGAAAGGTCAAAGTCAAGTCAGCTGCAGTACAGAATCTCACCCACCCACCCCCGGACAGCCAGCAAAGAAGGAAAGTTTGGGGAGGGGAACTCTCCCAGGCACGCGGCAACACAACCATGACTAATAATTACTGACATATCACCATTCTCACATACGAACCTGCCTGGGTTTTGGGTAGAGTCTGCATTCGCTGTTAAGGCAGTGTCTGGTGAGCAGGTGTTAACAGGTACAGGTGTACAGGTGCAGGTGTAACACTAAACCATGGCTAAAATAGAGCACTACTGCAACACACTCCACGTGGGGTTACCTTTGAAGGTGACCTGGAAACTACAACTAATCCAGAATGAGGCAGCTAGACTGGCGACTGGGAGTGGCCACTGAGACCATATAACACCGGTTCTGAAAGACCTGCATTGGCTCCCAGTACATTTCCAAGCACAATTCAAAGTGTTGGTGCTGACCTTTAAACCCTAAATGGCCTCAGCCCTGTAAACCTGAAGGAGCGTCTCCACCCCCATCGTTCAGCCTGGACTCTGAGGTCCAGCTCCGAGGGCCTTCTGGTGGTTCCCTCACTACGAGAAGTGAAATGACAGGGAACCAGGCAGAGGGCCTTCTCGGTAGTGGCGCCTGCCCTGTGGAACGCCATCCCATCAGATGTCAAGGAAATAAACGACTATCTGACTTTCAGAAGACATCTGAAGGCAGCCCTGTTTAGGGAAGTTTTTAATGTTTGATGTTTTATCGCGTTTTTAAGATTCTGTTGGGAGCCGCCCAGAGTGGCTAGGGAAACCCAGCCAAATGGGTGGGGTATAAATAACAAATTATTATAAGGAAAGGGAGGTGGGACCATGCAAGATAAGGGAAGGAAGCAAAGGGAGTCTGGAATAACCCATTTGCAAACCATCGTTTGCAGGGAGTCAGCATTAAGCCAGCACCACGTAACAATGGAAAATACATGCCTGTCACTATTCACAGTGTGAAGACCATTTAACAACGGAGGCACATGGACCACAGAATTTTTTTTACATTCATACACCATGTGTGGGAGGCATTTATTTCCTTTTTTTACAGCGGTAATGAATGAAAAGGGTCACAATCTGAGCCTTTCAACTTCCCTCGCTGCTAACGGCTGCATTACTTACACAAGGCTAACAGCGCTGCCCACTCTTCCTTCTCCTTTCCTCAGGAGTTTCTGACATCTGAGTTACTACCCTTCTCAACTTTTAAGCCCTTCAGGCGACAAAAAAGAAAGCTGCTGTCTACACTTTAGTTTTACAGTTCCATTAAAGGGTGACCTGCAAACAAAAAAGAAGAAAATCATGGGACTTTAGTATCGAGTGCTGAATGAGTTTGAAAAGCAGTCAGTCCACTGTGAAGGTGAAAATTCAGCCATTTGTTCCCTACAATGAAATGAATGTTTTTTGCTGATACCGTTGACCACAGCATCCTCCTGGAGCATCTCAAAGAGGTGAAGGTAGGCAGCCTTGTGCTTCAGCGGTTTCACTCCTCCCTCCAGGGCCACTTCAAGAAAGTAGTTATGGAAGTCTACTGCTTAACACCATTGGAGTTGTCTGATGGTGTCCCACAGGGTTCCAGCTTGTCCTCCATCCTATTTAACATGTGAAGCTCCTGGGAACTGTCATCAGGAGATCTGGAGTGAAGTGTCATCAATATGCAGATGCCACCCAGCTCCATCTGAAACAGGAGAGGTAGTTCAGGGGTTAATAGTTTGGTGCCTGCAGGCTGTGATAAGCTGGATGTAGATAAAAAAAAACCCCTGAATCTGAATCCTAAAAAGACAGGGGCGTTATGTGCTCCAAGTTCTCATATCCAGAAGGTGTAAAGATGGTCTGTGTCCTGTTGGGAACTCCATCTCCCTGGAAAGAGCAGGTTCACAACTTGGGGAGTGCTGCTTGTTTCAATTTTGTCCCTGGAGATTCAGGTTGTCAGACCTGAAGTCTTTTTCTAGTGCTAGCTGGTTCATCTATTATGGTACTTTGGGGACAAAGATGGCTTGGCCACAGAATCCCATGCTCTGGTAGCTTCCAGACTGAATTATTGCAATGTGCTCTACATGGGACTACCCTTGAAGATGACTCAGAAACTTCCAAAATTCAGCTGCCTGAATTCTGGCCACGGTTTCCTTTAGAACACATATAACTCAGGTTTGTTTTTTTTTAAAAAAAAAAAAAGCTTAAGTGTTTAAAAGCCCTAAATGGCTCAGTCCCCAAATATCTGAAATAGTGCATCCTTCCTTACAATATTTCTTGTGCAGACAGAATTAACAATGCAATTTGTAAACATAGATACATTAATGTCTTTATTGCCGTGGTGCTAAAGGTTCACCCCTTTTGATTTTTTAGCACATAAGAAGTGCTTATTCAGAGGCTAAATATCAGACACATCTTCAAAGTACCATTTTTGTGTCTGTTTGCTTCCATTGTTTTCCCTCAAAGTCCTGCTTCAATTCCACTTTCAAAAAAGGTTCTCCACCCTAGAATGAGCTAGGCTTCACAGGACCCCAGAGTTAGGTCGCTTACATGCAGGAATGAGTCCCCAAGTCATCCTGCTGCCCCAACTTGTGTGGAGCATTTAAATGGGAAGTGGAGTTTATGCGTAAAAATGCTTAAAATCCCTCCATCCTCTTCTTCGTGATGAAGGGGGCATGTTTGCAGGCATAATCTCACATTAACTTTCTATAGTTTCTGAGGGATTTGTTATTGTTCCCTGCTGAGTGGAGTGTGTACATGTTTATAAAACAGTGCATATGAATGTGTGTGTGTGTGTGTGTGTGTGTGTGTGTATACAGTGGTACCTCAGGTTACATACGCTTCAGGTTACATACGCTTCAGGTTACAGACTCCGCTAACCCAGAAATAGTACCTCAGGTTAAGAACTTTGCTTCAGGATGAGAATAGAAATCGTGCAGCAGCGGCGCGGCAGCAGCAGGAGGCCCCATAGCTAAAGTGGTGTTTCAGGTTAAGAACAGTTTCAGGTTAAGAATGGACCTCCGGAACGAATTAAGTGCTTAACCCGAGGTACCACCGTATACATATACATGCATCTGAAAAATGAATTTCAACAGGAAATATATCCTCCCAATGGGATATATAAAAGTGTGTACATATATGTGTGTTTATATATATTTTCATTCTCCCCTTAGTAGGAAAAAAGGGAATAAAATACAGCATTTTCAAAATCCAACACAAAGTTTCTTTATGGCCTTAACTACTCAACAGGCAGTCAAACATATTCCTATCAGACATAAAACACACTTGGAGGGGAAAGGGAAGGAAAGAAATATACAAAGTTCCTGGCAGAAATGGTTCCAAAGGACAAGTTCTAAGTATTTATACACGGTCTGTGAAGAAATTGTTAGTTAACATGCCCATGGCAAATTTGCACGGCTTTATATAGACTCTCATCTTGCAAAGAGCTGAAGTGGGTGCCAGGGGAGAGGGGAGAGAAAGAGGCGTTCAGGTTAATCTCCTTGCCTGTTTGGTCAAACACCGGGGCCACAGGCTAGTTTTAATTAACTGCCAGCGGAAACAGGCAGAAACACACACCCCTCCAAAAGTATAAATCAACCAGCACTGCTTCCTCCGTGTGAAAAAAATTGGGAATTCAGAGTTTCCATTCCAGACACATAGATAGAAGGAGCCAAAGCCAAATTTGCAAACGGGAAAACTTAATGCTTTTCCACGGGCCAGTTTAACACTGAACATGCTAATGGGTTTTTTATTCAGCTGCCATCCGCTGCACCATTCAAACCACAGGGGTGGCTAAACTGTGGCCTTCTTCAATGTTTCCCAAGCACTGCTTTTGGGCTACAGTTCCCAGCATCCCTGACCGCTGGTGTTGCTAGCTAGGGATGATGGGAGTTGTAGTCCCAAAACAGCTGGAGACCCAAGTTTGGGAAACCTTGCTCTAGATGTTCCTGGACTACAATTCCCATCATCCCTGGATGGTACCGACGGGACTTAAAGTCCAACAGCTTATGTGGGGCCACTGGTTCCCCATCTAGAAATTGAATCAAAACAGTTCTATTCCACGGTTTATTATTGTTTATATTTTGAATTAGATATATAGAGGGGCACCAAAATCTTTTAAGTGCTTAGGGCCTCTTAATCCAGCCCTGAGTTGCCCATACACATTTCTCCTACTGTATTTGAAACCTTGGGCAATAGGAAGCTGGCAAATTGGATGCCCAACTGCACTGTGATGGGCAGAAGGATCTGTGGCTGCCTTTTGCACTTCACTTTCTTATTAGTGTCAACATTTTGCTTTTTCCCTTTGCAGCACACATAACACCCTTTATCCCTCCCCTTTTCGACCCCCCTGCGGTTTAACGTATAAGACCCTCATTTGTCAGCACTCAAGGGTAACAAATGCATCATAGGGAATAGCTGTGGCATGTAGGATGTGGCCATCTGCCATTGCAACAGGAGGGCAACGTGCTTCCCCATCTTTTCGTCCGGGGACTCCTAAATCATGCAAACTGCCTCGCCACGTGCGGCTGCAGATGGATGGGGGCTATTAAGCTGGGGCTCCCCCAAAATGCGATATGCCCACATTTATCAAACAGCCAAGAATGCAGAGGCTGGAAGAGAAGTGGTAGCATTTCCCCAACGCTTGTGAAGTTCAGTCAAACGGAACCACAATTAATGGAGTGTAACTATGACACAAGTCGACATGTGGGACTCAGCAGAGCAGGGTCTATGGGAAGGCGGGTCCCTCCAGAGGCTTTCGCTGCTTTCCACAATGCAAAGCAAGACCGGCTGGGTGGAGCACAATTGTAAAATGCATTCTTCAAATGAGAAATTATAGGCAGAGGGAACCGCTTTAAACATCTCGGCTTTGAGGGGTGGTAAGGTGGTGGAATTGCAGTAATTTTCCAAGATGAATGCAAGAGGACCAGATCCTGTTTATCCCCATAGGCAACAACTCCCCCCCCCCAAAAAAATACAACACCCCAAAATAACCTACACTAAATGACCAAGTGCTACAACTGCAGCAGGAGACAATTCAGCGAGACAACATGAAATTCTTAGGCACAGGATTGGTTTGCATTTGAAACATTTTCAAAATATTGTTTTAGCTGGGCGTAATAGACCACTGTAAGATCTGACACACAGCAAACACAGAGCTTCAATTAAGCAGCTGGCAGGCAGCCAGGCACAGATAAAAAGGCCCAGCCTGTCACTCGCTAGACAATATATATGGCTATTTTGGCAGTCCAAATTGAATGTGATAATTGAGCCATGACGTATTAAAAAGACACATGCTTTCGGAGGGAAGTGTTCTGGAGCTCTCAAAAACTAGATGGCACTTTTCAAACCAAGGCGCGGCGGGACTGAAAAAGGATGCTGAAATCATGATGCAATTCAGCTGGCCGTGTTTCAGTCTCCCAAAGCTACTCTTCATCTAAACAACAAAAACTGGGACTTGGCTGCCGGCGTGTGTGTGATGCAGAGATGGAAAACCTCAGCTTTTCTGCCTCTCTATCTGAGCCCTCACAACTCCCCCTCACAAAGACTCCCCCTCCTTCACTGGCACAGATTCACACGTCAGTGTTTTTGACTATACAGTGGTACCTCGGGATGCAAACAGGATCCACTCCGGAGCCCCATTCGCATCCTGAATGGAACATCTGCGTGTGCGGGTCATGTTTTGCCGCTTCCGCACATGCACGTGATGTCATTTTGAGTGTCTGCGCATGCGCGAGCGGCGAAACTTGGAAGTAACGCACTCCATTACTTCCGGGTTACCGCGGAGCGCAACCCAAAAGAGCTCAACCTGAAGCACATTCAACCCGAGGTATGACTGTACAGCGGTACCTCGGGTTACAGACGCTTCAGGTTACATACGCTTCAGGTTACAGATTCTGCTAACCCAGAAATATTACCTCGGGTTAAGAACTTTGCTTCAGGATGAGAACAGAAATCGTGCTCCAGCAGCACGGCAGCAGCAGGAGGCCCCATTAGCTAAAGTGGTGCTTCAGGTTAAGAACAGTTTCAGGTTAAGAACGGACCTCCAGAACGAATTAAGTTCTTAACTTGAGGTACCACTGTACTTAATTTTACTTTCATTTGTCTGGAATGGACACCGAGAGGTGTGTGGGAAGAAACTAGCCTGCTGTGTAAAGGTAACAAGTATATTCCTTGTTCTTCCCAACTTTGCTTCTGGCCCGGCCCATGCGGCCCTCGGAACAGTGTTCGAAATTAGCCAGGCGCCAGGCACATTTTGCAGCTGGCTGTTGGCCACTTGTGACCAAGTGAAGATGCGTGGGCGCCAGGTTGGCACCTGACATCTCTACCACCTGGAGGTGCATGCCTGGGGATCCTTGGATCTTGACCGTTTTCACACACTAATACCCCGTCCTGTAGAATTCTATCTGTTATATTTCATCTGCACAATCGGAATGAATTTCAGGAACCAAAACGCTTTTTCTGTGTGGTCTGAGAAGGAGCGGTGAAAAATGTTATAGCTAACTGTTGTCGCTTGTCTTCGCTTGCCCCCCTCCACTGCGCTGCTCACGGTTGTGAAGCATATTCTTATGTTGTGAATGGCCTGTGGACTGTTCATGGATAAGGTGACTTTTCTTCTTCAAGTTCTCAGGAGCTCTAAACCTAGTTCAAGGTTGTCCTCTGAACTAGTCAGATGTTTAACTGATAATCAATCACAGTCAGTCCATCATTTAAAAAATGAGAATTGCCCCCAAATAGCAACTAGACATTCCGTTTTGGCAACTGTAAGCTTGGCTTAAGGAGCCATTGGGACCCGGGTGACGCTGTGGTTAAACCACAGAGCCTAGGACTTGCCGATCAGAAGGTCTGCGGTTTGAATCCCCGCAATGGGGTGAGCTCCCGTTGCTCGGTCCCTGCTCCTGCCAACCTAGCAGTTTGAAAGCATGTCAAAGCGCAAGTAGATAAATAGGTAGCACTCCGGGGGGGGGGGTAAACAGTGTTTCCGTGCGCTGCTCTGGTTCGCCAGAAGCAGCTTAGTCATGCTGGCCACATGACCCGGAAGCTGTACGCCAGCTCCCTCGGCCAATAAAGCGAGATGAGCGCCGCAACTCCAGAGTCGGCCACAACTGGACCTAATGGTCAGGGGTCCCTTTAACTTTACCTTTAAGGAACCATTTGGCACCTAGCTTATATATCTGAGTTTCTAACCATGGAAGGTTCCTCAGAAAGGAAAGCGGCCCTGGCTCCCCAGCCCTGGAATCACCTGAGCTCCTCACAGAATAAGGGCTTAGGATTCTTCATGGCTGGCTTAGCTGCGCTCATAAGGAAACCACATTCCCACATGCACTCTATTTATTTTGAGGATTCACCTTAAAGCAACACAGCGGCTTGCACAGAGAATACATATATCACCAAAGTCGGCGTTGAGAAAACAGATGCAAAACACCACCTGGCTTTTATTTGGTATGCTGTCCTGGCAGAGCACCGCTGTCTCCCTGCGTGGTTTTCATTAAATAATGCAAGGATACAATACAGTAATGAAGAAATGCGCTAGAAAAACACAGGGCTTTTGAGTTAACACCAAACAGTTACGCAAAGACTCTGCGTTGTTGCCATTAGTCAAATTTGTCTGCCGAGATGGATGGGTTTCCTTCTGGAATAAGAAGTGCGGGAGAGGCTGGCGCTCACATCCCAACAGGCAATTTAATAAAAAAAATAGGCTATAAAAGGACAGTGTGTTAGCTATGAGAAAGTAACAGTGAGTGCGAGGGATGAATAATTCTGTGAATCAAGAAGGCGCAAAGCAACCATGTAAGAATATAAGAAAAGCCAGGGGGGTTTTGAGCAGGAACTGAGTTCTTTTTCAATGTTCTTTTTTTGTGGGGTCCGGGGCGGGGAGGACTGGAATACACCCAATGCCTGAGCCAAAAATCCACCTATATCTGTAATCAATAAAGTTGTGGCCATTTCTAATCCAGATCATTGTCTGCTTGAGTTTATTCATCACAGCTTACATTTAGCCACTGCAAGGGGTGTGGGCCCACAATAAGCAAGCAAGCAAACAAGGAAACTTTGTGGTGAGTTCCCCCACCTTTTTGTCCAGGGAAAAAAAAGCCCTGAGAAAAGCCCTGAGGCATCAGGCAGAAGGTCCATCTGATCCGACACTCTAGTGGCTAACCAGATGCCCACCAGAAGGACCTGCAAACAACAGCCTTCTGCTCACATGCGATGGCCCAGAAACTGACATTGACAGGCAATACAGCCTAGGACAGCAGAGGCAGAAGATGGCTATTGTGGCTAAGAGCCATTGAGGGGGAAGCTGATGCCATGAAGTCACCAAGCCACGGGGCAACTACACTGGCTCAACTGACTGCTCCGATGTATTGTGGGCACGCAGGACAGCCTCTTCACGCAGCCTGCCCTCTTCCAGAAAAGGTGCCAAAGGTGTCTGTGATCTGTCGCAGCGTTCAAATGACGTTTCAAAATGCCAGGCTGCCTGGGCGCCATATCGTCCGAAACAGTCACAGACCGTTTTTCCCCATGTGTGGCCACACTGAGACCATGACCCTGCAAACAAGGTGGGGGCCTTCAATTAAAATTTGCTAAAAGGCTAGAATAAAAATACCAGTTTAGCTCTTGAAACTATGTCTAACAGCACTGTCCCAAAAACATATTGCTCATCTGCTGCCATGTATATCTTCCGCCAACAATAAGCGCAGGGATGAACATTTCCGTTGAAAGGCTGCATTCTTTAGGATGCTAGCTTCTGTGTCCTGTTCCTCATGCTGTCTGGGGCTGCTAGGAGTTGTAGTTCAAACCACCGGGAGGGCACCAGGTTGGCAAAGGCTAGTGTAGGCATCCCTGAGTTACAAAGGTATCAGACGGGTCCCCACGTTCCTAACATGGTGCTGCCACATTTGCACAAACCTGATTATTTTCTGCAAGGATTAAACAAAGACTGGATAGCTCAGCTGGTTAGAGCTTGATGCTCATAACACCAAGGTTGCAGGTTCAATCCCTGAATGGGATGGCTGCATATTCCTGCATTGCAAGGGTTGGGCTACATGATCGTCGGGGTCCCTTCCAACCCTGCAATTCTATTATTCTATGACATACACACAAATGCATGTTCAGGAAAGCACACCTGTTGATAAGGAGGCCATCGGCCTGTGATGCTTTCTAAGGTTAACGTCACTAAACTGGAACAGCTAACAACATATGGAAGCACAAAGCAGCAGCACACAGAGAAACCATTGCAAAGCTATTTATTTTCTTGGCATCTGAGTCCACACGAGGTTGCTAAAAACACAAATACACAAAGCAGTGTCTTCCACTGTCAGCAAAGGACAAAGGTATCCAAATCCAAACACTGGGGCCAGGCTAAAGCACAGCCCAGAGGGGAGGGGAAATTTTATTTCTGCGTGTCATTCCTTGGTCTCCCCAAGGAAACAGCAAGCTCAGAACTGCTGGAATTTAAACAACAGCTGGGGGAAGAGGTAGGGCGGAGGACACCTTCAAATCGGGACGTGGAAACTGAAGCAACTGTATCCAGGGCGCACAACATTAGCGGGAAAGGGCCGAGATTTTATTAGGAATTTGTGGAAGCGAAAACAAGGGCTTAATAGGAACCAGGAAGCATACGACTTACAGATGATAATAATTTGAATTCCTCTCCTCTCCAGACAGAGACTCTAAAGTTGGTGAAGGGTGTGTTCATTCTCGCAGCGAGGGGACGTTCCAAAAGAGCAGCAGGAGAATGGCACACTTTCCGCAGAAAACTAGGAACGAAAGCATGGCTGCAAAAGAGCTGCGCAGCTGCTGCAAGAGGACGGAGAGCTGGGAAAGGCTGCTGACATTATTGCCTATTTGCGTCTTGCCCTTGCTGTGCCACTTCCGCTTCGCCGCTGGAGCACTCCCAGTCAATATTTCAGCCCATTCAGAACGGGAGCGGCAAGCACTTGGCTCGGCATCCCTTCTCCAGAAACAGTTGTGAGTGCTAACCAGTTTTAGAAACTCAGGCGTATAAGCTAGATGCCGAATGGCTTCTTGAACCAGGGTTGCAGTCACCAAAACGATACGCCTGCTTACCGTTTTGAGGTTCGAATGTCTTATTTTTCAGTATGACTTTTTGTTTCCTGAAATTCACTCGGATGGTGCAGAAAAAATATAACGGATATAATTCTACGGGATGTGTTGCTAGTGTGTGAAAACAGTCAAGATCCAAGGATCCGCAGGCACGCACCTCCAGATAGAGTTGGTAGGGACCCTGAGGATCAATTAGTCCAACCCCCTGCAAAGCAGCTGTCCCACGTGGGGATTGAACCTGCAACCTTGGTATTATCAGCCCCCTGCTCTAATCAACTGAGCTATCCAGCAGTCTGCTATCCATCCTGGCACCCAGTCATCTTCACTTGGTCGCAGGAGGCAAATTTCAAACGCTGGTGCTAACGCAACCGCTAGGAAGTGGGATCTCTTACACAGTTTCATCTGTAGACAACAGACTGCCCATTCATTTGCAAACTCTTGCGGAAAAGAAATAAGGGGTTTCATTGGTAAATTCGCACTTAACTAACAGGGCTGAGGACAAATGAAGGTGCGGGACTCTTGAAGAGATGACCTCTCAGCAGGCTGTATAGGCTGACTTCTTTTTCCCTGTTCAGAACTTGGCGAAAAAGCAATGATTTCTTTCTCTTAAGAGTAAAAAGTAAAAGCCAAGGGCCACATTTCCTTCTGGGCAACTTCCCAAAGGCCAGGTGAGCAGAGAAGTGAATGTAGCAATAAAAATTGTAAATTAGGCTGGTTTCCACAGAGTCTCACACACTCTAACCTCCATACAGGCAAGCAAGAGGCATTATCAAAGTTCAAGGGCACATTCTAGTCGAGTAAAAACTCTCAAGGAGGATGTGAAGTTAAGGTAGGTAAAGGGACACGGCTGAAGACGGAATGTGGCCTAGGGAGAGTCCCCAAGAACCAGACAGATAGTCCTGGAAGGCTCCTGGGCCTAAAATTCATATATATGTTGTCCTATTATACAGATAGGGAAGACTGAGGCTCAGAGATGAGCAAAGCCAGCTAGCAAATCAAATATCTGAGAATTCTTCAGTTCAAAGGCAAAGTGAGTCAATTCTGGCTCTACAGGTGGAACAGCAAAATATTATAATCAAGTGCATTCTTTGCTCTGCCATGCTGTTTCTGCCCCCTTCCACTGCCCCCCAGTCACCCACTCTAGGTCTGCCCAGAGAAGCAAGCTACTATATCTCTCCGTCTCAGATTCCCCTCCCCGGTTTTATAAGGTAATAAAATTGGTCCGCCTTACAGAGTTCTCAAACCTTTTATCTCAGAGCCCACTTGACTTAGGCAAAAATTACTGAGGCGCACCAGTCCAAAGATGGTAGTCAGGTGCAAGGCACAGTCACATGCTGGTGGCTGGCATCGTTTTGTACTGAAACCTAACCCGCCTTTGGAAGTCGCTAAATTCTTTGCCATGGCACTTTCCTTTTGGCAAGGCGCTCCACAGCTCAGCTTTTGCAGAGTACAGATATTGGCTCTGGGGGTTTTGTGACTCAGCCTCCCCGTTTTAGGCAGAATTCGATGACTCAGAGTTACTCAGTGGAGAAGGCTTTTCGCTGCGCAATTCCCCTCAACGTGTGTCTCAACGTATTTTTACCCCTCTCCTGTAATTTCTTCTCCCGTTCTTCTTTCGTACCTGACTTACAGACACACACACGCAGCAAAATTGCCAGTTTATTTCATCCCCGGTCCTTTTCTATTCACTTCTTCCTCCTATAACCAGTTTCTTCTCTTATCCCCTCCCCTTCTATTCCTTCCTTATTTATATAGTAACATCCGCTTACCACTTTTTCCTCTCTGTTTCTGACTTCCTCAACACCAGCTTTGCAAGGAGCTGCTGGTGTTGGCATTGGCCCAACCAAAATGCTACGGCGATGGCATAGCTAGCACACAGGGCAGGCTGTGGCACTGAGGCCTACCTGAAAGTGGTCCAAGGCCTATAGGCAATGCCCTGGCACACTGCATGAGTAAAAACGCAGTAAAGAGTACATAGCGCTAATTGCACACAAGGCCTCTTCCCAGCGCTAAAGCGCTATAACAATAAAACATTATTTCTGAGTCCATCTGCCTCCCTCTTGCCTAATGCTCAGCCTGTCTGCGAAAGCGTTTGTCAGCCGCTGCCGTAAAAAATGATTATGTAAGACTACTGCTATTACTGCAAATTCAACATCTATTTTGGCTTAAATATAACTTAACAGCTAGAGAAACAAGGCACTGCATCAGCCTAATTCTTCATTACAATTCTGCCTTAAGGTGATACAAGTAAACTGCAATCCTTTAATGCTTTAATATCAAACATTTTCCAACCTTCTGCCGACTGAAACAGCATGAAGCATAAACAATTTAAGGCAGGAGTCTTCCCTCCCCCTCTCTTTGGTTAGGTATATACCCACGTTCTCTACTTTTGACATAAAACCCTAGTCTTTTTTCAGTGGAGTTATATTTATTTGGCACTGTAGACCAGAGCTTTCCAAACTTTCCATGTTGGCGACATGCTTTTTAGACATGCATCATTTCGCGACACAGTAATTCAGTTTTAGTAGCAACCCGGAGGTTCAGCTAACCCCTTTCCAGCCCCGGGAGGAACGCGGGGAGTGTTTGCGTGACACACCTACACACTGCAACCGACACACTGTGTCGCGACACACAGTTTGGAAAGCTCTGCCGTAGACAGCAGGGGAAAGGCAGGTGATAAATTATTTTAATATCTAACTTCAATAAATGATGGGACAAATGAGCTCATGGTATCTAACAGAGAAGTCTGTCCTGACGTTAACATGTCTGTATCTCAGGTGAGTCTTCATTGCTCATATCTACTCCATTAGCCTCAAAGCAAAGGGAGATGTTTGGTCTTCCAAGTCTAATGACGTCAACTGGAAACCATCCAGGGGCGATTAAAAATTGCCCCCAGATATCCAGTGTGGAGGGACGCGGGTGGCGCTGTGGGTTAAACCACAGAGCCTAGGACTTGCCGATCAGAAGGTCGGCGGTTCGAATCCCCGTGACGGGGTGAGCTCCTGTTGCTTGGTCCCTGCTCCTGCCAACCTAGCAGTTCGAAAGCACGTCAAAGTGCAAGTAGATAAATAGGTACTGCTCTGGCGGGAAGGTAAATGGCATTTCCGTGCGCTGCTCTGGTTTGCCAGAAGCGGCTTAGTCATGCCGGCCACATGACCCAGAAGCTGTACGCCGGCTCCCTCAGCCAATAAAGCGAGATGAGCGCCGCAAGCCCAAAGTCGGCCACGACTGGACCTAATGGTCAGGGGTCCCTTTACCTTTACCTATCCAGTGTGGAGTAGGTTTCCCCTCTATCCCTTTCCCCAACTATCAAAAGCTATATACAAGCAAGTGACTAGTAAAAAGAAATGTGTGGATTAATAATTTTAATGGACTTGTTTACAAGGTAGCAGCATCCTTACACCAACGTTCAGTCCTGGACTTACAACTCAGGCAAGTTCAAACTCTTTACCTGGAGTGAATCCTTTCCATTGACCCGTCGGCCAGGGATTCCTGAGTGTCTACCATGGAATCCTTTGTAGCATTTAGCATAAGAAGAGCCTTGTCAATCGGGTCAGCGGCCCATCTAGTCAAGAGTACTTAGGGACCTTGCCATATTTCAAAAAGAGAAAATCTGGAGGAAATTCGCCAAATTCTAGGGTTGCCATGCAACCAGATTTTCCCAGACATGAAAGCGATTCCCACCCGGACACTGTTTCCGACGGCCGAATCCCAGCTGTGTCCGGGAAATTCCGGATGTATGGCAACCCTAAGCATACTGCTCTCGCAGAAGCCAACCAGATGCCCATGGGAAGCCTGCAAACAGGACCTAAGCGCAACAACACTCTCCTCACCTGTAGCTTCCAACCACTGCGTTCTGCTTCCAACAAGTGGAGATAGAACACAGCATGGCTAGTTATCCTCTGGGAATGTTCCTGAGTCCCCTTTAAAACCATCCAAGTTGGCGGTCACCGCTGCCTCTTATCCGAATGAATCCCATAGTTTAACTATGTGCCTTGTGAATAAGTACTTTTGTCTGTAATGAATCATCCAACATTCAGCCTCACTGAACTAACAGGATGTCCATGAGTTGTGTTGCTAGAATACACAATTGTGTCTGCAACAGTGTTCGAAATTAGCCGGGTGCAAAGCATGTTTTGTGACTGGCGCGGGTCCAATTGCGACCAACTGTGGAGATCTCTGGATGCCCGGCTGGCAACTGGGGATAACAAGGGGTCACTTAAGAGAAGGATCTGAAATACTGTCACTGAAGCTTGAATTTGTTTTATTCCGGATTGTTTTGTTTGATGTTTTAATGTGTAGCAAAACGCTTTGAGATTTGTTCTTTAAAATACAAAGCGGTATAGAAACAACAACAAAACAAAAATGGTGCCTAGGCATTCCATTGTGGCGACCGTAACCCAGGTTTAAGGCGCCATTTGGCGATTTGATTTATATATATGAGAGTTTGTCACACTGGTTCTGGAGAATCCTGACAAAAGTCACTTGCATTCCAGGGTTGCAGGACTGCCATTCCTGCCCTAATAAACTCCCAAAGAGCCTCATGTTCCCTGTGTGGTAAAGTTTAATGTGCTGTTTAGTGTGCTGTTGAGAGTCTTGGGAGTAGAAATTGGGAAAGGAAGGTTCAAATCTCCACCCGGCCATGAAGCTCACTGGGTGACCTTTGGCCAGTGACTGTTATCTCGGGGCAACCTACCTCACAGGGTTCTTGTGGGGGTGAAATGAGGGGGAGACCCACGTACACCACCTTGGGGAAAATGGGAAGACAAATGTGATAAATAGATATATACGCAAACAGTTTTATCTACTGAAAGAAAGAAATCTAGGGAGTTTTAAAAATGCTAAATGCTCAGATCCTACAGATATATATCACTTGAATGTGTGTGTGTGTGTGTGAGAGAGAGAGAGAGAGAGAGAGAGAGAGATTACAGTGGTACCTTGGGTTAAGTACTTAATTTGTTCCGGAGGTCTGTACTTAACCTGAAACTGTTCTTAACCTGAAGCACCACTTTAGCTAATGGGGCCTCCTGCTGCCGCTGCGCCGCCAGAGCACAATTTCTGTTCTTATCCTGAAGCAAAGTTCTTAACCTGAAGCACTATTTCTAGGTTAGCGGAGTGTGTAACCTGAAGCGTATGTAACCTGAAGCGTATGTAACCCGAGGTACCACTGTACCCGAGATTCATTCAGATAGGATGAAGTGAACACTCTTTGGGCATATTGTGTAGCAGAAATTCATCAGGCAAGGAGCAAATCTCAAAAGCTGCTGCTACTTTGTCTCTTCCGTTGCGTGGTTTCGTTTTCAGTTTATTTAAAAAAGTTGGTGGGGGGAAATGTTCACGTGCCTATGTGCGTGTACAAACAGAGTGGAGGAGACTTGCCCTACTCTCTGGCAGAAAACACTTCCTGTAGTTACCGCTTGCTGTTACGCTTTACAACATTCCAAGTCAAGCTCATCTGCCCAACCCTTTGATAACAGACACGACACACCAGACCCCCAAGCCAGTGGTTCTGTTGCCGTCTTGCAAACACTCCATTTGCCCGGCTGCAAGCTAGAGGGTATGCATATACACACACACAAACACACACACTTATATACAAAGACAGACACACCACTATCCGATTCCGCACCCAAGGGATTGAGCACCCTTTTCTCTTTGCCCGGGGATTTCATTTCAGCAACAAAGACCTCGTCGCCACTATCCCTTTGGAGCAAAATAAAGCTGCAAATCAGTCAAGCAAGGCCAGGGTGCAGGGAGCTCCCTCCAAATAAATCATTGGTGTCCTCATGAGCTTTGGTGTACCTATCCTAGCCTTTGCTCTATGAATGTTAGTCTCCAATGAGATGGAGGCTGGGAAGGGCGGAGGGAAGAGAGAGAGAGGGAGGGAGAGAGAGATAGAGAGAGAGAGAGAACGAGAACCAGCTGATCATCATCCACAAGGCTATTTGCTTCCAAGCCAACAGTAGAGACATCCATTCTTCCCCTTCTTTCTTGCTGTTACAGGGATTCATGCTTCTAATAATCTACCGCCCCAACGTATTTTAACTCCAGACTCAGCAAACAAAGAGATACATCTCATTTTCCATCATATGTACCGTGGGTTGCAAGGAAGAGATCAAGGCACTGGGGGCAGCGGGATATGAAGTCAAAAGCCCGTTGCAAACGCATGGAAGAATAATTTTATTTGGATAGCTAGTCAGCTTGTAAATTAATCTGCCTGGGGAAAAGAAAATCCAGCAAGGAATGCCCTTTAAATCCAACGGATTCCCCAGGAAGTGTTTAACTGTTTCTTTCATTCTCAGTGATTTCGAGGGGACTCAAGCAAGCCTAACTCTGACTAACTATGCTAGATAAGGATGACCATTTTTCACAGACGTCAGGAAGTAAGTATGGAGCTATCGTTGCTCAATACCGCACTGTAACTGAGCCTAAATGCATACAGCTGAAGCACATCTTCCCCTGTTTAACTCTGCCTCTGATTCCCTTTCCTTCATCTCTAGACTGTTAAACCCCTTGAGGTGGGGACCCATTGAGCTCTGTAAAGTGGCTTCTACACAGATGGCACTACAAAGATATTTAATTACCATCCTATATAAAAAGATAAAGGGACCCCTGACCATTAGGTCCAGTCGTGGCCGACTCTGGGGTTGCGGTGCTCATCTCGCTTTATTGGCTGAGGGAGCTGGCGTACAGCTTCCGGGTCATGTGGCCAGCATGACTAAGCCACTTCTGGCGAACCAGAGCAGTGCACGGAAACACTGTTTACCTTCCCACTGGAGCGGTACCTATTTATCTACTTGCACTTTGACGTGCTTTTGAACTGCTAGGTGAGCAGGAGCAGGGACCGAGCAACGGGAGCTCACCCCATCGCGAGGATTCGAACTGCCGACCTTCTGATCGGCAAGTTCTAGGCTCTGTGGTTTAACCCACAGCACCACCCGCATCCCTACCATCCTATATACACATGCACAAATGTTCATTTTTGTTCAGAGTGCTGCAGAAACACGCAGATCTGCTTAATCGGAGGCCACAGCCAAGATAGAAAACGTGCAGAAACAGGTTTGCCCCAAAGCCACAGGAGAGTTCACAAGTTACATGCAACAAGTGTTCAATCTGTGTACGCAAATAGTTGAGCTGTACACTCACATACGTGGGATACGCGGGTGGCACTGTGGTCTAAACCACTGAGCCTCTTGGGCTTGCCGATCAGAAGGTCGGCGGTTCGAATCCCCATGACGGAGTGAGCTCCCGTTGCTCTGTCCCTGCTCCTGCCAACCTAGCAGTTCGAAAGCATGCCAGTGCAAGTAAAGAGGTACCGCTTTGGCGGAAAGGTAAACAGCGTTTCCGTGTGCTGCTCTGGTTTTGCCAGAAGCGGCTTAGTCATGCTGGCCACATGACCTGGAAAAACTGTCTGCAGACGAAACGCCGGCTCCCTCGGCCTGTAAACCGAGATCAGCGCCGCAACCCCAGAGTTGTCTGCGACTGGACTTAACAGTCAGGGGTCCTTTACCTTTACCATTTTACACTCATATGACTATTCACATGTAACATTCAATGAGTTTACAGTTTAGGCTTCTTCACACTGAAGCTGTCTCTACACATGTACAAGTATTTGTGTGGGGAAAGTATACACTTGCTGATCTGCACAGCTCAACCATCTTGTATGCAGGTAAACTTGTGCAAAAGACATAGACCAATGAATATAAAACTTAAGACAATGATTACTGCACACCAGAACTGAAACACACGTACAAGACACATCCTGTGTACTGAATTCTATGCAACAATTATTTATTAAAGCACAGTCCCAAACATATTTACCCAGGAATAAGCGCCACTGAAGTCAGTGAGATTTGCTTCTAAATAGGCATTTATAGACTTCAGCTGCAAGGTGCACAGCTAACCAGTATGGGGAGGATTTTTGCACAGTCTGGTTTTACATATGAAAGATAGATGTCAATCAATCTTGAAGTGAAATGGAAGGCTGGTATTAAGCACGGATTTGAAACAAGCTTTGAAAATGCTAAACTGTGTGGCTTTTCTCATTTTTCTGGCCAACTATCACCCAGCAGATAGTGTACTTATCTAAAAGGTTCATTTCCAAAGGTTAGAGTCTCTCACCCCAAGCCCTTCTTCTGAATAAAGAGGCGAGTGGTGACCCACCTCACAGGCTTGTTGTAAACAAGAAGCAGGGTTTGACTTCATTTGCTCTGCCCATGGAGAGAGGATCAAATTAGGAAAGAATGTGTCTTTGGCATTCTTTCAAGCAAAAATATGGGATTAGGATACTGAGGAATGGGTTCCCTTTTGTGAGCAGAATGCTTTCTGTGTATCTTCCAAATCTCCCTCTTAATCATTTGCCTTGGGCCTGCTCACAAAATATATCAGATGTTTTCTCAAAGTACTCAGTGACAGATCCGGAGCCCAGCCTTGAGCTCACAGGCTCAGACAACTGTGAGGAGAAGTGAGCAATCAAGCCCGGAGACCACTCATTTTAAAAAAATAAACACTTGCTGGATTGTGTATCTTGGTTGTTTGCTTCTTGCATGGCCAACTCTAGGCTCTTTCTTTATCCCTCTCGAAAAACAATCTCATCAAACTTTACAAATTCAACGATTGAGGCTAGAACCCTGTAGACCCGTGCCTGGAAGTGAGTCCCACTGAACTCAGCAGGACTTCCTTCTGAGTGGTCATATAAGATAAAGGTAAAGGTAAAGGGACCCCTGACCATTAGGTCCAGTCGTGGCCAACTCTGGGGTTGCGGCGCTCATCTCATTTTATTGGCCGAGGGAGCCGGCGTACAGCTTCTGGGTCATGTGGCCAGCATGACTAAGCCGCTTCTGGCGAACCAGAGCAGCGCACGGAAAAGCCATTTACCTTCCCACTGGAGTGGTACCTATTTATCTACTTGCACTTTGACGTGCTTTCTAACTGCTAGGTTGGCAGGAGCAGGGACCAAACAACAGGAGCTCACCCCGTCATGGGGATTCGAACCACGACCTTCTGATCGGCAAGTCCTAGGCTCTGTGGTTTAACCCACAGCGCCACCCGTGTCCCTGTCATATAAGATAGGTTTGTGCAATAACACGCAAAGCACCTCTTACAGTTCTGGTCTAAAGTGAAATCCAATTCATCTTCATTTACTCAAGAGTAGCCCCACAATGTTAAATGAAGCTTACTCCCTAGTGCTCGACTAGGATCAGAGAGACTTAGTTTTTCATAATTAATGTTTTAATATTCTGTTGGAAGCTGCCCCAAGTGGTTGGGGCAACCCCGTCAGAAGGCCAGGGCACAAAAATTATTATTATTATTATTATTATTATTATTATTACCACCCTGCAGGGTTGTTGGGAGGTTAAAATGGGGAAGGCGAGACACATGTATGCCAGCGTGAGCTCCTTGGGAATAAATGAAACAAACAAACAAACAAACAAACAGCCTGAGAGCCATTTTTCAGAAAAAGGTATTTTAACAAAGCCACCACTCATTTTCAGGTCACACTTTTAATAGAAATGATGTGCAGAGCAACACAGACACATTTATTGTGGCATCCCCCATCTCCATCCCCAGCAGCTTCATGTCAACATAATCCTATATAAACAACCACTCATTTATCCCTGCATGCCATTACCTGAGCATTAAGTGGAGTGATTCTTCAAAGCCAGGATCTGAGGCCTACACACACACACACATGTAAATTCTAAATATATCAGAATCCAAAAAACAAAACAAAACTGCAAACAGCTCAGGGGTACTTTATTTATTTAAAGATATTTAACCTCGCGTTCAGTCTGAGGACCCTCAATGCAACTAACGCCATCAGTGATGAAATGAAAATGAAAAGCGAGAACAAACACAGCCGATTTCAGACTGCATAAAAACAACCAAAACACAGAACAGGAACTGCAAAGGTGCAGAGCATAAGGTTCTTAATCTCAGGGTCTTGGGTTCGAGTCAAGCCGCATATTGGGCAAAAGAATCCTGCACTGCAGGGGATGGGCTTCTGACTCTACAATTCTTGACTGACTCCAGCCTGTCTGAAAAAAGCCACTTATAAGCCGCTCACCAAAAGGCGAGTGGCAAATGATGAGGCTCCATCTCTGGAGAGGGTTTGGCACAGCCAAAACGGCAGAACTGAGAAAGTCCTTGGGGTGGCCATGCTTTCCGCTTCGCCCATGTGGAGTAACACCTGCTAACCAAACCACTCACACACACTCTGACAAAAGCCGGTTTCAGCACTAGGCAAAGTAGGTTAGCTGCCCGGGGTGGGCAAAATTTTAAGGGTGGCAAAATCAGAAGGGCAGTTTCTACCCCTTGGAGGTCCTTCTCCCAACGCCAAGGGAGGGAGAAAATTTTACACTCCCGACTATTTTTAATTTCGTAGGAAATACCTAAATTTGGTTTGATCACTATCATTAAGACCATGGAGATGGATCAAACTTGCAGAGAATTGTTGTTGTTGTTAGTTAAGGGTTCTGGGCAGATTTTCCTTTTGCATCTTCTTTTTTAACCCAAAAAAACACAAACCACATACCCTTAGCCATTGTGTAAGCAGGGTGGGGTATCTGGAGCTGAAAGTGGGGCAAGGGGGCAGAGGAGGACATTTCTGAGAAGGATTCTCTTGAAAATGGCTCTTCTCTTCTCCTCCTGATTTCAGCATATGTCTTTTTTAAAAGCCTCTTTGCACTCAGCTATCTTCCAGGTTGGTGCATATAAATAGCAGCCGCCCTGGCTTGTACCTGGCGAATCGAAGCTTTCAGTAGACCTTTGGGTGCCCCTGCTTTAGAGCTAACCTTAAGTCTCCTGCCTTTCCCCACCTCCCTTCACTTTTAGCATTGTCATCCAATTTTCCAAAACGTTACTGGGGGTTAAGAGCCATTCGTCTGATTCTTTCTTGGAGAGGAGACAGCAGAAAGAAGCTCTTCTTTTTCAATCTCATTCCCCCTCTCCTAACTTGGCGAATATTTCGCTTTCCCATCCCACCAAGATTTGTAAAGCTCTTATCATTCCTGACCCTCCAAGTGTCCCTATTTTCCCGGGACAGTCCTGGATTTACAGAAGCTACCCCTGTTTCTGATTTGATCCCGGAATGTCCCGCTTTTCCTTAGGTCATCCCTATCTTCATGGGAGAAATGTTGGAAGGTATGGAATAGGACGTCCGTATTTTCATCAAAGAAATGTTATCATCCCAACTTCATGTTTATTTTAAATTGTTAATTTGTTGCAAAAGTCACCAACAATATTTGTGAGTATTCTGAGGTACATGTATAGTTCTTCCTTCTAAAATATAGATGGATGGATGGGTATCTCCTTTACAGGCTGGCCATTAGGTTTGTCCATCCCTATGTCAGACTTGAAAAGTTGCAGAAGTATATTTAACAGCACAATATACCCATATTGTGATGCGAGAATCATCCCTTCTTTCTTTTAGACACCTCTTAAAACCTGTGCTATTCAGAAATGCAAATTTCATTTTTGCCCACTTCTGGTGTTTTTATTTATGTTGCTGCAATTTTCTTTGCTGTATACTGCCTGGCTGTATTTTTATGGAAGTGATGGCTATAAATATTTCCATAAATAAATGTTGCTAACCATCACACCTTAGACAGACAGAGGACAGATAAAGGGATTTTCATTCCTGATCTACAGTATCTTGAGTTTCTAACACTGCACAGGTCTACACCGAAGGGCAGTTATAAACTGGACTCAGATCATTCTCCCGCGTGCAATATTAACAGTGGACTACTTTGCAAGGCTGCCCTAGGTAAAGGCAAAAGTAAAGGACCCCTGGACGATTGCTCTCTCAGGCCAAGCCCCCTCGAGCTGCAGCATTTTATATATCTGGGTTATTTTTAGCTCACTTTTCAACTCTGTCAGATTCCCAAAGCTGGGTTCAATTAAAAGATTGTGACAACACAAATAAAATTAAAGGAAAGTTTGTGCTAACGGCAAGGGGGGACCTGAAATCAACTCTCATCTCCATCCCGCCTGCCTCTGTCTTCCATCTGCAGCTGGCTTGGAATTCAAACTCCAAACTTTCTGGTCCAGGAGTGGCGGGTGGGTGGGGGGCAATATCTGGACCAGGTAGATATTTAAAACAAGGCAGCAGAACAACCACAGAAGAAGATGACACAAGGCAGGGGATGACATTATGGGGATAACTGATGGAATCCGCATTGGAATGTCCACAGGCAGAACTATTTTCATTTAAAATCATTTTAAAATCTGATGTTTCACACAAAACAAGCCCCGAGTTAGAAAGAGCTAACTTTTGTTTCTGGCCAGACATGCGAGTGCCCAGTCACATCTATGGTAAAATTCTGGACTTCTCTACTGATTTATATGGGAAGTTTTTCTCTCAACATGGGAGGGCGGCATTTAAAAATGGTTTTTTTCCCAGTATGAACCCTGAAAGCCCACATACCCACCAGAGGCACAGCACTATGGTTTTCTTATTTCTGTAGCCTTCGCCAGCACTTTGAAATGGGTCCAGAAATAAACCAGCAGCCAATCACTTTGAACTTAAACTGCATCTTCCCCACCCCAGCCCATTATAACAACACATATAAAAACATAATAAAGCATTAAACCTTAAAAACGTCCCGATACAAGGCTGCCTTCAGATGTCTTCTAAAAGTTGTGTCTAGTACTTAGGATGTATGACAAACTGCTGATGAAACGGAGGAAAGGATCAGAAATTCCCCTGGGGTAGTTTTGAGTCCTGAAAAGGCCCAGGCAGAATTTGAATTCAGGCCCTATGTGTATGTATGTATTTCTGCCTCCTATTTTAATTCATCCCTCTCGTTGGAAATTATTCTGATGTAGTGTTCAGAGTGTTGGGACTGAGATCAGGCCTCAAATCCCCACTCAGCGAATTAGCTCACTGGATGAGCTTTGGTCAGTCATGGCAGCTCAGTGTAACCTACCTTGAAGGTTGCTGTGAAGATTAATAATAATAATAACACTAATGAAGGGATATTAAACTCAAAACACTAAACACAGGCCTCCACCTATGAAGATGGCAAGAGTGCAATTTCACCTCGCTATAGAGGAAGAGAGGAGCTCTGTCTGTACAAAACAAAATCCATTAGGGTTTTTTTTTTATTAAGATTATTTTGAAAACACTGAGCCTATCTTGGATAAAATATGCTCTAATCGTTCCTAAGCGTAGCAAAGTGAGAAAGACCCTCCTGATCTCCAAGCCTTGTCAAGTCTGCTAAATTAATAACTCTCTTAAAATTCTATTAGGCATCTAATTGCCTCGGAATTCTACTGTGTTTAGTATCTAGCACCATAGCTACTCGCATTAAGTACTAGTTACCCTGAAGGACTAAGAGGTGGCAGAAAGGGAGGTGCAATGACTAAAATAAAATAATAGATTGTCGCAGCTGCTGCTGGCATCTTGCTCCCTTTTTCTTCTTTCCCCGAGTTCGCTGCTCCAAAATTAAATCATCGGGTCCCTCCCCAATATGCCAATAAATCACTTACTAATAATAGCTATGGGTAAATAAAGGCCATCGTTAGTTAAACACATCTTTAAACGGCTGTGACGCATTGATTTACCTTCCGAAAAGATTAACGATGAAGGAAGTCGCAGTTTGAACAGACAGCCCTGCCACCGGGATCGGCTAGCTAAGGGCTTCATTCAGATCCATCTTCCAAAGGATGGCTCCGCTACAGCTGTGTTTTCCAAACTGTTTTTGCACTACAACTCCCATCATCCCTAGCTAGCAGGCCCAGTGGTCAGGGATGATAGGAACTGTAGTCCAAAAACTTCCAGAGAGCCACGTTCGGGAAACACTTTGCTACAGCAGCAAGCCAAAGGCCCATCTCTACCCTTGGGCAGTTGGGATACCCTTAGGATGCTCACAACCCTCTCTCCTCTCCTGTTCTCCCGCCTTCCATCACTATTCCGGAAATCAGCAAACCCTGCTTTCGCTCAGTCCTGTCAGCAAGTGTTCACTGACCCGGAAAGCAGTACATTTTTAACACTGAAAAGCACACACTCTTTCATACGCACGCTCCAAAGTAGCAAGACCGCTTCAACTATTATTCGGAGTTTCCTTTCTCCACCCTCGCTCCCCAGGGCAGAATGCAAGCGTGCAAGGAAAACCCCGTCAAGCAGTATTTTCACGAGTGCCAATAACAGATAAACAGGAAGCCCTTTGCCTCGGAGAAAGCAGAAACGGCACCATTTAGAGACAGCGCCTGTAATAGGGAACCAGTAAGTGCAAGACTAGGCCACGATGGCAGCCAGCAGCATTATCTGACAGCATGTCAAAAAATGGTTAATGACCCCTTTTATACATAGATACACACTGTATATATTTTAGCCACTTTGATAGCCAGTACAGTGGTACCTCGGGTTACATACGCTTCAGGTTACATACGCTTCAGGCTGCAGACTCCGCTAACCCAGAAATAGTACCTCGGGTTAAGAACTTTGCTTCAGGATGAGAACAGAAATCGTGCTCCAGCGGCGCAGTGGCAGCGGGAGGCCCCATTAGCTAAAGTGGTACCTCAGGTTAAGAACAGTTTCAGGTTAATAACGGACTTCCAGAACGAATTAAGTTCTTAACCCAAGGTACCACTGTACTAAATTTGCAAAGAGTCATCTCAGAGAGATGGAGACCATTCTGGACTCACCAAACATAGCAATTTGTGGACTTGCAGATGTAACTCGGGATTCCTTCACCTTGAATAGCCTTTGAACTGCGACTATTCCACAATTCTGCGCAAGCGTATAATCTGGTATTGGATGTGAAATCCAACGTCCAGACAACACCAGCATCCCTCTGGAGATCCGGCCAAAGTTTAGCACGTTTGAATGCCGTTAATTTCAAGCGGGGAACTCTTATTAAGCATGTAATGACCTCATGCAACAAAATCAACAGGACTTAGAAGAACTCAAGGCATGAAAGTATGTTGCGAGTTCCAGGTAAAGTTGCTTTATTATTTCATATCTCCATTCCCACAGCCAGCAGAAGGAGAAGTGTGCAAAATTGAGAATGCCCAAGTATTCTTAATTTGCTTAATATATAAAAGCCCCAGCATTCAGCTGTTCCTTAACATGGAGTCTGGATTATACTACCAGGGAGCAGCCACGGCTCAGTGACAGAAAATATGCTTTCTATGCAGAAGATTCCTGATTTGGTTGGTGTGACTGGGAATGCCCGACACACACACACAATCTGAAACCCTGGAGAACATTATTAATCATCATCATCAATTAAATTTGTATACTGCCTTATCCCCAGAGGTTTCAGGGCGGTTCACGACACAAAGTTACAGTATACGAAGCACAAAACACATAATGAAAATAATCAAAGAACAAAATACATAACGAAAAGGAAAATAAAAATGACCCAAACATAAAAATAACACAAACAATTAACAATACTAATATATTCACACTAATAAACAATATACTCCTCAACCAAAAAAAAACCTAAATAATACTTCAGGCTACAAATACAAAAATCCCAATCCTAATCCTAATAATAATTTATTATTTATACCCCGCCCATCTGGCTATGTTTCCCCAGCCACCATGGGCGGCTCCCAACAGAATCTTAAAAACACGATAAAACATCAAACATTAAAAACATCCCTAAACAGGGCTGCCTTCAGATGCCTTCCAAAAGTCAGATAGTTGTTTATTTCCTTGACATCTGATGGGAGGGCGTTCCACAGGGCAGGTGCCACTACTGAGAAGACCCTCTGCCTGGTTCCCTGTAACTTGGCTTCTCGCAGTGAGGGAACCGCCAGAAGGCCCTCAGAGCTGGACCTCGAGAGTCCGGGCTGAACGATGGGGGCGGAGATGCTCCTTCAGGTATACTGGGCCGAGGCCGTTGAAGGCTTTAAAAGTCAGCACCAACACTTTTAATTGTGCTTGGAAACGTACGGGGAGCCAATGAAGGTCTTTTAGGACCGGTGTTATACGGTTTCGGAGGCCACTCCCAGTCACCAGTTTAGCTTAGGTTACCATATTTTTTTCAATGAATCTGGGGACACTTTTCACTGATTTGTAAATCTGGGGACTGTCCCTGGGAAACAGGGACAGCTGGTAGCCTTAGTCTAGCTGCCACATCACACAACATTTAACAACAATTTAAAACAACCTCACCCTCCAAAAAGAACAGCACCCACCCAAGTTAAAACCCCATCCTGTTAAAAACAATAATTTTAACACAAGGGGGCTGTGTTATCCCACCCTTTTCTCCAAGGGGCTCAAGGTGGCGTGAATGGTTCTCCCCCTCTTTCCTTAATCCCCACAACAACCTTGTGAGGTAGGCCAAGGCAGAGAAGGCAGTAACTGGCCCAAGGTCACCCAGTGAGCTTCATGGCCGAGTGGGGATTTGAACCCTGGTCTCCCAGTTTCTAGTCCAACACTCTGACCGCTACACCACACTGGCTCTTTTAGACAATACTGAGCTAGGTAGACCAACAATCTGACAGTTATAAGACAAGCTTCCTATGTTTGCAGAACTTGTGATTTTTCGTTCAGCGAAACAGAATCACCTTTGTGAGCCTATCCATCACCATTTTTTGGACAGCTGTATAATACTGGCAATGATCCACTGGCACAGCAAACTCCTGTCACAACTGCTTAGATGACCAAATGCCACAGCTGCTATCTCTAGTCACTATTACTGCGACAGCAGAGATTCCCACAAACAAAGATCATCTCAGTGGCACGTTGTGTTTATGCGCATGCACTCACTTGCAAAAAAAAAAAACGGGGAGGAAACTAAAGGAAAGTAAATTTCCTTTATACGCCGGAGAGAATAAAGGCAGGGGGTGGGGGGAAGGCTGGCGCTTCAAAGACGTCAGAACACAAAAAGCCAATTCGGAGTTTGCTTTTGAACTGCGTTGTCCAAACAGCAGCATTGTTTTTAAACTCTTTTTCCCTAGCAGGGAACAACAAAAACAAAAACACGTGGAAACCCATTTCCGGGGGAAGGAAATTCCACAACAGCATTCCAGGAATTAACTTGCATTTTTTTGCCAAGTGCAAATTTCCCCTAAGACGAGGGTTCCAAAAGTTTCCTTCAAATTAAATGCCACTCTCCCCTGCAGGCTGCTGGCGCTTAGGAGGAAACTTCCCCCCCCCTCCAAAAAAGAAAGAAAGTGAAGTGTTGTTACACTGCTGTGAAAAAGAGAGAGAGAAATCTATCTAAATGATAGGGACCTGGCCAGTGTTCATTTAATTTGTATTGGAGATCAGGGTTGGGGAAACCCAAGGCCTTTATACGGCTGCAGAAGTGTGTTTTTCACAATTCTACATCCTCCACACATTCGCCCTGCAGGTTTAGCTGAGATACAAAGGAAGCCACATTAAGCAAAGTCTGAGGACAGCTCCTGAACGAGAAACTCCTGACCCTTTTCATTTTTATGAGAAGCAGGGTTACTTCCTTGCTCGGCTATGATTACTAGGGAAGTGAATGGCACAGATTTCCTGTCAGCCTTTGGTTTAACAGGCTTAGTGTATCAATTGAATGTTATGACCAGCTGTCGAGGAAAATGCGCTAAGCCCTGGATGTCAGGCAAAAGGTTGAATTTGAGTGCACGTGTTTCGCGGGCAGAGAGACGAGTAAAATATACGTCCAGGAAAAACAGCAAACTGGGAAACGCTACAACAATCTGCAGCAGGCTGGGTGGTCATTTTAGGCCAAGCTAGGAGCGCCGTCAAAATATTGCTAGACTCCAACTCCTGTCAGCCCCAGCCAGGGCAGCCAATGGTCGGGGATGGTGGGAAATGAAGTCCCAGCAATTTTGGGAGGTTGCCATGGTGGCTATTCCTGAGACACGGACTTAGTAAGACTATTTGGGTCTTACTTCTGAATAGGCAAGGCTAGAACTGGGTGGTCGGTACAGGCTCTGTGAACAACTGTTCCCAAAGTCCAGCTTTTCCAAATTGTAACTGACAGAGGAAAAGAGAAATTCTGAGCTGATCTGAATGCTGGCTTTGGATGGATGGTGAGACCTTCACCTGCCTTCTGTCCTCTCCTGGTCGTTTCTCAAAATTCAGCTGATCTTATGTGGCCACTCTGATGAGAGCCAGCCCACAACCTGTTGAGCTCCATTCGAAGTGGCAAGTCAACCTTTATGAGGCTACCAGTGGGTTTATAGTGACTGGTATCATAAAAGCATCTGAAAGGTCTGAACTGAAAACTGTTTAAAACCTAACTCTTCAACACTTAACTATGCAGATTGTGACTGAGCAGGATTTTCCCAAGAGGTTGTGCCTAAAACATGCCTGAGGATTCAGTTCTGGCAGTTAAGTCCAGTTGAACTCAATATGTTTTAGTTCAGGCAAGAGATGCACTGGATTGCAGTCTAGGTTCTATTTTTAAAACCCCACACTCACAACACTGAAAGTCCACTTTTTTCACAGTGCCGACTTGTGCCTTAAGGGTCACCCACATTTTCCACTTGATTGTATCATGGACTGATTAATTCTGATATCTTTTATTGTTGCCTTGCAAAAATCTGATATTGCTCGGTTAAGCAAATCTTCCATGTTCATTTTACAGTGGACATGATGGTGTAAATAAACCCGTTTGTGGAATAGTGGGCTACTGAAACGGGTCTGAAGGCCAGGAAGTGAAGGGAAAGGAAGCACAGAGAACTAAAGCACATGAAAAATACAAGGGCAAAAACCTATACCAGGATCAGAGAGTCCATATACACACATGCACAATCTCAGATCTAATGATGCCAAAGTTTCATGACCTTTCATTTTTGTTTCACTTCAGGTGAGGCAGTGCTAAACCAGTGGCAACAGATGAGATGAGGGCCAATAACTCAATCCAGACAAAATGGAGGTGAGGAACTTGTGGCCCTCCAGATGTTGTGGAATACAGCTCCCATTAGCCCTGACCATTCATTGGTCATGGTGGCTGGGGCTGCAGGGAGTTGGGAGTCTGGCAGTGTCTGAAGCGCCGCAGGCTCCCCATCCCAAGGTTGGAGCATCAAGACTCAGACTGAGAAACTCCAAGTTCAAATCCCCACTCAGCCATGAAGCTCACTGGGTGACCTGAGATCAGTCACTGTTCCCTTTGAGCCAACCTCACAGGGTTGTTGTGAAGGTGAAAGAAGAACAGGTAGAGGAGCAGGACCTTGAGCTCTGTGGACACGAATGCAATAAATTAATTAATAAATAAAAATAAAATAAAGCATGGATTTGTCTCACTGACACATTAAACTACTGCTTGCAAATGTCTTGGATGTGCATCAGCAAATGGCCAAGATGGAAAAGGCCTGTTCTCTCCAAGTGTCAAGTACAAAGAGGTCAAATCAGGTGAAATGTAAGAAGCTGTTAGATGGGAATGTTAAGTGGATGGTGGGGGAAGAGTAAGAACGAAGCTCAAAAGAATTCACACAGAAATTGAAATCTAACAGCAACGCTGCCAAATTTGGGGAGGGGTGTAATGTGTGAATATAGCTCTAGCTCCGACAAACAAATAAACAGCAAATAAATAAATTGCAAGCCAAATTGTCGGCAAAAAAAACCACACTGAATATTCACATTCATCAGATAAAGGGTGATAAACATAATTGTATTATGGAGCAAGCCGCGATGTTTGCAGTACTGCTAGTCAGTGAGGAAAGCTAACGTTTGCTGCACGGTAAATTATCCCCAATTACATTTACCACAGTGGCTTCCTAATTATACATATAAACAAAATAACACACAGCAACCCCCAAAGTAATCCAATCATTTCCTTTGCATATTAGTATCGTTCTGGCACGAGAAGAAGCCAAGCTTCCTCTTACCATTTGTGATTACTTTTTAGCTCGGACGACGAGAAATCACTCTTGGCAGCATCTAACTGGGTTTGTTGCGAATCCCGATTACCCTGAAATGCTGGAGCTTTAAACAATGGAGAGACTGGTTTTCCATTCAAAGCAGAGCACTCTCCCCGCCCTGCCCCCCCAATTCCTCACTTTTTTTTCCTGCTTAGCAGTGCTAAAGTTGTGAGCGGAGTTATATTGCTATCAAGCTCCACTTTTAATGACTGAGAACCTTCTCAACCAAGTTCTGGCAACGTAAGAAAATAAATATGACGTAGGCAATTCCAAACCAAAACATTCGCAGTGCACCTGGAAACCTGGTGTGTCTCCGCATTGTGCCAACACAACCTACAAAGTACAACAGTTTCTTCCTGCTGCTCTGAATTCAGGACATTTGCACGAGTGACGCTAAGCAGGCTTTTAAATCTGGAATGGATTGCCTGCGACGATAATTAATGCAAGACAGAAAGCAGAGAGAGCATCGTTTTAAAATCAGATGGAAATGCTAGTCAACTGTGGCTTTTCATCCCATTTGCAGAAGCAGAACGGGCAAAAGGCGACGAGGCCGTAACCCTACCCAATGCTGTGTAACAGCCAGGAGCAGGAACCGCAAGCAAGGATGTCCTGGGTTCAAATCTCACTTTGAACACAAGCTCACCAAGAAAAACTACTATTCTGAGCCTCGCATTGGCTGCACAAGAAACAATGCCCTGCCTTTATCATTGTAAACATTCAGAGCCTGTCGCTTAACGGTGAGGATGTTGTTTAATGGGATAATGTCTGTGATAAAGATTTCATTTCACAATCTACATGACGCGCTCCGCATGTCTGAAATGCACTATATAGAAATGCGTTTTATTATTATTATCTTCCCATGGTACATTTTGGGCGCCGATTCCCAGGTACAAAGCGCAGCGCAATTTCTAAAAGCTGCCCACATGTGCAAATTGCAGCTTTCGCCAAAACACACCCCAGAAAAGGGATTTCCAGTCATTGCTCGCGAGTAATTTGCAAACAGTAATTTGCTGTTTATTTGCACACAAGGGCCCTTCATAAGGCACACATATTTATATACTTGGGAAGGGGTTTCTGAAGACAAAATGCAGTTTACGAAATGGCCCTTAAAACCGTTTAAGAGCACGACTGGAAGACACCCTGAGCTTCCAAGGTACTGGCAATTCCCTAACAAAACAGCTCCCCCAATAACGCTACCTTTTTACTGGGGAAGCTTCACTTCCCTTGTGAACAAATTTGTATCAGGTGGAAGAAGCATTCTATCCCATAAATTACAGCAGGAAATTCCAAATATTTCAGCATTTACGTTCTCTTCACTTCAAGCCTGCAAGGGGCACAGTGTCCACACTTATTATTTTAACCAGGAGCTATTTATCTAACTATCCAAGCAAGCTGCTTTATCAGAGACCTCCCTTAGTGTACACGCTAAAACTGTATAGAGAAAACAAGAACTACTGACAGACAAATATATGTAAAATAATTATGGGCGGAAACACATTAAAAAAATCAGTCAAACTTTTACAAGTGAACATAGGTAATTTCCACAGATTTCTCCACTGTTGTCAAAAGACTTGCAGAATTCCAAAAATATGGCCATTGGTTCCACATTGGGGACCATACACTGATAATCACCTGAACTCTGTGAGATGCCCCTACCTGAGTTCTGTATACATCACCGAGAACTTAAAGAGAGGAAGGGCCTCTCACCAGAGGTGTTGGGGGGGGGGGAGATCCTAAGTTGCCCCTGGAAAGCATAGCGTTCACAAACTAAGAATTCTTTCACCGTACCTACAACCTCCTCAAGATGAGAAGTGCAAGCCTGTTTGGGTGGGCCGGGAGAGAGAGAGACTATCTTTCCCTTACAGTCCTCTGGAATGAGATCTGGTGGGGAGAAAAAGAATCCCTTATCCTGTGGTGCCTCTCGCTGCTTCTGAGCACCTGCAAAGAGACAGGTGGTTCCTTTCTTCCGAGACCTCTCTGCATAGACCAGACATGCCATGTAAGGTAAACAAAGGTAAAGGACCCCTGGACGGTTAAGTCCAGTCAAAGGCAACTACAGTGGTACCTCGGGTTAAGAACTTAATTCGTTCTGGAGGTCCGTTCTTAACCTGAAACTGTTCTTAACCTGAGACACTACTTTAGCTAATGGGGCCTCCCACTGCTGCCGCACCGCCAGAGCACGATTTCTGTTCTCATCCTGAAGCAAAGTTCTTAACCCGAGGTAATATTTCTGGGTTAGCGTAGTCTGTAACCTGAAGCATCTGTAACCTGAAGCGTCTGTAACCCAAGGTACCACTGTATGGGGTTGTGGAGCTCATCTCACTTTCAGGCCAAGAGAGCTGGCGTTTGTCCGCAGACAGCTTTCCGGGTCATGTGGCCAGCATGACTAAACCGCTTCTGGCGCAACGGAACACAGTGACGGAAACCAGAAACGCCATTTATCTTCCCGCTGCAGCAGTGACTATTTATCTGCTTGAACTGCTAGGTGGGCAGGAGCTGGGACAGAGCAACAGGAGCTGACCCTGTCGCAGGGATTCGAACCGCCGACCTTCTGATCGGCAAGCCCAAGAGGCTCAGTGGTTTAGATCATAGTGTCACCCTTTCTTCCTAGACCTCTCTGCATAGACCAGACACACCATATAGGAGGGCTGGGGAGCTGGGCCTCCAAAATAATTTTCAGTGAAGGGGCCAGGCCCCCTTAAAGTTCCACGGTGGCTGTACATGCATGGCATGCTGATTTTGCGCAGCCCTGTCGATCGAGGGGGCAAGATGGCACGCATGGCATAGACAGTGGACCTCATGGATATTTACCCCTGGATTTCTCATACTCCAGGAGCTTTTTCAAAGAAAAAGAAATATCCGCTACTGATTCCTCTTTTTAACGTTATCATTTCCTTCCTGCACTCTCTTTGCTTTCAAGGAAGAACAACTATGCCTCAGTCCAGTATACCTGAAGGAGTGTCTCCACCTCCATCATTCTGCCCGGACACTGAGGTCCAGTGCCGAGGGCCTTATGGTGGTTCCCTCACGGCGAGAAGCCAAGTTACAGGGAACCAGGCAGAGGGCCTTCTCGGTAGTGGCACCCGCCCTGTGGAACGCCCTCCCACCAGATATCAAAGAGAAAAATAACTACCAAACTTTTAGAAGACATCTGAAGGCAGCCCTGTTTAATAATGTTTAATAGGTTATTGTATTTTAGTGTTTTGTTGGAAGCCGCCCAGAGTGACTGGGGAAACCCAGCCAGATGGGCGGGGTATAAATAATAAATTATTATTGTTATTATTACTATGCAGTTTGTTGTCATTTTATTATATATTTAACCAAGTTGCATGCCGCCCTTCATCTGTAGACCTCAGAACGTAACAACGCAAGATAAAAACACAAAATGAATAATAAAAACAGGAACAAAAATAAACCCACAGGCCAATAAGCCCCCCACCCCTCTCACTGTGTGCAGTCTTACTGGATTCCAAAGTTCTCCAATCACATGCAGTGCATCAAACGGAAAGAAAGAATGGGAAGAACCACATGCACTGCCCAGCACGATAAAATCTACTTTCGGAGAAGCAAATATTTCTTTCCCTGGCGCAACGTATCATTCGCCGCCGGTATTTGTGTAGCGTTTCCCCTGTGTGCTTGAAACACTTCACGTAGGTTATAGCACTCAACAATTTTCAGGCTACCACCCAAATCTTGCCGTTTTGCCTTTAAATTAACTGTTTATGCTACCTGACCCACCCCCACTGCTATAGGAAAACAGGACTGCAGCTGTGCTGCGCAGCAGGGAAGGCGGGCAGAGGGGAGTGGGACGAGGAAAAATGGTCCAGAGAGGCAGCCTCTGCCTCATCTTCCAGTTCAGCTATTAATTTAACAAGGCAGAGCATCAATCTGCAGGTTGAAGACTGCCAACTTCAGCCTGCGTGAACTTTACAGAAACACTGCAAGGTTGCAAGAATGCAATATTCTGAAGTGGAGAGGTTACAGGGGGGAGAGCCAGAACTTAGAAGGAGAGCATGTACCTTGCATGCAGAAAGGAGGTTCAATCCACAGTTCCTCCAGGCAGGGATGGGAATTCACCCTGATAGTCAGTTTAGAGTTAGATGATGGCAGTGCCAAGTCGAAATTCAAATTGCGGGCCTCTAAGCTCATAGCTCAGTCTCTCTACCAGCAGCCTCAAATGCATGTGGGTTGCTTTCCCTCTTTAAAACATTCTACCATCATCCCACTTTGCTGTTTCCATTATAGGATGCCAGACTAGATATGCGATGTGACCACACAGCAGTAACACAAAACAACCACCACAACAACAATCCACACAAATGCAACAACAAAGAACAGACTGTTGCAGCAAAGAGCCGGCACAAAGCTCAGAATAGCGCTTGACCTGCCCTGAAGAAGTCAACACTTTTGTCGCCAATTCCTGGTGTCAAGATGTATTTCTTTATTTTGGAGCAGGTAAGAAAAGTGATAAAAGAGACCGCTTGCGCCAAAACACAACAGCAGCAGCAGCAAAAAAATAAAAAAAGCCACTTAGGCTCTGACAGCTATTTCCCCCAGAATCCAATTAAAGAGCAATCCTCGCCCGAATAGTGCAATATTCTCACACATGAGGAATGCTTCCAATATACTGGTCACTGTAAACTGCAACGCAAACAGCGGGTGTGGAGGACGGAAGCGTACAAGAATTGATCAAGAGCAAAAAGTCAATAGGTGTATCCAGCACAGTTCAGAACAACTTTTATTTCCCAGCCCCAACACTGAATATTCGAGGAATGCATCACAGTTTTGTTTATTCCACATGCATGACAACTGACCATTTCTCAATGAAAGGCTGAGCCAGCGTTCACTCTTTGTAGAGATCCCCCAGAGTTCTCACATTTTTTTAAAAAAAGAGAGAGACAAGCATTCATTCATTCGCACCAACTTGCCCTTCTCCTTTGCTAAAAGCTTCCACCGCTCCCAAGAGTCTCCGAGTTGTGTTTACAATGCCTCTTTATCGCAGGACTCTCGGCTGCCCAGAAAACCAAACTTCCAAATGCTGCACTTACAACTTTCTTTCCAAAAAAAAGGAAAGGGGAAAAAAGCAGAGCGCAGTCGCAAAAAACCCCCAACGACCCAGGGGGTTACCTGCTTTCACTTCCAATTCCAACACACCATTCCATAAGCCTGAGCTCTCCCTAAGCTAACAAGAAATCCCGTCTGTAATGACAATTTAGCTTATGCAAACATAGCACTTGTCAACAAGGGCTACTATTTCCAGCAAGCGTGACACCTACTCTGTGTAGCTAACAATCAAAGCTTCATGGTACGTTCTATCCAGCATCTGGCTACACTTGTTCCTCACACAACTCCTGATTTATCTTCAATCCACTTACAAACATTGCAGAGCGGCACATCTGTCCAACGCCAAGTGTTCCTCTGTTCACACTAACTCCCTGCCCCCCCCCCGTTTCTGCCCTCGTTGGCACACTCAGTCACACACACACACCCCCGCGGCCACCCCCTCCCCCCCAAAAAAATCATAAGTTTGGGCGGTTTTCCCCGTACCTGCAGTTCGGAGGTGGGTCCAGGGTTATTTCAGCCAGCTCCTTTTGAATCCTGTTGGCAAAATGAGAAGAGACACAGAGCGTTTGCGAGAGCCTGAGGAATATATCGGGGAATTACACTGCCCTCTACCACCATGCAGTTAAATGCAAGATTGGTTTTGCTTCAGTAATGCTAACATGGCTGCTTCCTCTTTGTTCTCAGAGGCATAACCCAAATCCCAGAACAGAGAAAACTTTGCAGCTTCCCTTTTCTTAGCTGTGACGGTAAATAGAGCATTTGCACCTCAGCCCGGTGGGAATTCCCACCAAGCCCTCAGGAAAGTGAGTCTCAGGGATTTCCAGCCGCTCTTTAGGAGGCATTTTTTCTTTTTAATCTTATATGCAAATGAGACCCAGGAAGGAGGGGGAGAGGAGGGAAACAGAAGCATATTTGAGAATGACTTTTCTACCAACATTGCCTGGGAGTTGTAGCCAAGGCTGATGCATGACGAACAAGGACACTTTTTTTGGGGGGGGGGGCGCAATGCTTCTCCTGCTGCCACTAGTGACTTTTAGCATTTCAATCACCTTGGTATATATGCATCCAGGTTGCTGGAACTAAGCCTTGACATCCTTCTGCTGCTTTCTCTCCTCAAACCCACGAAACATTTTTCTTTTCTTTTCCAGAAACCCCGTAAAATAAAACAAACACTGATCTATCAGTTGTGATTTCAGCCCAGATGGTATCTCTGGACAGCAGTTATAAAGATGCCTGGATCCCGAGAGAAAACGTTTCGCCACTTTTGCTACAGTTGATAGAAGTCATCAAAAGAAGGAACAAAATATTCTCTCTTTCTTTCTCTCTCTTTTGAAGGGAGGGGGGTTTTACTGCTAATTTTACAAAGTTCAGATAATTTATGTTTTGCCTGTAGTAGATCCATGGCGATGACAAGTGATTTAGATAGAACTGCTCTGGATTTGTACCATACATGAATTTACACAAAACATCAGGTCAAGGAACACACAGGGCTAAGATTTTGCAAGATCAAGCAGGATATTAAAAGAATCACTCACTGGATTTATGTATCAGCAGTAAAGTTACTCTATAAATACCTAGTAAGCCGCTAGCAAAAGTTATCTTAAATCCATTGGAAGTTACACAAAAGATCCACTTCTTATCATTTCCCCCCCTCAACGACTGTATGTACTTTTATTTTCAGACTCTACTGTTTTCGATTTAAAAGCAGCAGATGGTAAAAGCTAACACGCCCCTCAAGTCATTTTTGCAGGACTGCCCACCTGCAAGGCAAAGTTTCAGAGCTGCTAATGAATGTGTGGAGTTTGGCATCAGCATATTCCAACACGCACCCTCCAAACATATAGGCCAACTCTGAAATAAGTGTTAAACACTCCCACTGACTTTGTGGGAGATTATTGCACCCTTAAATATCTTGGATGCCATTTGTCAGATACACTATTGGAGAATGTAACGCAGATTCCTAGCTAAAAGTGAGCTTCGAGGAAATGATTACTGGGTTATCTCCAAAGAGGCAGAGATCAACAAGGCATTTTAAGTTTGCCCAATTCAGAAGGCTGTTAAAGAAAATTAACCCGTGAGTGAGGATCTTCAGAACGCTGCAAATCGTAGATGCGTAGAGGTAGCATCTAGCAGGTTCCTCTCAAGTTTTTGAAACTTTCAAGATAGAAGGACAGTCATTAATCTGTAGTTCCAATGAGGTAAAAGCAATCAAGCTAGCACACCTGCTTGCATTTCAACCAACCAACCAAACTAACAAAAAACCCTTCTATGGATGTGCGTGCATGAGGTTCCCAAAAAGATAAAGAGCAAAAGAGTCATTTCTCGTCAAGTACTCTTATACAGCATCCAAGCCAAGCCAAATGATGAATCGTCCCATTTCCTCCCATCCCCACCAAAAGAAAGAGTTGAAGCATTCAGATCCAGGTATGAATGTACATGAACGAACCTCTCATGATGACGCCACATCGCCCAGGGGAAACTGGAGCTGCTCTACGAGTGGGCAAAGTGAATCGAAGCAGCGCCCCCAGCACACACATATACAGGGGCAAAGCAGTTCACAACTCGACTCCCCATTAAACACACTCACTTTGGGCAGCGCCCAAGAATCAGGGGGTGAACCCAACAGCGCACTGGTTGCAACTCTGCCTGGATCCATTCAACCGCCATCGCTGACGCGGTGTTAGAAAGAGACCTCTTAATCCACGGACTATTTCCATGCGGGTCTCGCCATCCCAACAGTGAACAGCAACATCTCAAAGTTTGTTAGTTCACCTTAAGGACCTTCCCTTGTTTGCAAAGCAAGCAAACAAACAAAAATAAAAGCTTTCTCCCTGAAAAATTCCTACCCGCTGTTTGGGACAAATTACCTTTTAGCACTAGTGGAGAGCTTGGCAGTCGTTTTGCTGGAGAGTTTGGTGTTCTTCTTCTGTTGGGTGGCCGAAGGCTTTCTCTCTTCTTGCTCCTCAGGTTCAGGAGCTGGTGGGTCCCTCTGATCTGCATCTGAACTCCCACTGCTAGTACTTGGACTTTCGTCATCTGACCTCTGCCTGTCACTGGACATCTTGGAAAACTTTCAGGGAAGGAGCAAAGGAGGGACAAAAAGAAAAAAAACACGTCAATTTCCAGGAAAAATAAATATGACTTAGTTATACATTTGGTGGCCAAGACTACTGAAGCTATACTCTATTGTAATTCACCCATGAACAACAAATCTTTTGATTCCTCTTTATTACGACTGTGCGTCGATTGTTGATGTTACGTTTTCTCTCCTGCACATAATAATTAAATAAAAATCAGTTCCACCCAGCGAAGGGCTATTCATTCAGTCCCCTGTCATCTGCAAGCATACTTATTTGGTGCCCCTTAAACTGGTCATGATGAAGATTGGAATGGGGGGGGTGTACGAGAGGGGGGAAATAGGGTTGACCAAAATCACGTCTCAGTTTGAGGTTCCAATGCAACAGTTCCAATGTTCATGAATTTTTTCAAAAGATTTTTTTTAAAAAAATGGATTTTCTCCTCCCACCTCCAAATCCTATCATGCGTCCTCCCCCCCCCCCCGCCCCACAACACACTCCCCAATTCTTCAGACAGTACGTCAATTGTCTACTTTGTTCGGAGGCATGAGGCAGATTTAGCAGAGTACTCAGGCAATGAGCATTAATAACTTATGACACGTTGTAAATAGCAGAGGCTTGCCAAAAAAATATAGGATTTTTTCCCCTTTAAGTCAGTAATACCTTCTAAATATTTACACTGGAGCAGAGGGGGTCAAGGCAGACATATCTCCTCCTCCCCCCCACCCCACCCCCAAGACTTAAGCTGATATACAAATTGGGAGGGGGAGTGAGAAATAAACCCCCCACCAACACCACCCACTCCCTCTTGTTTCCCTGTATTTAAAGGGCTGGAGAGGATTTGCTATTTCAGACTCAAATGCTTTTCTCTCCGTCCAGAGAAACCCGCGAGCTCGGGTTCTATTTACACGGCCGGCAGCAAGAATTGCATTTGGTCACCACCGAGCAGCCTGGAAAGGAGGAGGAGGGAGAGAGGGAAAGGGGGGAGAGAGAGAGAGAGAGAGAGAGAGAGAGAAGAAGAAGAAGCATAATTCAAACTGCACCTTCTGCAAAGCTTTCAACGCCACCGAGTCTTGATCAGTTTCTACAAAACAGACCGACATATTTTTTTTCTCCTGCCCCCTCTAAAAAAAACACATCCAGGGAGGCTCAGATCGGAGAGCTTGGAATATCTGTATTATATATCTATATTTTTTTCTATTTTTAGAAGAAGAAGAAAAAAACAGAGGATCCTCGTCGGGAATTGCAGGAGGGCAAAAATTGCAGCTCTGCCCCCCCCCCAACACCACCACCCCGCGCTCCCTCTCTCTCTCACACACACAAACAGAGAGAGTCGTCGCCGTCTCGCCCCCCCCCCCCCGCGCCTCGGCTTTGTAGGGAGAGCCAAGCTCCCAGCCAGGAGGGTATGGAGGGGCTGCTATGGCAGGAGCCTCCCCCCCCCCCGCACACACACACTACCAGCGTGGTGTGTGCACACCAAGTGAGGCGTGAACTCAAGTCTCGGCTCCTCCGGCTCTGCCGGCCACCGCCAGGCAGCAAGCGCTGAAAACAAGAACAAAGCTCCCTCTACCAATCTCTCTTTCTTCCTTCAACGCGCCCCCCCCCCCTCAACCTCGGGCGCCGCGCTCCTTTTTCCCTCCTCCTCCTCCTCCTCCTCCTCTTCTCTCCTCCTCCCCCCACCATGCTCGCCCAGGATCCTGCTGCAGCCACCTAACCCGTTTCTCCTTTTACCTTCGCAGGCGTCCTGTCCCGACGTTAGCTCGGAGGGGGGAGGGATGGACGGGAGGGGGGGAGGGCAGGGGAGAGAAAATGTCCTTGGAGGGGATGGAAGCAGCCCCGGGTGTGGGGTGGGGGGGGGCGTTGAAATAAAGCAGCAGAGGAGGCTCTGTGGCCGGGCAGTGTGGAACATTGAGAGTCGGAGCGGGGGGGTGGGGTGGGGGGGAGAGTGAGTGAGTGAGAAAGGGGGAGGTGCAGTGCGGCTGGATGGCCGGAGGGTGGTGCTGCAGAGGCCTCCTAATTTATTTATTTATTTCCCCTTTGCCGCCTCTCCTCCCCCAGCCCCACCACCAATCCCCACCTCGCACCGTTTCCTCCAAGCCAGCTCCCGCGGCGGGGTAAGGGGTAACGTGGCTCGGGGATCGCGAGCTCCCTCTTTCTCACGCTCCCTCCCTCTCTCTCCCCCCCGCTTTCCCCGGGGGGAGGAAAGGCCGGATGGAACGAGGCAAGGATCGAACGTTCCACCGCCTCCGCCCCCTTGTGTCGCTACGTTCGGCTCCAGAACGTTGCAGTCAGCAAAGTTCCAAAACGGAGGAAGGAGCGGGTTGGCGGGGGGGGGGGTGTATGTCCTGATGGGAAGGGGGGGGAGTTGACAGGGAGAAGGTGGCAGCAACGGTGGAGGGGGGCGGCGCTCGCTCGCTTTACTCGGCTGGCAGAGCGCGCGCGCGCCCCTGTGGGCCGGGGGGCGCGCGCGCGCTCTTTACCTTTGCAGGGTGCCTGCTTTCCTCGGCGCTGGCCAAGGACAAAGAGTTGGTGCCTGTGCAGAGACACCCCACCAACAACAACAACTTTGAACCCTGGCTCTTGTTTTAAGCAATGGCTTCTGGAGGCCCTCATCACTGCCCCTCCACCCCACCCCTAGACATCCCACGGGGGAACACTTAACACACACACACCGCTCCCATGTTTTGCCAGCGGCGGCAGTTATTGAGGGGGATAACAGCTATGGATGGTGGCGGTGAGCAGTGAAATCGTGAATCGGCCGGCTTGAGCTGACAGCTGCCTTGCAGTTGTGATGAAATGGGCTGAGGAAGAGCCAGCTCTGTTACAATCCATGTTCCTGTGCCCCCCCCCCCACTGCTCTTTCTAGAGGTGCCTCCTAAGCCTGGGAAAGGGGGTAGCTGTAGATATCGTAGTTATCTGTTCTCAGGGAAATAAAAGTCTAGGGTTGAGTAAGGGAGAGAGGCCCACTTTGCTGTGCAAGGTGAGCTCTGAAAAAGACACTCAGCCAAACTATTGGGAGGTGAAGCACAGGTTTGGGGCTTCAGAAAGGAAAAAGAGAGGCCCGCCTAACCAAAAGTTGCTCAAGTCCATCTTGCCAGCTCAATATTTCTGGTGGGTCAGCCCGTCTGGGCACTGCTATGGATACAGAGAACTAGTGCTTTTTTATTATTAAAAAATGTTTAGGGGTACTCTCATTTTGACTCAAGAAAATCACCATTTTATAGTTCAAATCAGGAAAAATAAATACAGTAAATGGACAAAAGTGCAAAGAGTCACAAAATGTTTAGGGGTATGTGTCCCTCAGAAAAAAAGCACTGCAGAGAACAGATCTTCTTAGCTCAGTTGGCTAGAGCGTGGTGCTGATAACGCCAAGGTTGCAGGCTTGATCCCCGTATGGGACGCCTGAATATTCCTGCATTGCAGGGGGTTGGACCAGATGATCCTCAGGGTCCCCTTCCAACTCTACAATCCTCCTCCTCTTCCTCCTCTTCTTCTTCTTCCCCAGAACTGAACCTAAAGATGTCACACTTCTACTGTTCCACCACAGACATTGGGTCTCAATTCTCTTCTCAGGAAAGTATTTTGTTTCCTGCTACTCCTCATACGAAGCATCTCACCTTGAATGAACTTTCCTAGCTTCATTCAAGAACCCTTGGATTGTACGGCTGAGGAAAAGGGTTGTCTTAACTACTGAACTTTTGATCTGTTTGCTTTCAAACAAAGGAGAGGGACAGGGAGAGAAGATATCATGGCATCATCATCATCACTTTTTGTCCAAGTTCAAAATCCATTTCACCCCATAACATATTGTATTTCATTCATTCATCCATATCCTTACTCTCCACCAATAAACTCAAGGCACACCAATAAACTCAAGGCCATGTGCATGATTTGTCTCTCTTTAGACAAACAATACCGAACATTCTAAACCTGCATCAAAAGAGCAGGGGGGACGCCCATAGGCTTGGCCAGGGCAAAGGTCTTCACTCCTGCTGCCTGCTCTGCAGGCAAAACCGCTAAAGACAGAATTTCTAAATTTGTGCCTACAAACATAAATTAGCATGTGTCGATTCTGGGTCCTTTTTTTGGTGATGTATGCTTTGGGAGTGGGGGACGGAGGTTGAAGCCTTAAGCGCCCAGCCTATATTCCTCAAGGATTTACATGCACAGCTAAGGCACTGAGACTGTTATCTGAAAAGCTGCAACCTGCACACAACAACCTGTGTCTAGGTGAGCAAGGAATTCTAAGGGTGAGTTCACTTGTGCTTCCACCCAGGATGTACAGTCTATAAAGCGGGTGATGTGCAGGAGTGAGTGGCTGCAAGTCCCTTACCCACCCAACTGAATGCCCGGATAAAAACCGGCACTTTAAAAGGCTTGTTGGAAAGGGAAGATCTGCAACAGGTGCCAAGGGAACTACAGAGGCAGTGCATGTCTGCTATTCAACTCGCCCACTGTGCTAGCGGAAGCCAGCGCAAGGAATCCCGCTAGTGTAATGGGGTTTCTTCCATCCTCTCCCACATGCCCCACATGCCTCCCCCCCCCAATCCTGCTCTTGAATTTCAGGAGAACCTGCAGAACAGTGCGTGGGGGAGAAGAGGAAGGGAGATCATTCTGTCTGGTAAAAATGCAAAATGCCTGCACTGGCCGAACGCTTCTATTAATGCAACATTGAATTCCACCCCAATTATTACGTCGTCCTGATGAGATAGCATCTTGAGGCCCTTGACCTCCATGCAATCTATCCACCTCTTTTTTTGCAGGCCATAGTCCACTTAGTCCACAGTACTTAGTCCACAGTAACAATTCCTTATGTGTTGGGGGGGGTGCTGCGTGTGCCATGCTTGAGAGTCCTTTTCCCTTCCTTCCTGTTCCATGTGTGCAACCAAGCCCTGTGTCAATGGTTCCAAAGATATTTCAACCGCATAGGTTGGCTTGTGCTCATCTCTCCATGGACCCTGCCATCTCTTTGCCCACCACAGTTCTATTGTATATGCCAAATGATATGAGACAGGATCTTCTATCTTGCCAGCATGTGCTGGTTCTCTGGGTTCACTTCAGATCGAAGGTAGAAGATGCAAACTCGGGGAGTTGTTCTCAGGGGGAAAGTGGTTGTATAGCAGGCCTCAGCACAACTGTCCTGCAAGGTAGGCCATTATTCATGTTGACATCTGCAAGGGTTGGTATTGCTGGGCCAATGTCCTGACTCAGGGGCCCACTCCGGCCACCAGAGTCCTGTGGCCCTGATCCTCCTCCACTTGACCGCCTCTTCACTCAACTTGTCAGAGCAAGTGACAGGAGCAAGGTACAGGAGCCTCCTCCTCTTTGGGACTCAACCACTCCCTTGCTGGCCATGTAGAAAGGATAGGGAAGAGGAAGGATCATGTCTCAGTGGGTAGCAGAAGGTACAATCCCAGAAATCCTCCAGGTAGGGCTGGAGAGCCACTGCCAGCTAGTGTATCACCCTTTCTCAAACTTGGGTTCCCTTGATGTTGTTGGACCTCAACTCCCATCATCCCTGGCACTGGTCCTGATGGGAGTTGTAATCCAACAGCATCTGGGACCCAAGTTTGAGAAAGGATGGAATACTGAGCGAGGTCAGCAGTAATTCACACGGCATCAGTGAATTTAAATCTTTATTCTAAGAAACAAACAGCTCAGGAGACCAGGCCTTGTGAGCACAGCAATTCTTCCTGGTAGATCTTGCCCCAATGGGTCAGTTGTGAGGACTGAAAGTCCCCATCTTCCCACAGTTGCCTAAGCCCCCAAGTCTTTCCCAAGCAATTTGAGACTCTGTCAACGTGTCTGTCTCTGGTCCACCCTCTTCATGCCTCTTCTGGTCCTGAAAGGCCAGTGGGGAGGGGAACTAGTTGCAGCAGGAGCAGGAAACGCCCTGGCTTCTTCAGTAGCCTGCCTGATCTCTGCCTCTTGGCCCCCTCTGCTGCTGAGTCTGGACTGCTCTCTGCCACAGCCTCTTCCTGCTCACTAAGCCCTGTTCCCTCTTCAGCTTCTGACACCTCCTCCTTCCAGTCTGCTCCCTCTCCTCCCTCTGACCACTCATCATTGTCCCACCACCAATCCCCTGGCTCTGAGCCTTCTTCCCTCGAAGGGCAAGTGAATGAGCACCAGCAAGTAGAAAGGGGACCTACAGAATCTCCTCTCCACCCCCCAAAAGCTTGGAAGCAGCACTGATAGCTCTCATTTGCATGAGTAGGAATTTGAATCCAGGGCTCCATACAGCAAGCCTCGATTTTTAGCCGAGGTCTCCTAAGGCTAAGGACAACTGTGCCCCAAAGCAAATTAATGTGAATGAAATATTAATTTTGATAATGAAGTAATGGGAACTTGACTATCATGATTAAAGGATGGCTAATCAATTATGGAGCAATAAAGCAATGTGCCGTTTGTGCTGGGGGGTTGGGAATCATGAAATGTCACCAGGAGAATTGTGCTATTAGTCATGATGGGAAATAATTTCCTTCCTTCCCAGCTATGCATTCCGCATTCTGATGATTGTGGCGTCGATGTACAATGTAGCCTAATGATAAACATCTGCCATAGATCTGCTTAAAAAGTAAGTGGCAGTGTTCGGAATCAACTTTGTTCCCGTTCCTCCGTTGCCTTTATCCCTTTGTAACTCTGTGTTTCCTTGCAGAGAGGTAGACTTTCATATAAAACTACCCCTGTGATGCCAACCCTTTAGCTGCAGCCTTCGGAATTAAACCTTCAGATTTCCAACCGCTCTGTTGCTTTTCCTCTTCCCAGTTTTTGGGTTGCCCCGATTTTGCAAGACCCAGTTACGAAGCATTTCTGATCACGGGTTTGATAATAACATAACCTATGGCTGCTTTATTTTACCTTGCATTGTGCAGTCTGTCTCAGCTTTGAGAGTTTACAAAATTGGATATCATTATATCTATGCCAAGTATTTTTGGGGGGGGAGTTAAGTTTTTAATTGCATTGTGTAGTCTTTCTCAGCTGTGAGAGTTTACGATATTTGATGTCATCATATCTATGCCAAGTATTTTTGTTGGGGAGGGGAATTAAGTTTTAATTAAAAAAAAAACTACAACACCACAGGGTTGCTGTGACCCATTCAATGTATAACCTGCTGAATTCAATGTGCCGTTGCTCGGTCCCAGCTCCTGCCAACCTAGCAGTTCGAAAGCATGCCAGTGCAAGTAGATAAATAGGTACTGCTCCGGCGGGAAGGTAACTGGCATTTCCGTGCGCTGCTCTGGTTGGCCAGAAACAGCTTAGTCATGCTGGCCACATGACCCGGAAGCTGTATGTGGACAAACGCCGGCTCCCTCGGCCTATAGAGCGAGATGAGCGCCACAACCCCAGAGTCGTCCACGACTGGACCTAACGGTCGAGGGTACCTTTACCTTTACCTTTTACCTCGTACTGAATAGGATCTGAATTAGACAGAGTGAAAACTCTTTCTTTTGCTGCTACTTCAAGATGGGGGAGTTGGGGGAGGGGGCCTGGTAAGTGTGCATATGACAGTGCCCAGACTCAGCAACATGGAAATCTTGCATTCCTCCATTGATTTCTACCAGCAGCTCTCACTTCTGCCCCTGGGGGCGTTTTAAAATAGCTTCTCAGTGTGAACCAGGAAGTGACCTATCCAGACAGTGGTTTGTATGTGTGTGCTTCTGTCCTCCTCCTTTCAGCTGCTCTATTTAGTCCCCCTCTCCCATCTGCACAACAGTGGGGGGTTTTATTCAGTCTCTTAGCATTCCATGCTGTTGAACTATTGGTGAGTGTGTTCCCCCCGCCGCCACCCCAAAATGAAAAAAGACATTTTTGGGGGGTAGTCCTGCAAACCTCCAGATTCTCCTGAGTTTGCCAGCACCCACTTGTTGCACGAATTCTAGACATAGGTTCGAGCAGTTTTGCATTTGCAAAGAGTTCTTTACTGCTGAATCGGAACCAATGGAAATCCATAGAAAACCCGATGGTTTTTTGTGCCATTCCAGCAATAGAGAGTGGGTTTCCCCGGGGGAAAGTGGCAGCAGGGAAAGCAGAGGTGTGGACCAGTCCTATCTTCGGCATGCCTGCAATGGAGTCTGTTGGACAGAGGTCAGAATCACATCCATTGTTCCATCCACTCTTGCCTCTGGCCCTGCCCAGTACTGTCATGTGGACCCCCGGAAGAGTGCTGATGAAAAAAACACTGCGCTTGGTTCCCATCCCTGAGACTGAGTATTAATAGAGTCTCTACTTAAAGAGCGTTTTGAAGCCGGTTGGGAGTGAGGGAGAGTCTCAGACAGAACTTCGGAGGACTTTCAAGGGAAACCAAAAATAACTTAACAGAACTAAATACCTTTTTAGAAGGTTTCTGCGTATTGCTGGGTTGCCGTCAGATTTCGCCTAAAGCAGAATTCAAATATCTGAGGAATATTAAGGGCAGCCAAAAATATTTCAAGGAGACAAGCAGAACTGTGGGTCGGGGTGGGGTGGGGGGAGTGTTGTCACACATCCCTGGAAATAAGCTTCAAGACACAAGCATAAAACATCATAATCAAATTCATAATGTCAGAAACTGCCGTATGTCTGAATTAAAGACACTGATGTCTGAATTAAATACATTCTTTACATTATTCATGAAACAAGAACATTGGTTCATGAATTGCCTC